AAAAAAATTGGACAAGCCAGAACTCGAATCTGGGACCTCTTCCATGCTAAGGAAGCGTGATAACCATCTACACCACATGCCCATTTCGTTATTGAAAATGAATTAATACGGTTATATTTCATATCGCAGTTTTTTATATGTTTTTAATATCTCATGACTATCAACTCTAGTTACGGTAATAACAGTTTGTATACTCGGTTGCTTCATATATACGAAGTATCGAAATCATCTACTAGATTCTTCACCTACAATTTCTTCTTACTTAATATATACGTTGCACATTGAATAGAATCATAATCCATAATATCATTAAATATGTAAAATAAACAACTTTCGAATCAGTGCTACCGGAGCCAACTGACATAAGCTAGATGCTCAGCATCTTTAAGATTGTTGTCAGGAAGAGTAATTCCGCATTGATGCATGTCTCGCACATACAGTCTGCCCAATTTTAGCAGCGCACCGCATACGCATCACTTTCATGTGGCTGCAACCATCTATAACTTATTTGAAAACAGACGAAACATAGGCTTCCAAATTGCCAAAAGTCCTATATGTAAAGAAAAAGGCCATAGCACACATTGTTTAGCCACCGAAACCGTAAATGGTACGGCCTTGGCGCTTCAAAGAGTAGACAACGTCCAAGGAAGTGACAGTCTTACGCTTAGCGTGTTCGGTATAGGTGACGGCATCACGAATGACGCTTTCCAAGAACAGCTTCAAGACGGCACGCGTTTCTTCATAGACCAAAGCAGAAATACGCTTGACACCACCACGACGGGCGAGACGACGGATGGCAGGCTTGGTGATACCTTGAATGTTATCACGCAGAATCTTGCGATGGCGCTTAGCACCGCCCTTTCCTAATCCTTTTCCTCCTTTACCGCGACCAGACATTGTTTAGTAGTTCTTGTTTAATATCCAAATCAATTCCAAGAGGAAGTGTTTTGTTATGGTGAGGTGAAATTTACTGTATTTATAGCATTCATAACGCGTCGCGTACCGCCAATATCTGATTCTTGCCAGGGTTAGGGTTGTTGATCATATGCTAGTATATAAGTAAGATTGCCATTCTCGTCGGTTTTGCTAGAAGAAATCGTTAATTCTCTGTGTTATATTTAAAGCATTTCCTTTTAATTCCTTAATTCCTTTACTGAAATGGCTCGTACTAAGCAAACTGCACGTAAATCCACTGGTGGTAAGGCTCCCCGTAAGCAACTTGCTTCCAAGGCCGCCCGTAAGGCTGCTCCCGCTACTGGTGGTGTCAAGAAGCCTCATCGTTATCGCCCTGGTACCGTCGCTCTTCGTGAAATTCGTCGTTACCAAAAGTCCACTGAATTGTTGATCCGTAAGCTTCCTTTCCAACGTTTGGTTCGTGAAATTGCTCAAGACTTCAAGACCGACTTGCGTTTCCAATCCTCTGCTGTTGGTGCCCTTCAAGAAGCCGTCGAAGCTTACCTCGTCTCTCTCTTCGAAGATACCAATTTGTGCGCTATCCACGGTAAGCGTGTTACCATTCAGCCCAAGGATATGCAATTGGCCCGTCGTCTTCGCGGTGAACGTGCTTAAAGTAGAAGACTTGTAGTTTGAAACGACTTTCTATTTATACCCTTTGATTGCATCTTACTTTCTTTTCGCGTCCCCTTATGTTTGAGAAGATTTCGTCAAAGCTTTATTAATGTACATTTCTTGGTTTGATGGTTTAATTTATGCATGCTTCTTATGAATCTTCGTTTAGCATTGTAGGTGTAGAATTTGTAACGTAAAGATAGGTCTTTTGTACTGACACTAGTTTAATTGAAGACTTTGTATTTAGGATTAACGACACGACACGGTCAGTGTGTTTTTACACATGCTTTATGAACCAATTTATAAACGTACAAATTCATTTAACTTTCGCCGTTCAAATAGTCCAGCATACATAGAATCCTTACTTACTGAGTCTTTGGAGGAATCGGACGCAGATACTTGGAAAATCGAGAAATGGGAGTTTTCAGCTCTTGCTTCCATTGCCGTTGAAAGTTTGATGGAGTCCCTAAAACACTATCATACTGCAATGGCATAGTTGTATCAAACGCATGCATGAAACTGGAAGATTCATCCATACCCGTAGTGTTCTCCAATATCGAGGAGTCTTCTTTGTTAATTCGATATCGTTGTATCCATCGCCGAAACATTTTTCCCAAAAGTTTACTTTGTTTTTGCTGGTAAAATCGTTCAGCTTGCATTGTATGGCTCGTGACACGGAACGTCAACAAATTCCAAGAATCAAACGCCCGGCGCATGATTCCTCGATCAAATTCCCGTCGCTTCCAGTCACTAATATTTTGTAGGAACTGTACTGCCCGCAGTTGGTACCGCCAAAATATTAAAGCCGAACGTAACAGCCGTTCATTGTAAAATCGTTCGGCTCGCTCTAATTTCCCTTTTAGCTCACTATGTTGGTATGACCATGCCTCATAAGCCCTGATTAGTACACGCTGCCGTGCCTGATCAGCCACCATCGAAAGTGCAGAAAGCTTCATAACCTTTTCTATCCAGAAATTCCAATAACGTTCCACTAGCTTTCCATCTATTGATGATTGATAATCAACTACCTTTGTTTCCAACTTTATGGTAATTTCCTCCTCACAAATTCCTCTCCACAATTGCATTGATAATTTTAAAAGCTTCTTGTCGTACATCAAATCCGCTCGCCAACGTAATCTAGCCTTTCTTTGCATGATGTATTTCCATCTGCTCCAAACCTTTAATTTTACGTTTTTCTTATAAAGGCCATCAGCATGGATAAGCAGCTCTTCCTTTTCCAATAATTGCATGCGCCATTTTAAAATACAGTTTTTGGCTGCCTTTATTTGGCGCTCCTGATGAAGATCTTCTGCAACGTCCTTTACTTCTAAAAGTCCTTGTGTCCGCTCGATCCAGGTATCCCATGTCTTTACTAGTAGCCTCTGGTTATAATTATATTCAAAAGCACGTTCTTTTTCTCTAATCCGCCAAAACTTATAAAATTGAACAAGGAGCGCATACTCTTTGTTTTCTCGAAATATATTTGTTTTTAAAGCTAAACGCCATCTTGTCAAAAACGTATCTTGTAAAATATAATTTGCAAGCTGTAAACCATCTTCAATTCGAGAATACCGATGTCTCCAGCGTTCAAGAGCAGATTTTAGTATTTCGACATCGTGTTCATCCATCCAATCATCAAGTTTTCTACAAGTAGTTGTCTTCGATTTCCAATTAGAAAGCATGTTTTCGAGCAATGTTCTGTCGCGAAATTCATCAGCCTTTTCACATTGCGCATAATAACCGGAGGTTTTGGAATACCATTTTGATATTACAGCTTTTCCGACATTCCTGATATACTTAAAATCTGCTCCATTTCGTAGCTCTTGCTTCTTTGCTGAAACATCTCGCCATTTCAAATATGAACTTGCTAGCACACTTTTTCGTTTGGCTTTTTTTATAGAAAGAACAGTGGATTTTAGTCTCCAAGCTCGAAAACAATTTTTACAAAGCGTATGATTGTAAAAACCCACTGCTTCAACTCGTCTGTTGCTCTGTTGTTTCTTCCGAAGTTTCCACTGAGTCAAAAATCGCAACAGGAGTATACGTTCATGCTTTTCTTTCCATTCATTTGCTAGTTTATTCCATTGGAGAATAGCTTTATGCAAAAATACCTTTTTTTGTTCTTCAATGTATCGTGCATATACCTCTCGCGTCTTCTTACGCCATGCGTACATGAAGTTCTCCTGCACAACTAAATTATAAGCAGTCTCAGCTGTAGACATAACCTCCTGTACCTGGCGCATCTTTTGCACCCATACGGGGAAATATTTGAGCAGCAGAAAAGTACGATGTACAGCAGTAGCTTTTCGCTCGTAAATTGTAGCAATTCTTTGCTGATACATATGCTTATCGAGGAGATAATAAAATGTTGTTGCTAGAAGCTGATGCTCACGAATAGAACGAAACTGATCTGCCAAACGAGACATCGCTGAAAGCGACTTGATTGTTTTCGCAGCATTGCTGGCAAAATTATTACCGTCCTTGACATTCTCTTTCTCCTGAAGAGTAATTCTTTTTTTATCTGAATCCCTGACAATAAATGGGTCGTCAGAAATATGATTAGAAGGAGAAAGTAAAGGAGTTTGCAAACTCGATGATAGGTGAGAAAACCCCATTCTTGACATTAGATTCTTCCACTCCTGTTCCCAAGAGTATCGTTTAGTAGAAATCAAACGGAATAAAACACGAATATAGTAACGATTTTCAGAAGGACTAAGCCCATTTTCGCGTAATACATTTTCATATGCCTTAAATACTGATAATGGAGAAGAGTCTTCCTTTGAAGCACTAAGTCGTAACAATATTCTTCGTAAAATTTCCAAATCTTAACATTTTTACAGTTAGTTTCGTGTATTAGACATTGTTTACACTTCATACCACGACGTAACTCCAAAGACATGATTCGTCGACCATGATCTATGTCTCTATTTTGAGCATCATTTTTGCTCATGTTATTTACAACTACTTATTTGAACCATTCCACCTGTAAAATCCGAAATCAAACCGAAAACGGTGTTTTTGTTTATTACAGAAGTCGTCTCGCTGACAGAAAGAATAACGATCGTTTTATTCATCGCTATTACAATTGATGAGCTTTCTATAATACGCTAAACATCTTTATAGCATGCTTCAACTACGTTAAACCTCTTACAAATGTACACTATAGATCACTAAAATTTGCAGTCCATCTTATAATCACAAGTTCTCATCTACAAAACCCTACCAACTGCTGATTGTTGAAGAGTGTAAAAGCGGCTTAAAAGCCTGTTACAAAGACGATTCAGCATGTCATTTAATGTTCCTAAAGAAGAAGAAAAGGTCTTGGCGTTTTGGCGCGAAATTGATGCCTTTCGCACACAACTAAAACTCTCTGAGGGACGTCCTGAATTCACTTTCTTTGACGGTCCTCCTTTCGCGACTGGTCTTCCACATCATGGACATTTGCTTGCTTCTACAATCAAGGATAGCGTTACTCGTTACGCTTGTTTGAAGGGCTACCACGTCGAACGTCGTTTTGGTTGGGATACTCATGGTTTACCCGTTGAACATGAAATCGATAAGAAGCTAGGTATTACTGGAAGCCAGGATGTCATGAAAATCGGCATCGACAAGTATAATGCTGAATGTCGTAACATTGTTATGACTTATGCCTCTGAATGGCGTGCAACTGTTGAGCGTTTGGGCCGTTGGATTGACTTTGACAATGACTATAAGACCTTGTACCCTTCTTTCATGGAAAGTATTTGGTGGGTCTTCAAGGTGCTTTATGAAAAGGACAAAGTTTACCGCGGATACCGCGTTATGCCTTATTCTACTGCTTGTACCACTCCTTTAAGTAACTTCGAAGCTCAACAGAATTACAAGGAAGTTCCTGATCCTGCCGTTGTTGTTGCTTTTGAACTTGTCGATGATCCTGAAGTCGGTGTTCTTGCTTGGACCACTACCCCTTGGACATTACCTTCCAACTTGGCTTTGGCTGCCAATCCCAAACTCGAATACCTAAAGATTTTGGATAAAGAATCTAACAAAAAATACATTTTACAGGAAGCTTGCCTTGGAATTCTCTACAAAAACCCCAAGAAGGCTAGCTTCGAAGTTTTGGAGCGCTTCAGCGGTTCTAAACTGAACGGAATGAAGTATAAGCCTCTTTTCCCCTATTTTGCTTCAACTTTCAAAGATCATGCTTTCGTAATTTACAACGCTGATTATGTCGAAGAAGGTTCTGGTACTGGTATAGTTCACCAAGCTCCTGCCTTTGGTGAAGCAGATTATGACGCTGCTTGGGCAAACGGTATTATTGATTCTGATCATCCTGCTCCTTGCCCTATAGATGAGAAGGGTCGCTACACTGAAGAAATCACTGACTTTGTTGGTCAATATGTCAAAGATGCTGATAAAGAAATTATCCGTACTTTAAAGAACAGAGGCTGTCTCGTCCGTCACAGTCAAATCTTTCACAGTTACCCCTTCTGTTGGCGTTCTGACACTCCTCTTCTTTATCGTGCTGTACCCAGTTGGTTTGTTAAGGTCAAGGGTATTACTGATCAAATGGTTGACAATGTGATGAAAACACATTGGGTCCCTCAAAACATTCGTGATAAGCGTTTTGCCAACTGGCTTAGTAATGCTCGTGACTGGAATATTTCACGTAACAGATACTGGGGTACTCCTATTCCTTTGTGGGCTAGCGATGATTACGAAGAAATTGTATGCATTGGATCAGTTAAGGAACTTGAAGAACTTTCTGGTGTTTCAGGAATTAATGATCTTCATAGAGATAGTATTGATCACATCACTATTCCTTCAAAGACGGGTAAGGGTACCCTTCACCGCATTTCTGAAGTTTTCGATTGTTGGTTTGAATCTGGTAGTATGCCTTATTCTTCTCGTCATTATCCTTTTGAAAATGTTGAGAACTTTGAAAAGGGTTTCCCTGCCGATTTCATCTCTGAAGGTGTTGATCAGACTCGTGGTTGGTTCTATACTCTCACCGTATTAGGTACTTTATTGTTTGGCAATGCTCCTTACAAGAACGTTATTGTCAGCGGTTTGGTCATGGCTGAAGACGGTAAAAAAATGTCTAAGCGTCTAAAGAATTATCCTGAGCCTAATTTTATCATCCAAAAATATGGTTCTGATGCACTTCGTCTATTCCTCATCAATTCACCAGTCGTACGTGCTGAAGTCTTGAAATTTAAGGAAGACGGTGTCAGAGAAGTTGTTACAAGAGTTATGATTCCTTGGTGGAACAGTTATAAGTTCTTTGATGCTCAAGCCGCTCTTTATAAGAAGGTTAATGGTAAAGATTTTGTTTATAAGGAAGATGTTGAGCTTAGTAAGAATGTCATGGATCGCTGGATTCTTGCTCGCTGTCAATATCTTATTCAATTCGTTGATCAAGAAATGCAACAATATCGTTTGTATACAGTCGTTCCTCAATTGCTCGGTCTTATTGAAGAAATGACTAACTGGTACATTCGTTTTAACAGACGTAGACTGAAGGGTGAAAACGGTGAACAAGAAACTGTTGTGGCCTTGAACGTTCTTTTCACTGTTTTGTTTACCCTTGCTCGCATTATGGCTCCTTTCACTCCTTATATTACTGAGAACATCTACCAACAACTCAGAAATTACATGGAGATTGATCATAGTGATATGTCTTTACGATCCGTTCACTTCCTTCCTTTCCCTTCTTACAAGGAAGAACTTTCTGATGCGACTGTTCTGCGTCGTGTCAAGCGCATGCAAACTATCATTGAACTTGCCCGTTATGTGCGTGAACAAAACAATATCTCTTTGAAGACACCTTTGAGAAGCCTTGTGGTTATCGTTACTGATCCTGAATACCTTGAAGATGCTAAGTCATTAGAAGGCTATATTTTAGAGGAGCTTAACGTCCGTGAAGTCATCTTCACCGCTGATGAAGAAAAATATGGCGTTGTTTACAGTGCTCAAGCTGATTGGCCTGTTTTGGGTAAGAAGCTTCGTAAAGATATGGCTCGGGTTAAAAAGGCTCTTCCTAACGTTACCACTGAAGACGTTAAACAATTCCAAAAGAATGGTGAGATGCTTCTTGATGGCATCAAGTTGGTTGAAGGTGATTTGCAAATCATTCGGTCTGTTCAAAACAAAAATGAATATCTGAAATCCAATACCGACGGTACCTGTATAGTTTTGCTTGACACTGAGAATGATCCTCAGTTGCAATCTGAAGGTTTGGCACGCGAGGTTATCAATCGTGTTCAGCGTCTTCGTAAAAAGAGCCAATTACAGGTAACGGACGACGTTCGCATGACTTATGCTTTCAAAAATGATACTATTGGATTAGAGCAAGCTATTGAGAGAAATGACCCATTGTTCACTAAGATCTTGCGCCGGGGAATTGAAAAAAGTGATGGAAATGAGGAATCAGGTTTGATTGCCTCGGAAGAACAAGATGTTCAAGGTGCTACCTTTATTTTGAGTCTTCTGAAGCTTTAGATTACTGAAAATTTTCCTATTTCATTTCGGATAACAGAAGGTAATATAAATTTTTTATATCTATGGGTGATCTATGTATTTTTAAAATGGTAAAAAGAGTGTAAGGACATGTGGAAGCATTCTGAGCTTTTTAACTTCATTCAGTTAAAATTCTGTACATCTAAGTAATCATGATAGGTAATGACCACCGCAAAAATAACAAATACTCAGCTCTTCCTGAATTTCTTTCGTAAAACATGTGCTTTCGACGTTCAACGACGCCCAATCAACAGTAACAGATTTACAAATTCCACAGTATCTGGCAGTTCGTTGATATAGTAAAAGCATAGTTATTGAACAACGTTGCCATACATGACCTTTACTACAAGTTGCTATTGCTTCATTCGTAAACTCTATATGATCTTTGCAAGCAGGACATAGTTCTTGGAATGCGGAAGGAACATCAATATACTTGGCGATTTGATCAGCAATTTCGAGCACGGCTGGGACTTCAGATAATTCTTTGTAAATGAAAGAAACACAATTCTTTAAAATTGCTTTACAAGTAGCAGTCAGATAATTATTGTTCGAGGATACTTTGTTTAAAGCGAAAACCATAAGAGAAAGGACTAGTCTGTTACGCAAAGAAGAAAAAATAGAGAGATTCAGACTTTTCTGACTATAGACACTCCATCCATAGAGAAGCCTTAAAGCATTTAAAGACGCATCAAAGAATACGCTGGTTAAAGTAGAAAAAGGTGCCGTGTCTTTTAATCTCAAGCAAAAATCAAAGTCTGAAATTAAAAGTTGGGATAAGCTTTCCGAAAGCATGTTATTTACGTCAAAATCTGCTTTACTGCTGTTTTCTAATAAAGCAAATTCACAGAAGCAGCCTTCTGCAGGTATGGAACAGCAGTTAGTAAGAAAAGAATTGATTAAACGAGAAAACGTAGCTTTTAAGGCAATGCTTGGAAAAGTAGCACAAAAGCTCCGTTCCATTGCCGAGGCAGTATAAATAAAACTTTGAGGATACGAAACGCTGAAATGTATGATAGCTGTGGAAGAAAAAGGCGAAGGACAAAAAGCATGTATACGTAAGCTTTTTGATGGCTCCGAAGTGGAACCGTAATTTTGTAAACGATGCGTTAAAAATCTGTCGAGAAGTTGTTTTTCAGGAAGTTCGAAAGTATTGCTTGGATCCATTTTAACAGGTACAATTTGTAGTTCGGCTAAGGGAGTCAAAATATACACTGAAAATTGGCTTATGTCGTTGCTAGCAAAGAAAACACCTACCGGTGAAGCAAGTGAAGTCAGATCGTGTGATGTGATTGAAAGAAACTTCTCATTTGACCTGCTATAACAAGAAATGTAAAGACTTCTTGGATAAGCAAGTGCAAGGAATTCTTCGTCGTTAAGCACAGGAGACCAGGCTATAGCTGGTGCTATCGGCCGGTGACCGACTTGAAATGGAAAACGTTGATGACGCATTTCGAAACTTCCAGTTAAGAGATTTACAGAAACACGAACAACATAAATTTCGCCATTCTGAGATATACAAACAAGATTGCAGACTGCTGCGTGATTATAAATTGTCCATGACGAAAAGGAAAGCCGTACCAACCATCCACATTCAAGCTTGATGGACTTAGTAAGCATATCCGAGTTCCTAGATAAAGAAATCACATGTAAATTTCCATCTTCTGCCCCTAAACCTAGTAAACAAATACCCCAGGGAGAAAGCTTTGGGAGAGAAAGGAGAGGCGACCAAGCAAAGGTATGGATGCGCAAAGAAGCAAGGGATTCTCTTGATAAATAATTGTTTAAGCAACATACACACTTCCAATTCATATGCAGAACTTTACTATTGGATGAATATAGATAAACCTGATATCGATTTGTTAAAACCGTCAGCAAGCATCTTGACTGCGTTAGTTTCGTTTATTGAGGGATTTAACAGTACAAAAGAAGACAATGATAGTTCACCATGATTTAAGTGGTTAATATACATACCCATAATTTTCAGATAATCCAGTAGGAGACCAAGCAACCTTTCGAGCAGTATGGTTCGAAATCAAATCACCTATGCGCAAATCCGTTGCTTTTCATAATTAGCATAATTGATTGGATTTTTCTTACAATCCTAGATCTAATTGTATACACCTACGCGAATACATTCGTTCATTCTCATCGTAATTCTCCAAAATGGCCAGTGACTTGATGTAACTGGGGGTATTAATTTCATGAGAAGGAGTCTATTTACGGTTAATAATGAAAAAATGACGGCGAATATTGCTTACCAGAATCTGCACGCGTCCGCCATTACAGAAGGCTAACTTTCCGTCAGGCGACCATTCACAACTCGGGAAACTTGATGGTAAAAAATCCAAAGACACATCTTTTGGCATTATTGCATGCGCTTCGATTTGCCAAAAAGGTCGTAATAGGAAAGTGTGTCAGAAAAGTGTATCGTGCTAAAGCTCACTAATAAACAAACGAGGCATTCACCAAAAAAAAAGATCAAAAATAAAAAATACTCCCCAGCCAAATAAATTCATGTACTGCATATTAAGAAAGACGGTTTCAAACATCGGTTTCAAGAAAGGAACAAAAACATGAAGAAAGCAGATAAAGCAAACGATTTTTAACGCGTTTGTGAATTGCTCTTACTAACTTTCAAAGTGAACAGAATCAAACATATAATCCATTGGGACCATTGCTCTCAACCATTTGAATTCATGCGATGAAAGTATTCCAAAGCTAAGGAAACAAGATCAAGACGCCCTTTTCAGCATTCCAGCATCTTCATTCTCAACGTCCGCGTCTTCCCTTGAACGCTTCAGAGGACCCCTTACCTCTGAACCGTAAATCCGTTCAATCATTTTACTACGTGTTTTCGCATAGTCAATCCGCTATGTCAAGAATTAGTCTCGTATACCGAAAGTTTGCTCAAATTGCTTACCATTTCCTTTCCAAAAAACTGAGTATTTTTTAAAGCTTTCATAGCAATCGCCGCAGCTGAAGCATCATAAAAGACAATATGTGCTTGACCTCTCATTTTGGGTGTCTTTAAAGTAATTACGTCCACAACAGTCCCATACGTCGAAAATAAGAGGTAGAGAGATATTTTTAGGTCATTTTTGTTTATTTTATCATTCAAATTATTTACGTAGAGTGTATTGCGATTCATTCTTCTTTTGTTTTGTGATTTTGAAGAATACTGGTAAATGTAAATGCCAGAAACGTTGCACATGAAACCAGTGCGCTGGAGTGCGATAATTGAGAATTGTAAATATAATAAAGAGTGAATGAAAGAGCAATTACAGAATCCTATTCTTACTTAAATTTAGTGTCAAAAAAGAAAATTATTTAAGTGTCAATACCAAAAAAAAAATTTTATCTCTATGTAAGAATCCATCCATACTTAGATTAACCACTTCCCAACTTTGTGCCCGTAAATAATGGCTGAACAGAGTCAAACCCTGATGAAAATATATTAACTGAAAGACGAATATATAGAATCGGTCCAAAAAATATTACCCCCATTGTTGTTTAATTCAAAATAAAGGACTGTGTGTAGTCTTGTCCATTAACATGATAAGAAACCTCAATATCCAAATCACGATTATTGACAGAGTTTTTAATAAAGGCAATGGATCCATGAATCACGCTTCCAGCTTCGACATGAGGACGTTCACGTAAAATTAACGTACATTGTTTCCAATGAGTAGGCGTACCGTGGGGTCCTGTTGTGAAACCAAAAGACTGATCTACGGACGAAGGAACGGGTTGATGCTTTGAGGTGGTAAAATAAGTATCAAACCAAACCAGAAAGCTACAGAAAGGACCGGAAGACTTCATAGTAAGAGAGAAAGGATGTTTAAAGCTAACATCTTGTACTTGACATGTGTGCATGTTGATGGTAGCAAATTCAACGGGTTCCGCATTCACATAGGAAGCAGGAATCACATCCACATTGACTCTGTTATAAGAAGCATCTTTCATACAATTCATCTTAAATCCATAAACATCACTCCAGAAATCGAGAGGTTCCTCCAAAATCTCACTATTGGTGGTTGCACTCAAAACCAACCGCGTTTCTGAAGGAGCCATAAGACCGTCCGCAGCCAAAAATCGATCACGAGCAATGAGAACTGAATCAATCATGCTTTCAAATGTTAAGGCGTAACCCATCCATTCGGACACGATAATGTCAACCTTGGGAACAGGGACTTGTATTTCCTCAATCTTTCCTCGAATGAACGTAATCTTATCAGCCAAATTATTTTCATATGCATTTGTCCTCGCCATTTGTATAATATCAGAGTTATCGACGGCGTAAACCTGCTTGGCGCCAGCTTTAGCACAAAACATGGACAGAATGCCTGTTCCGCACCCAACATCTAAGACTGTTTTTCCATGAAAAAGGTTTTTATTCTCGTAGATGAAGTCTCTGTATCCTTCTGTCCGTACACTGTCACTCAGCATGACAAAGTGGATATCATTCCCAGCATACGACTCAAAGTAATAAGAATCATTGTCTATCAATTTTCCAGGTTCTTGCAAAGATGAGCTTGCAGTTTGGGAAGTAAGTTCTTCCATTTTTTCCTTTCTGATTTCTTCCAACTGGGTTGACAGCATTTTCGTTTGTAATCTTAACGACTTGAGCTCGTCTTTATTAGAATCAGTGTGTTTATGATCTACAGCAACGTCGAGAGCGTCTTCTTCAAAGTCAGAATCCAAAGTATCTCCCAAAGAAAACAAAACAGCATCGTCAGGGAATACGGAAATCATGTATTCATCGGAAGCAAGTACAGTAGATAAATTGTTAAAATCAATAGGCTTCTCTTTTGCTACTTGGGATCGGATGTAATTAATAAGTTTAATACAGTCGTAGAACTCCAAGTGATGATCATTCTTTACTTTTTGAAAATCGAAATTGTGTGCTGAAAGGCGGTAAGCAAATAAGTTTCGGGCCGATGGTCTACTTACCTTCTTTACAATGGTTCCATAAGTCATTTAAGGACATTAACACATTTTTACAGAACAAACAATTGAATTCCAGTTGTTCTTCCCAGACTTCGTCTACTAGTAAAGGACATTAGTATGTACAAAGATCAACCAGAGTCAAATGTCAAAGTCCAAGATAAACAGCCAAGCATTCCTCATTATGTAATTCAATTGCATGTTTAATCCTAATCTCCAAATTTCCTCAACACTTTGCTGAAACACGGCCACATTGGCAACTTCTAGCAAGACAAGTTGTACAAGGCTAACAAACGCCCTGCAAGGCTGCTTTCTATAAGAGTTCAAATTCCGTACCTTCATTTTCCCAATCAACCTCAGAATCACTGCGATTATCCATTTTTCTCGATGTTTACAGAGGGCAAAGAAAGAACCCTTGGTTTACACTGTCCTACGCGTTACCTCGATGGAGGTAGCAAGGGTAAGTAACAAGGCTTTGTACAAGCAGTAGCTGTCAACCTATGTGTAGCTACAACAGTTTATACAATTTGAGGGTTTTTGGGAGTTCGTAGTAATATTGTTCTTTTGGATCTTAAGGATATAACGATCGTTTTTAAAAAATGTTTTTTCTAACATCTGGTTTGTTTCGCTCTGCTATGCCAAATCCTATACGAATTGACATCGTTCGAGGAGTTAAGACTCACGCAGGTGCTAAAAAGCGTTGGGTCCCTTTTGGCAAAGAGAAGATTTTACTCCGTCATCACGCTGGAGGACAACATTTAGTTCGCGGTACTTCCAGTAGTACCCGAGCTAGACAGCGCCAAATGCACGAGCCAAAGAAATCACAGAGAAAGGCTTTAAGGAAGCTATTGCCAAACTTTTGGTGAAATTGTTGCGCATTTAATCTTTAAGACAAGAGAAACGGCTATTTTGCTTTTCCCGAAATTTCATTTCAGTCATTATGATTTTTATAAATTTTTGGACGTATCTAGTCATTTCTCCATTCACATGAAAGAATAAATAAATTCTTATGGATAGTACTTTGCTTTTCTGAATACCTTGTTCCCCTCTCCTATTCACAGCTTTTGTTTATGGATTTTTGGCTCGCTATGATTTCCTCAAATGGCTTATTTCATTTATCATACATTCTTTGGAATTCGTTATTTTTGTTTCACCGCGATCCCTAGGAGTCGTTATTGGAATTGCCATTACTTTAGTAAAACTTTAGGATCTATTTGATAATTATCTCTTTACCATTAAGGTTACTTTTGATACTGGTTTATTAGAAAAGAAAAGTCTAAAGTTTCCAACTTTCAGCTTGCTAGCTTGTTTGAAAACAAGCGAGATTTCGTGATCAAAACTTTCGCCAATAACGCTAAGAAGCCATGGGTCGGTCATTTGTAGAGTATGACTCTCAAGAAGACTGCGTTGCGGATTTTCATCAGAAAACGAAGAAGCTGGTAGATCACGCGCTAGAGGTGTACAATCATCGTTTGCCAGAACACCAAGAAAAATTCACATTTGATAGTTTTGCGGATGTTCTTGATACTGAGTCGGCCGTCGTGAATCGTGTTTTCGATGTTTTAGTTCGTGAAGTTGCGGGGGCGGTACGACAACGAAAACGAACACAGCTTAGTTTACCTGCCACTACAGCTCAAGTGGTACAAAGACGATTGTCTCCTAGCTTATCAACGATTCACTATCGTGATCCTAATGACCCTTTAATTGATGAAACTGAGAGTATTCACTTTACCTAAACTGATAACCTTGAATGTGCTCTCAATCCTCAGATGTGTTTCATTCCACGTTGATATGTTTTGTAAAGTGGAGAGGTTTTACTTTTTGTCGATGGTATCAGAGTTAAGCCTTATTTTAAACGTATTTCATGTTCACTGTTGTATTTTAGATATAATATTATTAATAAATTTGTTTTTTTATAAAAAAGTGTATGATTCATTTATTATAGCATTAAGGCAAGGATAATTGTGTTTGCGATTGACAGACATGCTAGCTAGTATCAGTTATGCAAATGAAAGGTATTCTTTTTTGTTTGAGAGGGGTTGTAAAAGACAAGATTAGATATTTCAAACCAATGTTAGTTGTTTAAGGGTAAATAATGAGAGTTGGCGGCACTTGTATGAATATACATGACATCGTCAATGTCGTATAACTCGTCAATCAGATTTTGCATTTGATCTTTCGCTTGTTCATTTGTCTGCAAGTCGATTGCTGTGTCAGGAACCGGCACATAGATCATTCGAGAGTCTTTAATTTCGTATTTCTGCGACCTGAAATACTGAGCAACTTCATTCAACGAAGTGGGCTCCGTGAGTATTACATATTGGCCCTCATCTTCTTCATCTGTTAATTCTTTTGGTCTCTGGACTATGTCCTCAGCTCCAGCCTCGATTGCATCGTCCAATACGTTCCCAAGCTCCATGGAAGGGCGGTCGACCGGCTGATTTACCTCAATTTTTCCCTTCTTTGTAAACAAAAATCTGGCGTTGGACAATGATGCACCATACTTCTTAAGAACGTGCTTAATGTTGGCTGCCGCTCGAGTCCTATTATCGGTAATTGTTTCAACGATGAATCCAACGCCCGATGGATGCATTGCCTCGTAATCAAGAGCTTGCATTAGGTTACCATCCGCTCCTCCTCCTCCCGATCCTCTTTTCATTGCTGTTTCAATAACACTTTTTGGAATGGAATTTTTGCGTGCTTGCTCTAAAAGTGTTGCAAGCCGAATATTCATATCGGGATTGGAACCTTCGGTTCTTACAGTCATCGTAATACCCTGTGAAATCCTATCACCATTGTAAGCATCCTGTACTTTCCATTAGCTTTAAGACTTACTTTCCGACTTGTTTACTACGCGCTTGGTCATTTGCAGATTTCTTGTGTTTAATTTTGGACCATTCTGTAAAGTTAGTTAGACTATAGAAAGATAAAGTAGAACCGTGATGGGTTTTTCAGTAATGAACCCTCTTGTGTTTCACATGTAAAAACAGTGCAATGTAATTAACAACTAAGGATTAGCCTCCAAGGAATAATAGACAAAAGAAAGCACCTAATTTAATCTCTAAATAAGGACTTGATATCTCAAGTTGTTTGCTTCCATTGCAGAATGAGACAAGTCGACCAACAGAATCAAACATACCAGGTCTTAATAGCACTCAATATTACGCTACAGTAGAAACACAAGGGGTATATTTTTGAAACAAGAGATTGTTTCTTACTTACTATTATGACCTGACCATGCCCAGGCTGAAGAGGAAAACGTCTTGCTGCATAGTAAAGTGCTTAATCGCGGTAGCAAAAAAAGGTTTCTTGAGATATTCATATTTCCTTATTTATATATTTTTCTATTTTATAGCCGCTCAATTGCTTGGAGAACGCAGGAAAACTGTTCTTGTAGAGAGTATGTAGTTTCATTCATCTTGCTACAAGAGAGACTTCATGGTCCAAAAATCACCGGTGACGAAGTTTCTATATATATATTGTTTTGTATAAAAAAATAGGTGCTTATTTTCTTCTTCAATGTTGCTACATGAAACGAAAGGCTTTCTAAACCCAGCAGTATTGATTTTTCTTTAAAGATTTTAGTCAGTTGAAAAGAATTCACGTGGATTAATTCAATGAAAAAAAATAATGATTAAATTGAAATTATTTGAACTGGACTCAAGCCTTTGAAAGGTTCCCAATGGTTTGCTTGTATGAGGAAAGACTCGAGATAACATAGTTATTACAAAGAAAACTGAAGCTTTTTTCATTCATCTACAAGTTTTACAGGATATTAAAGTTCACACGATAGTCCTTCACAACGGGCAAATTTGATTTACTGTCTGTGACAAATCCTTCTAGTAACTAAAGATCAAGTTGGCAACAATTTCGGTTCAATCCTTCACTTCTACTGAATTTAAGAGAAACATATATATAAAAGTTATTCATGACCTTCCTCAAAGGAATGCCCTACTAAACCTTACCTTGTAGCTTGTAACTAGTATAGTGTCTTTAGAAGAAGAAAGCGTTTTCTTGTTCTATTGACATACTCTATTTGGCATAAAGACTTTAAATTAACATCATAAACATTTGTGAAATGAATGTTGCTTTCCGGTGTGCATACACCTATCCTAAGCAATGATTACTCCAAAATTTGATTTGCAGCAGGATGCGGATTTTCTTTATTTAAGCATTCATGCACCTCATATAAAGGTAAAGTTTTTTTTTGTGAAAGGATCACGACTCACACGTATAGGCTCAAAATGCCGAAATTGAAGCTATGGGATCAGAGATCCATTTTTGTATCGCCCCGTACTTCTTGAAGTAAGTCTAAGTCTTTTTTGATAAATTTTGATTAACAGGGATTAAGACTAGAGCTTCCGGGAAATGTATTAGATGATGAACGATCTCATGCTTCTTATGACATTGGGAAAGGAATGATTCATATTAAATTCGCCAAGGAAACTCCTGGGGAAGAGTTTCCTAATTTAGACTTATTAACGACTTTACTTGTGAATAAAGAAAAATCAAAGACACCTAAGAAAGCATTGATTGAAGAAGTGGGTGATGTCCCGGCTGCAGCAAGTACAGAAGGAGAGGTACAAGCAGACGACATTGATCCAGAAATCGATTGGAGAAATATCCGTTTTGATGATCCCAACTTCGACTGGGGTTTGCTTCAAAGGATGGAAGATAAAAAGGTATGGTGAAACAATTTGCTACTCAAAGTTACCAGCGGTGTAAGCTAATATGCCAATAGATGAAATATACATCTACATCAAATTACGGATTTAATGATCAACATACTGGATTACTTAAATACTTGGAGGGGAATGAAATAAACGTGTTGCCAGAGCCTGAACTTACGGACCCGGTACAAAGGAGCCAAATACGAAAGCAAACAGAAGATGAGAAGTTCGATCCAGAGTATTATTTAGCTGATTTTTACGATCATGAGATGATTGATGAGTTGATTCACTACACTCCTGATTATGTTGAATTGTCCAAACGCGCTAAATCCGGAGAACCAATACCTTTTGAATTCACAGAAAATGAACAGCAAGGTTTATTATCCCTTCCGAAAAAATCATATATTATTGAAAATCCAAAGAGGATTTACCTTAACCTGGTGGCACTAATTTTCGCATATGCTTATGATCACCGGACAACATTAGGAGACCCTAGCAGTGAATCTGTCTGGAACATTGGAATCATGGCTCCTAATATCGCATGCCTTGACACAAATTTTTCTTCAATTCAAGAAGTAGCTTGTGCATGCTTCCGCCGATCCTTGGCATATCCCTTGTATCGAAATTGGAATCTTGCAGAAACATGTTGGAAAGACACGTATGCCATTCTCAGCCTGGGAAAGCGATGGATTCTTCGTGTTTTACTCCGCATGAAATCTTTATTTGAACATCATGATGTATATTACATTTACAATACCATGATTATTAATGATTATGCTTATTGGATTCAAACAGCAAAGTAAGATGAATGAAAATCTAAAAGCTTAATTGTATACTAACGGGTTTTAGTGACAACGTGCTAGAAGCCCTGACTTATCAGGTTATGGAATATATGCCAAAAAAGTCTGACGTTGGCTGGCAACTAGAGGAGTTGGAAGCGGAAAGTATTCAACAAATGGAAGAGGATAATGATGGAGAGGATTAGGTTCATATAAAAATCAGAAAAGTAAACGGAATGTTAAACATTGAAGCATTAGGAGAAAGGTATAGACTGGTATTCCAGGTATTCTAGGGAAAAGCAGTTGGAACCAGCAGTTCATAACCAATAACTAAAAGTTGGAAAAAAAGAGCGATGACAAAGTATCAAACCGTCATTCCGCATAGGAAATAGGAAGCGAATGCGTAATTAGAAGAGTAGCCAACTGTAAGACATAAATTAAGTTACAAGGACCCATAAAAGAAAAAAGGCAATAAGTATACCAAATATTTTAAATAACAACGCACGGTTCGAAGATACTCTATCGAAAAATTTCAGGATTTCTCTTTGAGCACTGTTAATATTTGATGCTATGTCGTCTGTGTAAAGATCAATCCTTTGAACAGTTTCACGTTGTTCAGACACCATTTGTGCTAATTGAGAGAAAATTCCACCCAGCTCGGAAATTGTACTCTCAATGCTTTCAATAGAAGACATTCTTTGCTGGGAGTACACGTCAGTTTGATTTTCCAGTAATGCCATTTGCTCGTATCGGGTATTCGCGCCTTCTCCTAGATTTAAAGCAAGGTAATCGTCATTTGGCTCATACTTGGATTCGTTGTAATTAAAAGGCGAAGTAGCAGAATTATTATTAGCAAGAGGATTAGTATTTAGAGAAGTAGAAGCAACAAATTTTTCTGTTCGGTTTTGGGAGGCTTTCATGTTTTGCGTGCGAACTTCTAAAATATCTTTAAAGTTCATGCTAGTATCAGCAAGTGAATTCTGGAGAGAAACGACAATATTCTCATTGTGCTGATTGATTTGAGCAGGTTTGTTTCGAGTACCCTTAGAGCTTTGACGAACAATCTGCTGTAGAGAAGCGATATCTGAATTCAAAGAAGAGAGGCTTTGTTTGATTTGATATGTCAATTCCTGAATTTCCACTGGCCGATCATCAAACAGCGTTTTCCGTTTGGCGACTAAATCAACAGTTAGTGTTCTTCTGCCAACAGGAATTCTAAAATGGGCATACGTTGGGATAAACGTTGTAAATGTTTACTTGTCTCACTGATTTTGAAAGCAATCTTTTTTGCGACTGTAGTAAACTCGCTCTTCTGATGCTTTGCTTGCAATGCATTACTCATTGCTGCATTTGATGAAGAAATTCTCATTCGAGCTCTGGTATTTGCAACGCATGCTTGAAATTCTGCCGTTCTATCCTGAAATGACATGAATAATTTCCAATAGTGTGTGCTTTACTCAATGTCGTCTAGAAAACCTTGTGATGTGTGGAAAGCTGGTGGTGGCTGTCTTCTTGGGTTGTTTGATAAAACAAGACAAATTTGGTAATTACAATTTCTTATTTAAAGGAAAAAGCAGAAATAAAAGAGTAAAATATAGTATATTGGCACGAAGAAAAAGAAATTCGCCGTTTGGCTGGACATGCTTTGAGTGAAAGTAAACACACTCTAGGATGCATCAGTTTGTTTACATGATTCTCTGAATGTCATAAATAGATGCACGGAATAATAACTATATAATGATGAATTTCTTTCTTTCAATTGCTTGCTGCCAGTTGAGTAATTACATGTAAGAATCAAGCCTGAGAATCCTTTGATTGTAGCGACATCTTGCAAGTTTAGTTTTATTATATAAAGAATTCAAGTTACACTGTTGATTGATGATGATACTCCGTCCTTAGTGTATCAGGTAAGTAGATGATTTGAACTTTTCACCTGGCATATGGAACACACCGTAGGATGAAACTGGAGCTGATCGTTCTGTGTTTATGCGGCGATAAAGATTTTAAGTACAAAGAATGTGTTAGCGGGCCATTCATAAAGATGAAACGAAGCCAGAAACAAATATTAAGACAAACTAGAAACGCATTGTTCAACCTGTAGCAGGTAAGTTCATGCGCATTTGTACTTTCTGGCAATTTTCCATATCCTCAGGAGCTAATAAACCTGAAAAGCGACTATAAGCTTCGTTTCTTCCTGCTAAAACCACACGTAAACCTATAGTGCTGTCAAACTAGCAAAGCCAAAGTCCTCCATGAAGCCCTTGATCCCTAACTATTGATGAAAATATTTATAGGAAAAAGGGTAATACTGATTCACTTTTGTATCCACGTTCGCAATTGTTCGTTTTAAACAGACCTCAAGTGTCGTGTTGAAATTGTATTCACAACAAGGGCTGAGAAACAAGACTAGATGAATTTCATCAGGTTCACGGTCCTCTATTTTCTATCACGATTGATTTTTGTCAGCCAAAATCATAATAACATTCTCGCCTGCTATTGATGTTGCAGACAAGGTCAGTAGCACCATTCATAAGTTGTGTTTTGAATTTATTGTTAGTTTTTCTTTCTCTCTAATAAAATTCATTTCCAAGTCATGTTGTTATGATTTTCCCGATGTGGGTTGCTTCAATTTAGTGCCACTTAATTTGTCAAAAACAACTCTCTACCATTATGTTGAGAGTATCTGGAAATTTGCTAAAGTCGGAAAGAGTACTCTTTCGAGTAAGTAAAACCCAATAAAAATAAACAATTAACAAGATAGAAGAGTGCGTCGATTCGCTTTTACTCAGACAACTTCTCAGAGCGTTTAGCGAAAGGACCGACTTTTTCAGACTTCTTAAATCTGGAAAAGCCTCTTAATGGGGAGGAAGCCTTTGAGTTAGATAGAAAGGTAGAGCTTCCTAATGGAGCAGTTCATAAGCGTCTTCCTTCTTGGTTGAAAACGAAGGTGCCGCTTGGGTCCAATTTCACCAAAATAAAAAATGACTTACGCGGGTTAAATCTGCATACTGTTTGTGAAGAGGCAAAATGTCCAAATATTGGAGAATGTTGGGGAGGAAAGGACAAGAGTCAAGCTACTGCAACGATCATGCTGATGGGTGATACTTGCACTCGTGGTTGCAGGTTTTGTTCCGTCAAAACTAGTCGCCGCCCTCCTCCTTTAGATCCCAATGAGCCTGAAAAAACAGCGGACGCCATCACCCGTTGGAATCTAGGTTATGTTGTGCTCACCAGTGTCGATCGAGATGATCTGGCTGATTTGGGCGCCAACCACATTGCCAAAACCATTGATAGCATCAAGCAAAAGGCTCCCCATATCCTTGTGGAGGCACTTACACCAGATTTTGGTGGAAGGTTGGATCTCGTAGAAATGGTTGCCAAGTCTGGTCTCGATGTTTTTGCACATAATGTAGAGACTGTGGAAGACTTGACCCCTTATGTTCGTGACCGTAGAGCCACTTATCGTCAAAGTTTGAATGTTTTGGAGCAGGCCAAGAAAACGGTTCCTCATTTGATTACGAAAACAAGTATCATGCTGGGACTTGGTGAAAGAGATGAGGAAGTCTTGCAAGCATTAAAGGATTTGAGAGCTCATGGTGTTGATGTTGTAACTTTTGGTCAATATATGAGACCGACGAAGCGTCATGCTAAGGTTCAAGAATATATCCACCCTAAGAAGTTTGAGTATTGGCAAGGAGTTGCTGAAAAGCTCGGTTTCTTGTATGTTGCCAGTGGCCCTCTTGTACGTAGTAGCTATAAGGCTGGTGAATTTTTCATTAAAAACTTGATTGAGAAGAGATCAGGAAATTCAACTTTAGCTGGTCCTTAACGTTCCTTTGTCATGAGTTTTCATAAATCCATCATTTTGGCATTCTGCACTATTCGAAGAACCTAATATTTTTAATAATCATTTTTTTTTCTAATTCCATACTAACCCTAATTAAATTCTACATAAATTTTCAGTAGCAAAGAATTATCAACGAAGATTTTAGTGTCGTCCATGACTGTTTAGAATGCTGGAGAGCGGAGCCATAGCAGCTAAAAGATTTTCCTCTAGTCGTGGTTGAATAGGTAGCATGAAAGGAAATGGATTGACGGTGTGCACATCATCTATTGGTTGATTTTCAAAAGAATTTCCAAAAAGCAATAATACGTGACGGAAGGAGGATTGGAGCTTGTTCGATAACTCCAAAGGAGAAGCATGGGCGGAATTATTTATTTGTATCTTTAAATCATATCCACCTTTATAAGGTCCTTTAATAAGATCACTTAGCGAACTGGAAGGCCGAATTTGAAACCCCCAATACCTTCCTCCTTTTTCGCGAGGAGCTGTATAAGATACTATGTCTCCTTGCAAATGCCCTTCAGCATTTGGAGCTTGTGGCTTCATCCGAACGGTAACTCTATCCTTGGCTGAAAGTGATTGTGGAGAAGTAACTTGAATAGGATGCTCAATTCCAACGTGAACTAGGTATTTGTTTTTGGAGCGAGGCAATTGATTAAGAACATAGCCTTCTTTGTAAGGGAAATTTTTATCAGGAACTTGACTAGAATCGTTGCGTAGAGGAATTAAAGGGAACAACCCCATATACTTTAAATGGGGAAGTAAAGGGAATAGAACCTTGCGCATAAAGGCTGGAGTTTCCATATATCGAAGGATGTCAGAAAAGAACTTCAATGGGTCCCGTATATAGCAATCAGAGGAAGCACTGGCATTTTGCGTTTGTTTTACATTCGCCGGATCAGCGACTAAGATAATCTCGTCAATTTCGTAGACAATAGCCAGTCGTGCAATCTAGAAAATTTGTAAGCTAAACGCTCTTTTGAATTCGTTTTTTTCGCATTTACCTGGTAGACAAGGGCGCTTTTGAGCTGTAGATTGTGAGCCTCATTCAAGCAAGACACAGGAATGGCTATAGAAACAGTGTATCGTCTAGTGGATTCCATACTGTACAAATAACAAAACTAAAAGCTTCTGGTGATGAGAATTAGGTAGTTTTAGGAATTTATTCCATGCAAGAAGGGAAAAACAAAATATAAAAAAAACACAACAGGAAATAGCAAAAGATGATTGAATAGAAGCAGCCCTTGAAAGAATTCCAACGGTAAACCACAAGGATCACTAAGTTTTTGTAAATTGATGAAAAGAAAGAATCCCTACTCGAGCGCAAATGACCGGTGAATGAGTATATGAAAAATTTAGCAGTTGACTATAGGGAATCAGGGCATAAAGCCCAAGTCCAATACCCTTTCAAGCCATTCAAGTAAAACGCTTACAAAGCATTTTTAAATGAAACTGTGTAAGAGCTAATGCTTAGATCAAACACAAGAGTAAACAGGAAATTCATCAACAATCACGGCTCAAGAAAATTGGATGTTTGCGACTGGAAGTTCCAGTTTTGTAAATGACTGAAGCATAGCTTAGTTTCCTACAGCCTATTGATTAGCATTATGGCTTCTTACTTATTCCATCTGTTTGCAGAACTGAAAAGGCAGAAAAGCACAAGTCGTAAGTGCACCAAAGACACGATTCGTCTTTATTATAACTAAGCGGTTTTCCTTTTTTTTTCTCTTTATTGATTCAACACAGGTTTCTCGTCAAATTACCAAGGAAAACGTTTCTACTTGGTTTGTTTACTAACGTACTATAGTGATGTATGACACCAGAAAAAACAAGCAGTTCGATTGAGAGAGTGAAGACGGCTAAGTACAAGGGAAAAGAGGTGAAGATTAAAGATTAAATCTTCTTAATTTTACTAAATCTCTAAATATAAATCCCCCTTTTTCTATGGTTTTACTACATACAGGTTTTTATCAGAAAGTGTCCTTAAATAGCTTAACGCGCTCCTACATACTTTATAATATAGCTTTGTACTATCGTTAATTTTAACAACAAAGAAGGGATAGAGGGGAGAGAATGATTTGCAACTCGCGTACTTGAATTCCAACCAGCTTTGTTTTCTCCAGAAAGCAAAAAATACCAAAACGAAGCATCTTTTCCTTTGAAAAGTTGTTTCATCATTTTTGGATTGTCAGGAAAGGTATACTTGCCTTTTTCCCGGGAAAAATCCAAAGATCTGAGGTCATTCTACTTCAAAATTAGTTCAGCTTGCCATTGGAGCAATCTACGTTTTTAACTCTGCTATATTTACCTTGCATTCATTTATACTCTTTGTTTTTACTGTTAACGCATTTGTATTTTCGGTCTTTCAAAATATTTATCAACCTTTTCGCCCATTCTTCCTTTTCTGCTTCTTGTTGAAATAAGCTGCATACGGAAGATTGTAATTCTATACGCTCTTTTATTCAAGGATAATCTTCTTATCTCATCTCGTTTGGGTTTCATACTTCTTTTCTTTTACTGGCTAGCATTTTTTAAGTCCAAGTGGTTTAAAATACGATTCATCCTTTTCTTTCCATCCTCCAAATGAACTTGTGTCGCTTGCTTTCACGCCGAGCTAAATATTTGAGCATTTTCGTCGTGGTTTTGCTCCTCTTTTGTTTATATTCCTTCAAATCACTGACAGAAGCTCCTTCTAAACGATATGGCCCTCATCAGCCTATAAAACCCCATAAGCCTGTCCGACAGGATCCTAATTCAATTGTAATGCTTGTTTTAAGCTATGAGCAGATCTCTGATGATCCAAAATTCCTCGACAAGCTCCTTTCAGACAGAAATGAGTATGCTCAGCGTCACGGCTATCAGCTCGTCCACAAAGAAGCTCGTGACATTGAACGCAAATATGGAAACGACAACACTTGGAGCCTTGTGACTGCAATTCGGGAAACGTTATTCGAACATCCTGAAGCTTCTTGGGTTTGGGTTTTAGATCCAAGGGCCGTAATCATGAATACAGGCGAGTCACTTAAAGAGGCTATTATGAATGAGCAACTCAGTAACAACTTATTGCGTAATTACCCGGTTGATCCATTAAAACCTCATATTCGTACAAACAGCAAAATGAATCTCGAAGATGTCAAACTTATTACAACAAATGACTATAACGGAATTAGCATTCGTTCTTTCCTTCTCAGAAATGATGACTTTGCTCCTTATTTACTTGATGCTTGGAATGAGCCCTTGTTCAAACCTTATAAGAAAGATTTAGGCGAAAGATCTGCTTTATCCCACTTGCTAGAAATCCATCCTACTATCCTGGAACATGTCGCTCTTGTGTCTCCTAAAGTATTAAATTCTTATACTGACTCTGCCGTTGATTTGAACTATCAGGAAGGTGACTTCTTGGTGCTTAGCAATTGCGAGAACGCAGCATCTTGCGAGCGCTTTTTTGAGTAAGTCGCTTTTTATTTTTTTCTACTTTATTTCAAATATTGACTAACTCTTTTTAGTACTTACGTTAAGCAGCGAAGACCTTATAATCACAGAAAAAAGAAACCCTCTAGCTAAGTTCGTTATGGAATATGTGAAACCAATAGAATTATTGTACTTTTAAATAAAGATACTTTCGGTTTATTCAATCTCATTATACGTTATAATACAGCTAACTCACTTAAAACCTCATATGAAATGCCTACTTTTACTATACTTCGAACATACATGCATCATTTTCACCTACACAACACTTAATCTGGGCTCTTTCGGTACTCAGTCTAAACCGTTTCATTAATAATATACCTAAATCCACGTATACCCAATTGAATATCATTATTATATTTCATGGTATCGTTGTGGCATGATGCTGTTGAAAACATCAAACAACGGAATATGTTGAAATTTTATAAATGAAAGTGTGCAAAAAGCCAATGCAAAATTAATTAGAGAAATTAATAACGGTAGTGGTCAGCCTTGTAAGGACCCTCAGATGGAATACCCAAATATTTAGATTGAACAGGAGTAAGTTCGGTAAGCTTAACATTAAGCTTACCCAAGTGCAAACGAGCGACTTCTTCATCCAACTTCTTAGGAAGCATATGGACACCAACAGGATAGCTTTGGTTGTCAGTCCACAAAGCAATTTGAGCAAGGACTTGGTTAGCGAAAGAGCAAGACATGACAAAAGAGGGGTGTCCGGTAGCACAGCCAAGGTTGACAAGACGACCATCGGCCAAAAGGATAATATGGCGTCCGTTGCTCAATTCATAACGGTCAACTTGAGGCTTAATGTTGACGCAATCCTTAGCATTCTGCTTCAACCAGGCAACATCAATTTCAACATCAAAATGACCGATGTTGCATACGATAGAGTCTTCACGCATAGCCATGAAGTGTTCACCGCGGATAATATCACGACAACCAGTGGTAGTAACGAATATTTGACCTTCAGTAACAGCCTCTTCCATAGTAGTAACTTCAAAGCCATCCATGGCAGCTTGGAGAGCGTTGATAGGATCAACTTCAGTAACGATAACGCGAGCACCTTGATTGCGAAGAGAAGTGGCACAACCCTTACCAACATCACCAAATCCAGCGACAACACCAACCTTACCAGCAATCATAACGTCGGTAGCACGTTTGATACCATCGACCAAAGATTCTTTGCAGCCAAAGAGATTATCAAACTTGGACTTGGTAACAGAGTCGTTGACATTAATGGCAGGAACCTTAAGTTTGTTCTCATGGAACATCTTATACAAATTGTGGACACCAGTAGTGGTTTCCTCAGAAACACCGCGGATATCAACAAGAAGTTCAGGATGACGCTCATGAACAAGAGCAGTCAAGTCACCACCATCGTCCAAAATCATGTTCAAAGGTTGGCCGCTAGGGAAAGACTTTAATTGTTGTTCGATACACCAAATGTATTCCTCCTCAGTTTCACCCTTCCAAGCAAAGACGGGAACACCAGTAGCGGCAATGGCAGCAGCGGCATGATCTTGAGTAGAGTAAATGTTACAAGAAGACCAGGTTACTTCAGCACCTAAAGCAACCAAAGTCTCAATGAGAACTGCGGTTTGAATAGTCATGTGAAGACAACCAGCAATTCTAGCTCCCTTCAAAGGTTGAGACTGGGCATGCTTCTCGCGAATAGCCATCAAACCAGGCATTTCATTTTCAGCAATTTCAAGTTCCTTGCGGCCAAAGGCAGCAAGGGAAATATCAGCGACCTTATAATTCTGAACACTCATTTTGTTTTTATTAATAAAAGCTACCGTCTTATCCCAATTTACCTTGCTTGAGTCGTGGTAAAGGAAGAGTTAAAATTAGGAACTGACAATTGTATGGGATTCTTCCTTTCAGAAGGAGGATACATAAAAAAAGTTTATTTATTTAGAAGATAATTCTAAAATTCCTTATGGTATTAATAAAATTACGGAAATGCCGTTAAATATGAAAATCAAACATTTATGGAGTTTCTTGTAATTTACATGTATTAGAAGAAAAGAAAACGTTTTTAAGGTAGTTTCATGGATTTCTGTGTAAAATAAAGAATAAAATTGTTGAATTCGTTACTATGAAGTTGCGAAAATGTAAACAAACAAAATAAACAAACAAGAAAAGACTCTTCACCAAAGCAAACCAGCTTTCTTTTCAATTCATAATAGGATATGAGCAAAGAAATTCCTTATTCGCTGTTAGATTTGAAGGAATTTCGTTTCGAAGACCGATATTATGTGAAGCAGAAGCTAGGAGATGGTAGCTTTGGCACTGTGTATCTGGCAAAAAGCAAAGGAAAGCAGGGTCACGGGCAAATAGTATGAGAAAAAACCAATTGATATTTCTAACAACATTTAGGTTGCCGTCAAGAAGCTGAAGACCAGCAATAAACCAAAGCCGAAACATGAGTTACTGAAACTTCGAGAGTCGTTGGTAAGATTATTGTAGCCTTTCCTTGACTTTATTATCTTTAGGAAATGATGAGTTAAACATATTGCTAACAGTATAGGTACTTCGACAAATATCAAAACATCCAGGCCTAATCGACTTATTGGAGACATTTATGGATCCTAACAGAAACATCTATTTAGTAATGGAGTGTATGGAAGCAAATCTATATCAAATTCTGAAGCGAAGACAAGGAAAACCATTCACAAAGTACACGGCGTGTCATATTCTAAATCAGATTATTCGAGGAATTGAGCATATACACACGCATGGATTTATGCATAGAGACGTAAAGCCTGAGAATATTTTGGTTAAGAAACTTACAGATCGACCAGTGTTTTCAAGGTATAGTGTCAAAATTGCAGACTTCGGATTAGCCCGATCTTCTACTTCGAGTGATCCATTGACTGAGTATGTATCTACCCGTTGGTATCGTGCACCAGAGCTTTTACTCAGAGCAAAAGATTATGGAAAGGCGGTTGATATGTATGCTTTCGGTTGCATCAGTTTTGAAGTTTTTACCTTGAAGCCTCTATTCCCTGGAAGAAATGAGACAGACCAGCTCGACAGGATTTGTGAAATTCTTGGAAACCCTCTCTTGGATGACAAAGACAAACTGCACTACTGGCCCTCTGCTAGAGATTTAGCTGCTAAGCTTGGATTCTCCTTTTCTGTGACGAAGCCATATCCAATAAGGAAATTACTTCCAGTAAGCTGTGAAGACAAGTATGCTGAAATGATCGCGCTACTCTTAGCATGGGATCCGTTTGTTCGCCCCACTGCAATATTATGCAAAGAGAGATACTTTCCCAAAGTTCCTGAACTGCCAAGCAGTCAACACGAAGTAAAGCTAAAATCAGAAAAACTGACCAAACCTGTAAGCTTGAAGAATGCTGCATCTGTAAAACCTATCCTAGACAAAAAGCAAGAAAAAAGGGTCAGCTGGTTCAAAAAGAACTTATCTAGCTTTACAAATGCAGTGAAAAATGCATTACCTGATGCTCCACCGTCTCATCTTCCTCGAAAACCAATAAAGCTATATAGTGATGAGAAAGTAGATCATCCGTCTCATCCTTTACTGAGTGAAAAAATGAACTCAAATGAGAGTCCTTCCGAAGTAAAACATCCTGAAGCGTTGTCTTATGAGCTTGTTGAAAACTGCTTATTGCCGTCTTATGAACATCAGTCTTCTTCTCATTTGATGCCTCAAAAAGCAACTCACTCTAATTTGCAAGTTGTACCTGGAGTTTTGAATGATAGCCTTCCTGCTAAGTCTCAGAAAATTATTAATCCTATACCTAAAAGAATTGAAAACCGAGCTGGTGAAGAGTTGAGTTCGCCTAAAGCCGCTCTTTCCTATGACAATCAGCTGAATAAGGCTCCACTCACATTGAATTTAACATCTAGCAGCAACTTCAAGCTTTCTTCTGACTTCAACAACGTTATTGATGGCTCAAAAGATGTTGATACACCGAGCCTCAAAATCATAGGTATTAATCATAGTTTAATTCCTAGACCCGTTCGTCAAAATTATGGTGCTCAAGGCTTCCGAACTTCGAGATCAATCAGTTGTCAAGCTTACTCAAAGTTGATGGTATACGATACTTCATCACCGGTTAAGATTAATCGCTCTACTTCTGAAGGATTTTCTAAAGGCTAAACAAATACTGTTCAAGAATGAGCAAATTTGCAAATCATTAATGACAAAACTAAGAATAAACAGCAGCATTTGATGATATATGATATTATTTCACATTCAATAGTGGTCACAGTGGTTTCCACAGTTTATCTCATTCATTCTCAGTTGTTGTTGTTAACAGAGGTTTAACTATTTCATCGCAATTAAATAGTTTCATTACATTCTACATGATACTAGCATCAGTTGCTTACTTAAATAATGAAGCTTTTCATTCTAATATTAACCTGTAAACAGTGCTCAATAATCACAAGTAGTATCATCACTATAAAATCTCACAAAAACGGTCTTACATCATTTAATAATAAAAAATATTCAATATATGAATTTCAAGAATGTAGTATCACTGTTAAGCTGTAGATTTACTTATCGTAATAAGTCTGGTAATTCCAACGATCCAGAGCTCACATTGGTCTTGAAGGGTAGTAACCATAGTAACCTGAATGTTAGACGCTGTTTGATAATCACGATTCGTCAATGCAACAGCCAGCGCATAAAGTTCATCAATCAAAGGTTTTGAAATGGCATTTGCGTTGAGTCGGTCATACAGCACGTTAAGTCGCTTCTCCATATCATATAATACGCGTGACATTTGTGGAGGAACACTCTGTGAAACGCGCAAGAATTCAGCGTTAAGCATTTCATATATTGGTCTCAAATTAGGTGGAATATGAGTGCGATCACCTTGAGGATATGTAGTCATTCCAGCAGCGCCACCCGAGGGTCCAGCAACTGACTGTCTCTTTGTTGAAAGGTTTTGTGGTGGAGGAGAGACAATCGAGCCTGACGCCATAGGGGGTAATGGAAAAGTGCTATTCATAGAACTAGGAGGTGCCTGAGCACTTAAGGGAGGCATTGTCGTAGGTGGTGATTGGGTAAAACCAACATTAACAGGTTCATATGAAGAAATACGTTGGCTAGGAGTAGGGGGAACCGGAACTACTCTGTTAGCCGAAGCTTTTGGAGGTGGTACAGCAGTACTGAATGGAACCGTCGGTTGAATAGGAGGAGAAATAGCGGATGTTCGAGTAGGACCACCTAAAGGCACATAAGCGTTGCTACTTTGTGTATCTGCAGGAGAAGAAAGACCAGAGAATGTCCTTGCGGGCGACTGGGCCCCAATTGGCGTGTAAGGATTAGCTGGTCTTTGGCTTTGATTCACCAAAGGCTGACTTGCGGTTTGTACTTGTGGCTGATGTACTTCACCAACTTTTGGTGGAGGAGGAGCGGCTGCAGTCGAACCTACAGAAGGTGGTGGTGGTAGTGTACTGGTACTACTAGTTCGTGACATATTAGGAGGCAAAGTTGCTCCAGCATTAGGGAACGGTGATCTTACAGCAGGCAATGAGGGAGCTGCACGTCTCAAAGGTGGTTGATTAACAATTGGAGGATCATTCCAGCCAGCTGCAGCATTATTAGATACTACAGATGGTGGAATAGGAGAGGACACGGAAGGTGGAGCAGCAACGTGTGAAACGTTCGTCGAGTATGCAGAAGTATAAGGATTACTAAGATTAGTAACCGACTGAATTGGTTGAGGAACAAACGAGGAAATAGGGTGTTGGCCGCTTCCAGCAGGACCATAAGTGGACCTTTTAACTTCAGGAATTGGGGCAGGCGTAAGAAGAATTGATAATCTTTCGATTTCTTGTTTGGCCCCGGGGAACGCACCAGGAACGAGGTTCAAATAACTTCTAGCTTGCTCATAGTGACCAGCCGAAAGCAAAATCCTTGAATATTCAAGATAAACTTCGTAAAGGCCACCTAATTTCCAGTCTTTAGTTGCAGACAATTCATCGTCTTCATATGCGACAATTGAACGGAACGCATTAACTTTATCCATAAGTTTGGTGAGTTGACCAACATATCCGACATAAGAAGACTTCGAATCATCATCAGTACCACAATTAGCAAGTTCTTTAAGCCAAAGATTCGCATAACTTTGTAAAGATTTACTGGCAATGTAGCAAAATTCTGCTGCACGATTAGAGCTAAAGTCGTCGAGATTTTCTAACCGTTTTCCAAGGACACCACATAGAGGAGAGAATGCTTCATTAGTGGCATAAGTGCAGATAAAAACAAAAATATCTTTCCATTGACTAAGATCTGCATTTTGCACCGCATTTTCTAAGTCATTATCAGCAATGCAGGCAGAAAGACGCATATAAGATGGCTTATGCTCTTGCATTTCGTAAAATGCTGTCCTAACACACTTGCGGCATTCTTCATCGCCGAAAGTAGCTAGGAAGAGAGCTTCAGAAATTTTCTTATCATTTATACAGGTTTTGATAGCGGATAATACATCACCTGTAAGTAGCATTTTTGTAATATTAGTTTCCAGCTCTGAATCTTCAGAGTTAAAAATCTTAAAGGGGTCATTTGAGACTTCTACTTTATTCTTATCAGAAACTGTAGTATTCTGCAAGCTGTCAGAAAGTTTACCATAAAAAGAGGTATCATCATCATAACTCTCATTATTAAGATTCTTCGATGTGTCATTAGCGTTGCTAGATGCTTTTATATTCTCATCGAATTCTGTGGTGCTGTCTTCCTTATGCATCTCCTTTATATTTCCATGACCTAAAAGTTTAACAAATTCACTCCTAGATACACGCTGACTGACTGCTTTAAGAAGTTTCCAGTTATTTGCTTCTTCTTCGGTTTTCGCAGATTTGGCGCCAGAATCACAGAAAGCGACGATGTCATTCTCCGTCTGAAACTTAGTAGTAGAAGAAAAATTATCTATAGGCTCTTCATCCTTTTGAATTTCTATAGGCTCTATAACGACGTTTTTAGAGTCAGGAGAAAAATGAATGAGTTTATTAGGAAATCCAAAGCGAACGCCACAAGGAACTTTATACCACTTGGGAGCAACAGGTAAAGAGAAGGCAGGTTCCTGAGAACCAGCTATTGAGGGAAGATTGTTGAAGAATTCGTTGTCATCTATAGAAGTAACGCCTTGCAAAGAAGCTTCATGGGATTTATCAGTATTGGTGCTCTGGATAGAGAAGATAGAGACTTTGCCGTCTAAAGAAGCCGTCGCAACGCGATTGGAATTCGAAGGACACCAAGAACCTTTAGTATACCAGTTTCCAGAACGAGGGAAGTTTCCTAAAGATTCGCCGCTATCTACATCCCAAACAATAGCACGGCCATCTTTACCACTACTGAGCAAAAATCTGGGATCTTGAGGACACCAAGATAGTGAAAGGGCAGCTTTTTGATGACCTGTGAGAACATTCTGAGGTGTTGTAGGATAGCGTAAATCCCAAGTCAAGATGATAGGGTTTCTGTTATCATCAATAGCGGTTACAAGACGAGTGGCATTTTCAGGGTGCCAGGCAATACTATTGACTCCCCCTGTAGCACTTGTACCAGTAGCACCCATATAAGAAAGATTAAGGATTTGTCGCTTGGCTTTAAGATCCCACACAGTGGTATACTCGGAAGAATTACTCGAAGCAAGAATATGAGATACCTTGCTATTCCAGGCAACCACATGGATTTCGGAAGAACGGTTTTGTTTAGGCAAGGAAAAAGGCTTCGAAGGATTTTTAATGTCCCAAACCCAAACGTCACCATTATTATCACCAGATGCTAAAAGATTGGTTTGTACTGGATTAAAATCTAAAGGACCCAGGATAGAATTGTTCTCAGATTTATATGTTGCTATAGAAGCAGCGTTCTCATTAGAATCCAAAATGGCAGAGGCGTCGTAAAAACCAATACCGCCTTCCTCTAAAGTTCCGGCAATGACACCGTATTGTTTATCTAACGATTTTTCCCAGTCGAGATCATAAAACTTGGTATTAACGTTTGTAGAACCAATTGGCTTATTGGATTCTGATGAAGTATCCCAAATTTCCAAAAGATTGTCACTTTCTCTGGCATTTTCGGTACCTATATAACCACCTATGGCAAGTAAAGGCTGATTATCATTTACTCCTCGTGGGGACCACGCTAATGTTGCGCTCTTATTGATATCTTTTAACCTCATTACTCACTCCAACTTCTGAAAGCGCTTTCGTTTGTGACCGTTTTAAAAGATTTATATTATAAGCTGCAGGCAAATACCCGTCTTTATTTTTCGTATTCTTATGATATCTTTCAAGGTGGTTGGTTCTGAGTATGTTCGGCTTGTAACTTTCCATGCGTAGCATCTGAAACGTCCAACAAATAAGGTAACAATTTACTAGACGTTACCTCTAGAAGAAGCCATAACATAATAGGTAACAGTACATAATTAGTTTTAAACATTAATCACAAAGCAGATAGATCATAATAAAATTGGAATAATGAGTATTTGTGTTTAAGAAATAAACCTCAAACTAAAATTTATTTGTTCTTCTGTTGAATTTTTGTACATAGATAAGTAGAGGAATACGAAGAATAGAAGGTGCAAGAAGTTATACAAAAGAAATAGTACTAAAATTAACCAAGAAAATAAAGGACAAAATAAAATGCCTTGCACAAAAAGACAGAAGAAAGATAAGAGGCATTTTGTGAAGCTTTTTCATTATCAAAGCGTTTGGGCAGCTCGAAACGTAAAGTAGCGAACGGTTAAAATGGATAATTGGGCTAGTCCTTTTTCACCATAATCCAAAATTATTTTATGAAAGTTTTCATTCAGAAAAGCATTAAAAGGAAGAATTAAACAGAAAGACTCCTAAAAGGTAAGAATAATATAGAATCAAGATCCATAAAACAAGCAGAAGACTTTAGAAGCATCGGATACTTCAGTTGGCTGATCCAGAAGCAGAGGCAGCTTGCGCTTGTTGAAGTTGCTCTAATTGTTGTTGCTGAATTTTATCCCCATTGAAGATCATGTCAAACATGCTGTACTTCTGTTCAGCTTCTCTAGCTCTTTCTTCCTCGAGCATCTTCGGTCCATGTTCATCGATATATTTCTTAAATTCGGCATAGGCGGCTTTCTGGCGTTCACGTTGGATGTCAATAAGAAGTTTGGGTGGCTGATCAGAAACTGGACGACCTCCAAACAAGGAAGCTTTACTATATTTTTTCTTTTCAAGCCAATCGGCAATGAGTTGACTTCGAAGTTTTTCCTCGCGACGAGCATATTCGAGAGGGATGTTTTTACCATGGTAGCTCTTCAAGACAGGACGGACATCTTGAATATCCATAATTGCGATAAATTCAAGTAGGGGAATCAAGCCAACTAACTCTCGATCTTTGGGATTACCTTTCCAAGGAACCATGGCAATGGCGTTATCAGGTTGCTTCGACCAAGCATCAGGGTTTGTGTCAACCATGATAACCTTCGAAAGGGGTCGATTCAAGTATGAAATGTCCTTAATGAGTTTTCCGTTTTCATACTTACTGTGTTCGCGAGTCAAGACAGCACTGATACTGACATGATAAGGATCCAATTTGTCGACAATGGGTTTTGCTGTTGCTAAATATTGATTGGTGAAGATGACAATCTCATAATACATGGACAAATAGCCTAAAAAGTAATCAAGGCCAGGACGCTTAGCGGTACGCCAACCATGTTCACGAGTCCAACCAGCGTGAATTAACAAATCGTCCAAGTCCAACACAAGTGTATAGGGGCGGTTATAAGGTTCGGGAAGCGGGTCAGGAAGAAGTTTCTCAAATGCAGGTTCTTGATAGTATGCAAAGAAGTGCTTGGTGCGTGCTTTCACACGAGTCCACCAATCCATGGGTGAGTAGCCAGCAGCTGGAAATTTCTTTTCTAAATCCTTTTCATCATCCGTATATTTGCGACCATAATAAAGTATACCACCGCCGAGCGCACCCATGAAGCCCCAGAACGCATAGCGAGCCTGTTTTTCACGGCGCAGCATTGTCGAACTTACATATTCAGGACCTTTATCGCTACCGCCGCTGTAGGGATCCTCACTCGACCCATTCAACTCAAGTAATTCCTGCGCTAATGAACTTTTTCCTTCTTTTCCTTTGTTTTCTTCCGGCTTTGGCGTTGATTGCTTCTCTGGGGAGAAAGCAGGCTCAGACGCAAATCGTCTGTTTACGAATGGAGCAAAAGTCCTGGGATTTGCAAGCCGTAAACTTTTCGATATTAAGGACCTTTTCAGCATTTTGGAAGATTTTTATTGGTGTTAGAGGTGAATGTCTGACAATGTTTTAGGTTAAAAACAATACATTCGACCTCGTTAACGTTCTAACGAAACGAAAGCCGATAATAGAAACTATAAGAAACAGTAAAATGGTAGTAGGCACATTGGCATTGAAGGCACCGAAATCGAAAAGAAATGCTATGCTATCACTTGCAAAAAACAGTGGAACGAATGAAAGTTTGTAAGAATCCAAAGTTGTCTAATCCAATCTTAGGATACAGTCTGAACCGTTTCAGATGGATTAAAAAAAAGTATTGCGGCGAGTGAGGTTCGAACTCACGCGTTTTACAACAGCAGGGTTCACGGCTTTGAAGCCACTTAAATCTGCCCCCTTAGACCACTCGGGCATCGCCGCTTGTTGTTATGAACGAGCATCTTTGATTATATATAGGTTATGTGCTGTAATATATAGTATTACAAAAGAAACACTAGTTTACGGAGAATTTGTATGCTTTCGTATATAATAACGTAAACAATCGATAATTATTAAGAAATAATGAATTTTTATTAGAGCTTTTGCTGAAATCTCTACATCCACTTAAACATTGGAGCATAGAATTCCGTCACACGAGAAAGAGGGGGATAAAGTAGGGTGCGCAAATAGTTCGCATGAATTTCTGTTTACGCAGGAGAAAAAGAAAAAGAAAAAGAAAAAGAAAAAGAAAAATAAAATAAAATAAAAATCTCGGTAAGATGAATGTCTAGTGTTCAGAGGTCTCACTAGCAAAATGGTTTCATTTCTCTTTAACAACGAAATCCATAATAAACGAAAACTGTTTGTTTTATGTTTTACCTTGTTTTCGTTTATTGTTTCAATGAATCGACGTTTTGAGAGAGGTTTCATGTTTTATGTTTTGGTTTAAATTTCATTCGAGTTCGCTTTCAAATATTCGTTTACCTCTTGCATTCAATCTTTGATGAAGAATTGCAACAAACTGTATGATTTTTGAAGTCTCGAGAGGTTCATTTCGATATAAAACAAACATTGAAAGATAGTGAGCGAAGCCATCGAGGAAAAGGCAAATTGGGCCAGTTCAACAAAAAAGTCCAAAAAAAAAAAAAAAAAAAAAAAAAAAGGGAAATCAACTGTGAATTCGTCCTTAAATTCGATAATAAATTGAAACTGAGAAGACAAAAACGTCGAAATTTTCGCATGATAAAAAATTGAAAATAAAGTATACTGTCATCACACAAGAGATACCCAGATCACAATTGTCGTGTCAATCATGCAGAAATGTTTGTTGGTATGCTTTAGATGAACTGTAATTTACAATATACAAGGATATGTACTTTTTTATTCTTCCGAAAAGAATCGCTTGTTTTTGTTTTATACATGGAACGAAAAGCAAGCAAGGGGTTACGACCACCTTTACTGAATCACCCAAACATGAAGATTGAAAACGATGAAGCTTTTTTTTGGATTTAATTTTGGTTTGGTAAAAAGGAGAATATTATACCCTTATTTATATCTTTTTTGGTGTCTGTTTGTTGACATTTGGCAATGTAAACAAAAATAGAACAACAAACAGACGAAGCATCACGATTGGTTTGTTTCAAAAAAAAAACAAAAAAAAAACATTGCAAACTATGTTATTTATTTATTTGAATCTTTTAGCTCTTTTTGACTTATTTGCAAATAAACAAAGCCAAACTGTCCTGAAATGAGTTAGGGAGACAATTTACAGGAGAAACCAAAAATAGAAAAAGTACCCAGTATTCGCATGTTGTCTCATAGTCAGAATAGTTTATATGAATTATTTGACTGAAAACTTGTGTTACTGATCAGTTATTGTGCAATCATCTACGCAATTTTTTTTCATTGCTGAGTACACTAGCGATATATTACCATTTTCAAACATGTACCTCCTATCAATAATTTATGACAAGGTGAGGACAATTGGAATTTTTATGGTACTTAGGAATTTTACTTGCGATATAGACCTTATTTTCTTCTATTTTCTATCGTAAGTGGAGCATGTTTATAATTGCTTGCTAACAAGTAGTAATATCTGCCGTTGTCTAAGTAACAGGAATCTTCGCCCAAGCTATAGTTTACATAGCTGTTGTCAGGAAGCGTTAAAATTAAGTTAACTACAAGTGCTATATGTTGGGCATTATATAACGCTTTTGTCTGTTGTTTTGGATTGGAAGTTGATCACTCAACTGAAAACGCCGCTTCGCCTACACTTCCTACATAATAACAAAGGGATGCTACACCTCCTCCTCTGCTAACGACAATGGATAAAGCAATAGAGCTGCAAACCAATCCTGCGATTGACGTTAGTTCCATTCGTTTGTTATTGTCTCCTTCTGAACCTTTACTTTAAGGTAATGAAGAATTGCATTTGTTTCAATCTATCTTATTATGAGATGAGTGAGGAGGGAGACTTGAAACTGCTGGTTTTGTTATTACTCAGTACTACCTTACTTTGCGAGTTTACATCGAATTTCCAAGTTTATTTTAGTTTTCAAATTGCCCCTGTATTAATATGATAGTAAAGTCTTGCAATGAAAAACCAGTTATTTAATATGAATAATTGAAGCTTTTTTCGTCGCCTTTAGAGGCATGGAGTTGGTAAACTTGCTAGAACATTACTGGAGCCTAACGTTTTTGGGTCGTTGGTCATTTCATCCATCAATTAATATCCTTATTTTCAAATTGAATACTATCGTTGATTTCCTTTTTTCTTGAACTTGTAATTCCATTTGATTTATTGAGATCTCTGATAACTCGTTACCTTTAGGGTAACATCCTGCAGCAAGTATAAACCAGTTTGTACGTTTTTTCCATATTAAACGAGAAAGTGTATAAATTAAAAGAAAAAATGGATAAATTATGAAAAAGAAGTAGCCTACAGCACCTCTCTAACCATAGCACAAACGAGATTAAGCCCTCAGACTCTTAATTGCAGTGATCGGACGGGAACTGATGTTTTTCGCCTATGTATGGCCGTAGACAGTTCCTTCAGTTCAAAGAAGTAATTTATAGGTTTTTTTTGATCCTGAAGAGCCCGTGAAAGCTGCTTTTTGGTTGTAGTCTGTTACTCAATTGTCTAATGAAAAGCAGTTAGCTAATGCGTCTGCAGTTTCCGTGTTTTGTTTGTTACTTCTTCTGTATGAATAACTTTAGTGCAACGAAAAATTAGTAACTCACTTTCAAGTAAAAAGTTGTTCAACAGTTCATAGAGAAATGGGATCTGCTTTGTTTACAGAGGTGTAAACAAACGCGAAATTAGCGAAATTTGTTACTTGCTCACTGTGACTCAAACGTATAATCAACGATTTATGCTATATGTCATTATGGGAGATAGCGCAACAGAACCCATCACTATCCTGAGCAAAAATGTTGCGTAAGAGATGCGAAATTTCTTGCTGGAGCCAACTGTTTATTTCTTCAATTCCTGCCAACTGGGCTGATTTTGACTTCCATTTTGAGCTTTTGGAATGACCAGGTAGAGCTTCTTTAGTTTTGGCTGCTACTTCTGATGAGTTTTGCGTTTGCGAAATTTTTATATCGAATACGGATCGACAGCTTTTATTTGACGCTCTTTTGCTAATTATTCATTGAAATTTCTCTTTATTTATTTTTAGGATGTCGGAAAAGGAGCTAAAATTCGATTCAAGCGACCCTCCTGCGTACAGTCAGTCGAATGTTTACAATGTTGACCTTGAGAAGGGACTTCCTTTGTATATGCCAAAAGACATAAAGAACCCTTCCAATTCAACTTCTTTCAAAACCAAACATAGAAAAAAAAGGATAATAGTTGAGTCCGACGACTTCAGTCGTTTCTTTACCGACTTTAGGAAGAAGACAGATCATTATTTCCCTGAAAATGTAGTCGTTAAAAGTAAATCGATGTTTTTCTGTTTGATATTGGCTTTATCATTCCTTTGTACATTAGCAATCTCCTATCGTTTCGAACTATTTTCTTTTCCGAAACAAGTATATATGGAAAATGGATACAGTTTGGCCCTTCTTGGACCTTCAGGCCTTTTGCTTGTGATATGGGCAATATTCTTTGCTCTTTTCTGTGGTAAGTGGAGCATTACTGTTAATCGCAAACGTTATTAGAATGTGTGTTACTAATAAAGCCTAGCACTTATTTGGCCTTTCATATTGACAATACGGATTGCCGCTAAAGTTATAATCTTTATCGTGGTTGGTCTTGGCAACGGTCTTGCATGGTTCGTTAGTGTTGGCTTCGAAGGTCTCGCATGGTTCGTTGGTACTGGCTTCAAAGGTCTTGGTGAAGGTCTCGCATGGTTCGTTGGTGCTATCTTTTGGGGAATTTATAACATTACTGTTTTTGGCCTTGGAATGGGATTTGAGCGCTCAGCTGAAAACACCGGTTCGCCTACACTTCCCAGATATCAACAGAGAGATGATGCATTAGCTCCTCCGCCGACAAACACGAATGAAGAAATCGAGCTTCAGAGCAATCCTACCACTCAAAGTTAATGCCTACTTATTTGCGTTTCTTTTCTCATGAGCCTTAACTCTTCCGATCAAAAGTCAATAAGTGGAAAAAGAGAACATTACAAGCAATTTGTTCCGGTGAATATTTATATATATTTGTTAAGCGTTCTTGCGTTTGATTTTGACTACGAACTCATCCTTGTACCAACATGAATTGGAAATGACGAAGAAAATTGGACAATAGAAAGGCATGCATACAATCCGCGCATTGAAAGGAACCGTAATCTGAGATCATTGGCATCATCCTACGTTCTTAATGATGATTATTACTATTATCCTTACTCTTATTTGCAATTGAATACGTTCGTTTCATTTCTTTTCATTGAACTTGTAATTAGTCTTTTGTCACTTGTAAAGGAACAGCTTGCAAAAATTCTATCGAGAAAACGATTGCAAGCAACAGTAGTAGACGTATAAAAAAGAAAAAACAAAATAAGAAAAGTAAAGAGCAACAAGAGAAAAGCCTACAGCACCCCGGATTCCCATGTTGTCTCCAACCATAGTACTAACGAGGCCCTCAGACGCTTAACTGCAGTGATCGGACGGGAACTGGTGTTTTCGCCTAGGTGTGGCCGTAGACAGTTCTATCAGGCTTTTACAATAATTATCTGACGATAATTGTTTAGCTTACGTTGTGGTCATACTTGACTTCAATCCATAAAATCGGTTTTTCTGCATCATCGTAGAGTGTTTAAAAAAATATTTAACGGTTTGAATTAGTTTTTCCTCCTTCTTCTTACCCATCCTTTTTCTTCTTGTTTTCGTGCATTACTAATTATGATACATTGTCACCGTGAACGAACAAAGAGCATATACAAAAAAGAATAAATATCATTAGATGAATTAATCTTTTAAAAGAAGAAGCACTAGAATCCACTCTGACGCACCAAACGATTATAGAATAACGAGAACATGAATGGTCCATTCACTTTTATGTAGACATTTACGATAAATTAATAGCCATCAACGTGCTAGTTACATGGCTGTTTATATATATAAAAAAAAAAAATGGCCAAATATTCCCATAAATTTTGCTGTGATAATTCCCTCAAAATCGGTTTTTTCATAGCCATTTCTCAAATGGTATTAGAAGCTGTTTCATGTATAATTTCAGCATATTTTTGTTTATCCTAATTTAATTGTTTATTTACCAGTTGATCTGATAGTGTTGCATATTTTTTAGGATTATATTTTTTAGGTGAGTCGATATAATATTACGTAACATTGCTTCTCTGAATTCAAAGAGAATATCGTTATATACTATAAAGATCGTCTTAATGAACGCATATACCAATCGAGTAATTCAGACTGAAAGCAATATCTTTGTATTTTGACTTATAATTCCACGAAAGATGGAACAAAAGACTTACTTTAGCGATGCCTTCAAAAGCTACTATAAAACTTATTACCCAACGTTCGGTAGGGTAGGATCTTTCATTGTTGCTAACTAACCAATATAGCTTTTAGTGGTGCTCGTATGTTGAATGGTGTACATTTTCGATTCCCAAGCTAATGTGCCAGTTTTGGCATCCGTACCTAGAGCTCTCAAACGCCCAGTAGGAGGCCCTTTTGCACCAGGTTGTTTACTATGTGGAGGCTTCGGAGCAGTTGGAGGGTAAGTACAGTCTGTAAAACGATATTGCCAGACATTATGTCTCAATCATTGAAACTGTCCCTAACTAATTTATTCATAAAGACTTGCGATCGCCAGTGGAGGTAAGTGAAAGAAAGTCGGAAGAGAAGTCTTCAAATACTATAAAAGCATAACACTAAATGATATTTGCTTGTGAATCTTAATATTTTTACTCGTCGCTAACCTGTGCGTGTCTTAAGATTTAGCGAACGGCTCAGGAATATCTACAGCATGGTCTTTGGCTTATTTATTGATAAATGGAAAGAAGGCTATCAAGTCATTGCGTCTATTCCCTCTAGCTTTATGTACATTTGCAGGGATAAATACGATCGGTTATGGGCGTACAATGATCCAGGAATATTAACAAACCTCGACGCATCCATTGGTAGGAAAGAAAGAAGGGTTTGAAATACACATCTAAATCTTTCAAAAGAAAATAGAAAAGAAAAGAACGAAATGACCTGCTAATACATAGGACCTATACGTACAGCTAATGAAAGACTTTTTGTTTGAACGAACAGATAGCGAAAAAAAATCAATTCACATTATTTACATAAAGCAAATTTTAATTCCCTCAACTTCCAAAACTTAGTAATATGCTTTTTAGAGACAGCGTTGTACACTCAACATTAACGTTAGTTAAGAGTTGGTTAAAATAAAGAGACGTCAATAAGATTTTAAACAAAGACATTAGTGAATTATTATAAGTCCTCAGTCCTCATTGACAGTTTGAGTATACTTTTTCAAATCATTAGCTAGTGTTACAAGGGTAGAATCGGCCGCAAAGTTTCGAATGTACTCTTTATCTACTTCACGTTCTTTCGGATGAGAATGACAGCTATATGTTAATATAATTCCTCCTGAAAAAATAAAAGAAACGTACACATATTCCTCAATCCTCTCCTGCACAGGCCAATCCATAAGTGCACGAAGAGAGCCTATTACAATTCCGGTGCGATGCTATCCATTAAAGTTAATATTTTAAGATCATATTTAGATATTAGTAAAATACCTTTCCTCCGCTGCAATGAATTAGCACCGGCCAAGATTCTTTCTTTAATATTACGCGAAGGGATTTCCTGACTAAAGAATCAATATCTGGATCCATTAGTTACATATATATTTAAAAGCAAAATTAAACTAGAAATTGGGAGTCTTTCACCATTATCACTTACCCATATAATCACTCTGTTCTCCGTCTGTTTTAAATTCTTGTTTCCGATACTTGCTTCCTGGCATTCCGACATGATAATAAGCTATATTTCTCTTTTTCATGTATTCCAATTCTTCTTGAGTATATTCATCTTGACGCAATGAGACGATGGTACGAATAGACAGAGATTCAAGAAAAGGAAAATTCATCAGATTGGGACATGATGAGCGATACATTATGTTTGGATAAACTATTCCGAAATTCTCAGGTACAATTAAAGGGATCGACATTGGGACCGAAGATGAAATCTTTGTTTCTTTAAGAAACTGCTTCACTTGTAATTCATCCAAACCGGTTAGCTGAAGTGGTTTCTCCTCTTTGCTTCGTAAACAATCAAAATTCTCTTCTGAAAGGGCTTCATTATTCAAAGGACCTGATATAGACATGGGAGTTTCCGTTCTCAGCTTATCCGTAAAAAAAATAACCTTTGACATTTAAATCGCATGCAATATCCATCAATCAAACCAATTCTTTCAAAAATAGACTGTTAACTGCCTAAAAATTGTATGAATAAGCGATTTTAAGACTTCAATGGCCACCCAAAACAGTACTCTATGGGAATTCTCAGATTTGCTTGATTCTTAACAAATTGCAAGCAAATATAATGAGTTGTTCCCAAATTTTACTTGAGTGAGTTAATTGAGTGTTTAAAACTAGAACACATACCAGAACTGTTCTACAGACTCCTTCACAGAATTACCTAAGTAAGTTAAGAGCAAGGGCCGCAGCAAAAAATAGGGATACCATTCATTACTGAGATCCCAAAACAAAACAAAAAATACAGTTACAATATTTATTTTTTTCAATACTATGCATATAAAAGATATTCCAATGATTGTTAATGGAGTTGGTATTAAGAGTAGCATCTTTTTTCAATAGTTGGGTATGCTATTCGTATACAATGTCAAATTATTATTCTTCTTTTGTTTAAGTTTGTTCGAATATTTGTACACTCGGCTCAATTCATCAATAAGTCTAAAGTTGAAGACTCGGTGCTGCTCTATAAAACCGCGTTTCCTGTGCAATCCAAAAACGACAAAATTTCTTCCAAACTTATGAATGGGTTTCCCTAAACTTGTATATCTTCGATATATTTATATTTTATCATGACAATGAAAGCAGCACACAAAATCTTTTAAGCAGCTTCATTTTGGATATTAGTACCTCCGTACTTGATACGCCATTTTTCTTCCATGGCTTCATCAATACGAGTAAACAAATATTCAGGCTCTCCAATTCGGTGACCAGGAAGCAGAGGAAGAGAGAAAACATCAGTGATAGCCATAGCAGGAACATTTAATTGCTTATTAATACTGGCCCCAACACCAGGCATATACGGATACATAATAGAAGCAAGCAAATAAATCAAGTTTAGGGAGTAGCCAATTGCGTCAGCACACTTCTGTCTTTCGTACAAGAAACACTTATTATCAACACGATTGTCTTGTAAATATTGATTACCACGAGCAGAAATCTCCATCGCAAGTCGAAGTCCTTCACGCAACTTCGATTGCTCAAGTGCAGCATTGTACTTTTTCAACAACTTGTTGATATCCTGAACAAAGTCCGTTTTCAGCTTACCAGCTCCAACAGATGCACTTTCTAAATAGTGTGGAACAACGCCATTGTACTTGGCAGTTGTAAACTTTAGGGTACGGTTGACAAAGTTACCAACGTTAGCAAGCAATTCAGAATTGTGTCTAGTAATGAAATCCTTCCAAGTGAACATGGTATCGGAAGTTTCAGGACGAGTAGATAAAAGGTAATAGCGCCAAACGGAGGGGGATAAACCGATATCTTGAGCTGTATTACCAAACACGCCAACGCCACGAGACTTGGAAAATTTACCAGTCTCATAATTCAAATAATCCGTAGTGTTGATATGGTGCAGCATCGTCCACTTTTCCTTCGTACCTAAAAGAGAGGCAGGGAAAATGACGGTATGGAAAGGAACGTTATCCTTGCCCATGAATTGATACAATTTGACTTGCTCGGGGTTTCTCCACCATTTCTCCCATTCATCAGTGTACTTAGCGGTGATGCTGATGTAACCGATAGGAGCATCAAACCATACGTAAAGGACTTTGTCCTTGAATTCTTCCAAAGGAACTGGGGTGCCCCATTTCAGGTCACGAGTAATGCAACGAGGACGAAGACCTTCCTTCAACCATGATTCAGTAATGGCTCGTCCATTAACAGTCCATTTACCCTCAACAGCCGCTTCAGTAGCCCAAGTTTCAACAAGGGGTTGCAGTTTATCTAAAGATAAGAAAACGTGGCTCGTTTCACGTTTGACGGGTTTCGAGCCGTCTAACTTACACTTAGGCTCGATAAGCTCAAATGCATTCAAAAGACAGCCACATTTATCACATTGATCACCTCGAGCATCATCATATTGGCATTTGGGACAAATTCCTTCAACATAGCGATCAGCGAGATATCCGTTGTGAACTTCACAGTACAACTGAGTCATAGAATCCGCAGACATAAAACCATTTTCATTCAATTTTTTAAAGATGTGTTGGGCAATTTCAGTCTGCTTAGGAGTTGTTGTACGACCAAATTCATCAAACTCAATTTCAAACCAATCGTAGACCTGCTTATGTAAAGCATTGTACTTGTCGCAAAGTTTTTTAGGGGATACACCTTCTTCTAAAGCTTTGGTTTCGGTAGCGGTACCATATTCATCGGTACCGCAGATATAGAGAGTGTTATGATTGCGGGCACGATGGTAGCGAGCGAAGACATCAGCACTGAGGGTACTTCCGACAATATTACCCAAGTGAGGGACATTATTAACATAAGGCAAAGCAGAGGTAATCAAGATGTTGGGTTCATTTGCCTTGGGGAGAAGCTTTTCCGATTGTTTCCGTTCACGCATCAAATTGCTAGTTTGAATGTTTCGGGTTTCTGTAGAAATAGGAACCTTAGCGGAAATCTCAGCAGGCTGACCTAATGATTTTTCAAGACAAACTCTTAAAGCATTTACAAAAGAAGGATTCTTTTCGACCTTCAAGTACCATTTGCTCAATTCTGGGTACTCTTCCAAGCCAGCACCATTGGCAATGCAGAAATGAATGTCAGCGGCAAGAGCAATTTCGGCAGGACCAAATTTTTCAGAAACAGAGTCCTGCTTGATTTTGTCCTGTAAAAGGCTTAGTAGTTGAGTGAAATTTTTCTTCTCAGCAGCTTCTTTCGCCAAAGGACCAAATGTCAAAGCTTCCCAATCCAAAATAGACATTTTAGAGTTTAGAAATTCTTCAAAAGACACGTCCTTTTGCTTCCAATATAAATAACTATGTAACTGTAAGCATCCCTACATATTTTGAATGGGTTAAGTGAATCCTTACCTTATGATCGCGTTGGCATCAGAAATAAACCTGTCTAAATCTTTGGCATCTACCAATCGAACGGAAGAGCTATTTGCAGCTATTTTCGTGTCAATTATTGACCAACCTTTTCGTATTCTAAATCTTACCTGCTTCTATAGGAGCTTTTACACCATACTCATGGACAGAAATAGCAACTTTTAAAGAGTTTGCAAATCTATAAGAAGTCTTTAAGGATGCAGGAAACTGCAATTTAATAGTTGCCATTTTTAGGCAATTCTTTTCCGGTAAAAAGTTTATGAAGAGTTCAGTTAATCTATTAGCAGATCAAGCATATAAGGAGGTGGAGTGAGCACTAGATTCATAGACTAAGATATCGTAAAGATATAAATGTGGTTTATTCATGAAATGTTTAAAAATAGGTTCATACATTGTTTGTTTTGTAATAACAGTCTCATGTAGCGAGAAGAAAGAAATGAAAATATTCAAATATTCGAATACAGATAGACGAGTTTCACATCTATGTAGCATGGCATTTAGATTCTTTAAAGTAGTAAACTATTAAACAAATTCGACAAAATGCTGGTACATTGTGAAACCAAAACCAAAACCGATAGGAATAAAGTCGATAATGATTTTTATAGAGTGGAATTATTAAACCGAAGAAAATAAGTGACCAACCGAATAGCAATGTAAGGTTGCAAAACGCAATATTCCAAATTAGTTAATAATCCCAAAGTCATTAATGGAACAAGGGAAAAATCATCAAAAAGAGAACGAACTAGTCGCAGTAACGACTTGAAGAGTTAAGCTTGAAAACGAAGTGAAAGGGTGCCAAAAGGAAATCTCAAGTTTCTATCCGTCCTTCTATTCTATACAAATTCGCAATCATTATGTACTTAGGTAAAAGTAAATCATCGAAAGGGAAAACGATAACGAATGAAAAAAGCCAATGAATCAAAGTGTTGAATTAAAGTATTAGACTTAGTAGTAGTAATAATTAGAAAAAGGTTTATGATAACTGAGCCTAGAAAATTCATCGCAACGAGGCAAAGGAATTTCTTTCGCCCTGCTTAACTTCTCTGCATCGGGAAAGAACCAGCCATACGATTTTCGAATTTGATTCTCCTTGTACTCTCTTTCTTGAATACACTCAGCGTGCACTTTTTCCGCATACTGTTGCTCAATCTTATTAGCAAGTCTATAAGAATCTCGAGAAGACAAAGAGTTGTACTGTTTAGGGTTGACATAAAACGGGACCTTGTAGTTGGGAGAAACATATTGAGCAGAATACTTTTCTGTAGGTACAAACGAGTATCCAGCACGGACGGATGTATTACCGTCCAAAGAACTAAAATTAGACAAAAATGCAAAAATAACGATGATGATGATGGGGAGAATTTGATAAAAAACACTCTTGTTGCTAGTATCTTCGGCTCGCTGCCTACGGAACCTCCGAGGACGACCTCCGAATTGATGAACACGGACTCCAGGTCCGCCAAAGAAGAATGTATTTGGCCCTCCTAAAGATATATGTCAGTTTCGAATTGAAATACTATTATTCATGTAACTTACCAGCAAAGAATTGATCACCAAAGAACGAATTGAACAGATCTTCGGGTGACATATTCGCTTGTGGATAGGCAGAAAAGCCCTGAAAGCCTGGACCAGCTCGCTCAGAAAACGAAGAGCTAGAAGCGCTGGCTCGTGATTCTGGATCAAGCCCAGTACGATCGTAGTGTGCCTTCATGTTTGGGTCTGAAAGCACCTGAAACGCCTTGGAAACCTCTAAAACAAGTGTTAGCACATTATCGAATTAAGATAGGAGAGATGGAAAAAAGTGCAAAGTAATCGACCATTACTTACTTTTAAAAGCTTCGTCAGCATTAGGTGCGTGGTTTTTATCTGGGTGTAATTGCAGCGCAAGTTTCCGGTATGATTTCTTGATCTCTATGTCATTGCAATCCTTTTTCAAGTTTAAAATCTCGTAATATTCATGCGCTTTTAATTTCGTGATTTTCTGAACAATTTCTACCTGTTCACGCGTATACGATGTCTGAGAAGAATCATTGCTTTTCGATGCATTAGGGGTTCTCTCTCGCATTGTTGATGTAGCATTATTAGATCCAGTTGATGCGGCAGAAGCTTCCTTTTTACCAGAAGTCCTCTCTTTTGCCATATACCTTTTGAAGTCTTCTGCTTCTGATGTAGGAAGGATTCGTGTTGATTTATCAGCAAGCTTGGACGCTTTTTGATAATCACCTGCACTTAAGTACTTTTTAGCCAGATTTACACAGCTACAATGACAACAATTAGCTTCCAAAAACAATATTTCGCGAAAATAATCTTACCGAAGCGCTTCCTCTCTGCTTGCTTCCATTGCAATAAAACTTTACAGAAGAATCTTAATAAAACAAGAGTTTATTTTCGTATTTTAAGTACAATGCCACTTCCCTTTATGCTTGCATGCAGAGGATAGAAGCATGCATCGATTGATTTTCGAAAGCCACCAGGTAACAGCCACAACTTTAGCACCCTCCCTACCAAGTAACAGGTAATCCTTAAGAGAACGAACTCGCAAAGAGGAAAAGACAGCTTTTTTGGGATATTTGGGCATTTTTGGAGCATTGTATTATTAAAATTGTTTGGTTTTTGTTCGCGTTTTCTTTGTAATTCATCATTTTTTTAAAATAAGAGAAATAGACTTGTACTGCAAAATGGAACTGCATCAAGATGAACCGACATGGCAGCCTGTATTCAGTGAGATTCATTCTTCCGTCCAAGAGGCAGAAGCTGCCCTCCAACATGATGGATCCATGGAAAAAGCTATCAAGCAGGTCGGCTACGCAGATTCTTTAGACGAAATATCCAAAATTGATGAATATATCTACATAAGCAGTTGGAAGGCTGCTTCACAGAAAAGTTTACTGGAAAAGAACGATATACAATACGTGCTGAGTGCTATGAGTTTAGACCCAAAACTAAACTTACCAAGCAGTCACCATCTGTGGATTCCTGTCGAGGATGGGAGCTCGCAAAACATTCTGCAACATATTTCGCAATCAATTAAATTTATCGATCAAGCCGTTGCTTCGAAGTCTGGTGTTCTTGTACATTGTTTCGCTGGCGTATCTAGGTCCGTCACTCTAGTAGCAGCTTATTTAATGAAGAAAAATGAATGGAATCCCGAGAAAGCCTTAAGTTATATTTGTTCCAAACGCTTGTATATTTCTCCGAATCCGAGCTTTTTAAGGCAATTGCACGTGTTCTATGAATGTCATTTTGAGCTTTCTCAACAACAACGTCCGTATAGACTATGGCTCTTCCATAAGTACGGCGATTTTGCTGTCCTAAACATCAGAGTGCCATCTGATGTAACCTACACTGAGTCCGTTCGAGCTCGCGCAGGACAAACCGAAGTTCGTTGTAAAAAGTGCAGATTTATACTTGCATCCTCTGACTATATTATTCCTCATGAACCAAAGAATAAACCGCTTAATGTCCGCTGTACTCATTACTTTCTTGAGCCTATTCGTTGGATGCAGCCTGAATTAGAACAAGGAAATTTAGAGGGTCGTTTCGATTGTCCCAAGTGCAATTCAAAGATTGGTTCCTACCGATGGCAAGGAATGCAATGCAGTTGCCTTGAGTGGGTATGTCCTGCTCTGAGCGTTATGCAATCTCGTGTGGATGCTGTTCGAAAAGTCATATAACGGATACAATCCGTTATATTCTTACTTGTTTATGTCGTCTCTCTTTTCAACAGTTTTTTATTTTGAGATTTCCTCATTGTATTCATAATTGTCCTTCTTACACTCCAAAATTAAAAGATGTGAATAGATGGAGGAATCGCTTACAAACCTTTCATTCATTCGTTACTTTACCTAAATCTCTTACTCGTACTTTTACTCCTATGTATAATAACAAGCTTAGAAAAGAAATCAACATCTAATTTTACAAATCTATTTACTTCATTAACATCTCTCAAATCCTTACTAATAATTTGCCGTAGTAGCAAAAGATTAGCGAAACGATTTTAACATATCATAACCCTACCCTTGTATTGCAACGCTACATGCAGAGCGATGTAAATGCGAAGTAGAAAGTACCTTTCCCTTACACATTAAGCGAAGAAATATGCCTCCTACTACAAAGGCGTTTGATTATTTAGTTATTGGCGGTGGAAGCGGTATGTGTTATTGAATTGAATAATTTTGATAGGAGTTATTAATACGTATGCTCTTGTAGGTGGTCTTGCCTCTGCTCGACGTGCAGCCAAATATGGTGCCAAGGTAGCTTTGGTTGAAGCTTCTGGCCGTTTGGGTGGTACTTGCGTGAACTATGGTTGTGTTCCCAAAAAAATTATGTGGAATATAGCCGATTTAGTTGGCAAGATGAAAACGGCGCCCCAACAAGGTTTCCCAGAGAGCAACGTTGGCCGCTTTGACTGGGGTCTTATAAAAAAGAAGAGAGATGCTTACATTAAAAGACTAAATGGAATTTATGAGCGTAATGTCGACAAGGATGGTGTTTCCTATATTTCTGGTCATGCTAGCTTTGTTTCACCCACTGAAGTTGCCGTAGATATGTTGGACGGCTCTGGCGTTCAAACATTCTCTGCAAAACACATTCTCATTGCTGTTGGTGGTAGACCTATCTGGCCATCTCATATTCCCGGTGCCGAATACGGTATTGACAGTGATGGATTCTTCGAATTGGAAGAACAACCCAAGAAGGTTGCTGTTGTCGGTGCTGGATACATTGCTATAGAGTTGGCTGGTGTTTTTGCTGCTCTTGGTACAGAAACCCACCTGTTTATTCGCCAAGATAAGTTTTTGCGCCGTTTTGATCCAGTCATCAGCGATGAAATTATGAAGTACTTTAAACACATTGGTATCCAAATCCATAGTAATTATCACGAGTTTAGTAAGGTTGAAAAGCTTCCTTCTTCTCAATTGCGTCTTCATAACAATCAAATTACTTTAGATGTCGACAGCCTCCTTTGGGCCGTCGGTCGTACCCCCAAGACTGAGGGTTTACGTCTTGATCAGGCCGGCGTTAAGACCCTTCCTAGTGGTTATGTAATTGCCGATGAATACCAGCGCACAAATGTTCCTTCTATCCTTTCTTTGGGTGATGTTGTTGGCAAGCTTGAGCTCACCCCTGTAGCCATTGCTGCTGGTCGTCGCTTGTCTGATCGACTCTTTGGAGGAGTTAAGGATGCTCATTTGGATTATGTTAATGTTCCCTCTGTTGTTTTTACTCATCCCGAAGCTGGTACCATCGGTTTAACTGAACAAGAAGCTATTGATAAATATGGCGAAAACCAGATTAAGGTCTACAAATCCACTTTTAGAGGTCTCAATTATGCTTTGGTTGAAGAAGAGGATAAGGTTCCTACTACTTATAAATTAGTATGTGCTGGTCCTCTTGAAAAGGTCGTTGGCTTGCACTTGGTTGGTGACTTTTCTGCTGAAATTCTTCAAGGTTTTGGTGTAGCTATTAAGAGTAAGTGATTTTATTTTTTGTTTTTCTTTATGTCAAGTTTGTTGCTAACATACTATAGTGGGTGCTACCAAATCCGACTTTGATAACTGCGTCGCAATTCATCCCACTTCTGCAGAGGAATTGGTAACTTTAGTTTAAACATATTCACATTTTCTATTTTAATCCATTTGTCCGTTCCTTTTTCAATCTTATATACCTGAGACACAAATAGAATAAGATTTTGTAAAAATTTAATATTGAGAGAAATTTATTTACTAAATAATATATCGTTTAAGAAAGTAAATACTTTTTATACGAGAAATGAACTAGTTTTAAAATAGAAGTAGTTGTCAGTGCCCAGTTCTTCTTTCAGCTTCACTTCATTGGAATAAAAAAATCAAAAATCATCCTTAATTTCCTGTTCAAGTATGGCTCAGGTAAAACAGGCAATTCAAAAGAGGTAATACGATACAAAAAGTAAAGCAATTTGATCGTGTCTAATACTGATTTATTTGTTAGTCTTCGGTTTTACGATATTGGATTCAACGCAACAGATCCTGTTTTTCGAGGCTTTTATCATGAGAAACAACGCCATGTAGATGATTTTGACGCTATCCTTTCTCGCGCGTTGTCGAAAGGTGTCCAAAAAATGATGATTACTGGTGACAATGTCGTAAATTCAAGAGAAGCTTTAAAGCTTGCAAACCAACATGGTATGAAAAAAACCTAAGCGATCAACGGTTACATACATAAACAAAATTGACGTTTTTTTCAATGGTAGTATGAAGCTAACTTGCAGATTCTTTTACATGTACAATTGGAGTGCATCCTTGTCAGGCCGAGTGCTTTAATAAGAATCCTCAGGGACCTGAAGACTACCTCCATCAATTAGAAGCCCTGGTACTTGAAGGAAAGAAAACAGGGAGAGTGGCTGCGTTTGGTGAATTTGGTTTAGATTATGACAGACTTCATTATGCTCCAGCAGAAGTACAGAAAACGTGAGTAACCTACTATTAAGTGAATTTAGCGTTCCTTTTTTAACATTAAAAGATACTTTGAAGAACAATTAAAGCTTGCCGTCAAAATGCAATTGCCTTTATTTTTACATTCAAGGAATGCAGCCAAAGACTTTTTTGAAATCCTCGAAAAATATTTACCAAATCTACCTAAAAAAGGTGTTGTACATTCTTTCACCGGAACGATCGAGGAGATGCAGCAATGTGTCGATCATGACCTATATGTTGGAGTCAACGGTTGCTCATTAAAAACGCCTGAAAATGTTGCAGTTGTAAAAGCAATTCCTTTGGACAAAATGTTATTAGAGACGGGTACGTTTTCTATGCTATATCAATTATTGATAATTTTGAAAAAAAAAATTCTAACTGGATTCTACAGATGCCCCTTGGTGTGAGATACGTCCATCGCATGCTGGCCATGCTTTCTTGGATTCCAAAAACGTTTTTGATACATGCAAAAAAGAGAGATTTAAAGAAGGATGTATGGTTAAAGGAAGGAACGAACCATGTAACACCGTGGTCGTTGCAGAAGCTGTAGCCAAGATAAAAGGAATAGATCTCGAAGAATTAGCTGATAAAATTTGGGAAAATAGTATTTCCTTGTTGGGCTAGATATTTTTGGACACCCAATCGAGAACAACAAGTGCTTCTGAGCTTGGAGTGTTATTTATAGTAAAAGAATTGACAAATCCCAATTCATATGCCATTCCTTTCCAAGGATAATTCATAATTTCTTGTTGAAGGTGATCATTTGAACTTGAAAAACTGAAGTTTTCAATTATTCCATGTCGTACAGATATATTAAGTGCAACCATGTGGTCACCAATAGGTAAATCCTTTGTAGTTAAAAATTGCTGAAAGAATGGGGTTTGTCCAAAAGTCCAATCCCACGATTTGAGCTCCTGCATAGTTCTCAATATATGCGGCACACCAGTAAGATCATCTGAATTCACAAACATAATGCTGTCTTCCGGAATAGAGTCTATGCTTTTAAGATCATTAAAGCGAGAAATACTAGAGTTATTTTTAGGTGAATGCCGAGCAAAGTCGTAGCGTAAAAAGCTTAAAATTGCTTCCATCATAAAATCTATTCGAGCAAGTTCAACGTTTCCAACCTGAGATCGGGTACTCGAAACACCTTTTGAGATAATGCCATTCGTTGAACTTTTCAAATACTTACTAATCTCCCCCAAATCCGATTTCAGAAGCATGGTCCCATGATGGTAAGCTTTCCCTTTGCTGATTTTATAAGCGGAGCCACTTATTTTTTGCTTCGTTTCCTTTAAAACAATATCATGACGTTGGTTAAGCTCTGCTCCTACGTTTAATTCTTGAAGAGCCTTAATTATCAGTTCAGCACCCTTGGTATGTGAAAACTCGTTTCGGTCTGTGAGAAGACTATAGTTCACATTTCCCAAATCATGGAATACAGTACCGCCTCCTGATTTCCGACGAATAATGTTGATTAAATTGCTCCTGCATTTTCTCACATTGGATTCTACCCAAGGGTTTTGATTTCTTCCAATAATCACACTAGGGGTATTGGTATAAATAATTAAAGACCGAGGAGATTTACTGTTGGAGTACAGAAAGTCTTCAAGAGCCAAGTTAAAGTATGGGTCAACTGACTTACTTACGATAACTTTAGCATGTAATAGCCTAAACCATTGTTTCGAGGTTTCAGATAATAACTGTGTCCTTAAATTCATTGAATATATCTGTCAGCGTTTTGCCTTTGGTTATCTGGATTTCCGGAGATGAATATTCCTTAACTCCTCAGAGCTGTTTTGTCTTCAGTAATTTTTGCGCCTTTTTTTCTATTTCTCAAGAATTCAAAAATTTTCATTTAAATTTAGCTGCGGATAGTTTGATAAATACTTCTTTATTAGCCAAGTCATTCATTAAACCTGTTAAATTACCATTTCGTACGCATGGAGTTGTTCAGTTCTGCTAGTCCTCTTCAAATCGGTAAATTCCAATTTCGTCTTGTCTTATACTTTGAACCCAAAACTAACAAATACAGTCCTTTCAAATGAAATTGATGGTTTATGTACACAATTCTTAAGAAGTCAGATTGAAACAGCGTTGAAAACACTGACTTCTCCAAGACCTCTTTGGGTTTCCAGCGTCCCACAAGAGTGTTTCAGTACTTTAGCGAATTTGCTTTACCAATTGTCAAGTTTAGGACGTGAATCCCTGGGTAATGAAGTATCTAGAATACTGTTGGTGAAATCTAATGGCAGGTCTGCCTTGGAAAAGGTATCGCCAAAGCAACAAACTTATGAAATCCTATTCAATTTAGGATCCGAAATAATACTCCTGCTATTAAAAAAATGGGGTCAGCATAGTGTCAGACGTATGAGCTCCACACATGGCTCACATCATGATCATTCAGACAGCTCGCATACGAAATATGAACTTGTTACAAGGTTACTGGTTTTTCTCAAAAAATGGATGCCAGCTCTATCACGTATTTTTTCCATCATCCGCCTTTTATTCTTAATTAACAAGCATCATTGTCGATCATTTTCTCAACTCTTACTCGGCTTTCATTATATTTCATTAGATACCTCAAGGAGAAATCTTCCAAGTAAGGAATTCTTGCTGCTTATAATTTATCATTTCATAAAACTTGCGATATCCTTCTTGAGGAATACAAAACGAGGCAAGCATTTGCTTAATCCAGAGACAGATCAAGACTCTTGGTCATTAGAACCTCCAACACTAGAGGATCCTAAAGCATTTCCTTTTATACCTGCTCCCTCTAGAAAATGCGCTCTATGTATGGAATGGATACATAGACCTACAGTGACTGAATGCGGGCATATATACTGTTGGCATTGTATATTTAACTGGACGAAAACTAAGCCAGAATGTCCCTTATGCAGATCTTTTTCCTCTCCTTCTAAGCTCATTTTACTTCGATAGACATATCCTCTTACCTGGATTTGTTGACGGTACAAGTAGATCTGATATGCATTTGTCGTCAAATCGATAGCAAAGAACATTAAGCGGAGTAAAAGATTTTAAATCCTGACATTTGTTATACAATCCAGCCTACTCATGTGTATGACTCCAATGTGATGGGCAGCTAGATTACAGGCTGCTAATATTATTTCCATTCTCTAAATAGTACAATAGGTTGATATACAGCACAATATGATTCATTAATCAATTTTTGAGTGCATCATCCTTGACTTCTGCTTGGATCTCATTAAAGAGATCGTAATAGTATATTAGGTCAATTATCTTTACTACATTTAATGTTAAAGTGAATCATAGTTATTCTTTCTATTAGAGAAACTTTCGAGCTATTTTAGGTTTATAAAAAATAACTACATTTTGTATACTGAGTTCATTCCTTTTGATTTAGACAACAACAGCCCTCAAATTTATAAACGGCTGCATTTGACATTAGGTCTTGTATGCCGCCGACAGATTTTGACAAACAGTTGAAATTTTCAAAAATCCAAAAGTTTCTGGGCGTTGTGTACCCAACTGCGATTTTACTGGTGACCGGTTATATAGTATGGGTCTATGTCGCTTTAGTGTGTGGTATGTAAATGAACGTACTGTAATTTTTCTTCAAACTAATTATCTATTTAGTTAATTCCAATATAAAAGTAAAAAATGGATACAGGGCTATGGGAGCAGGAAGTATGTTTTATGAAGTTCAATGATCGGTCATTTCCTTCATAGCAGTATTATTAACCAGAAAGTTACATTCGTAATCTTGTTTTTTATAAGCGTGGGATTAAGCTATTTATCCTATTTTCGAGTTCTGTTCTCAAATCCGTCCTATTGTGGTGATATTAGTAAGTGCTTTATCACAAAATAATTTTAGCAGATTTACTAACGCTTAAAAGCTTTGGATTACTACGATGATACAACTACAATCTTTGTTTGTGGCCCAAACGGCGCCCCTCGTATATGTGGAACATGTAAATGTTGGCTACCAGATAGATCTCATCACAGCAGAGTCAGTATGAAATGCATCAAAAAATTTGATCATTACTGTGCGTTGTACGTTGTTTGTTTGATTATACCTTCTAGCTAATAATGGTAATAGCGTTGGTAAAGATATTTGTTTTAGCAATCACAAATTCTTCTATCAATTTCTATTTTATGGAACCATTGCATCTCTTTTTGTCTTGATTAGCACTGCAATAATGTACGCTCGTAAAGGAGAATATCGAAGCCTTCCTGGAACTTGGATCTTTGTTTTAATATCGTATGTTTTCACAAACTTTGTACCTTCGTATTTAACATAATTAGTTCTGGCTTTGGCGTTCTTTTCATGGGTGCTTTATTACTTCGACAGACTGTTTTTCTACTATTAAACATGAATAGCCATGAAGGAAGAAAGTGGAAGTCGAAGGTTTATCACTTTAGTGTGTTTTTTCCAGAGCAAATGACCAGTCGTGTTCATGTACAAAGCGATCCGGGCGACCTTCCTTGGGATTTGGGGTATTCAAAAAACTGGAGATCTGTAATGGGCGATCATTGGTATGACTGGTTTTTACCATTTCGTCGTTCACCTGGTAATGGTATACACTATGAGTACAATCCTTCTTTTCTGCACAAAATGCGCTTAAAGGCCACTTCTACTCCCTAGAGGTAATAAGTAATTTATAATAATTTAGGATTACTCTAATCCTTCCATGCCTCTACTCGTCGATATAAAACATCAAGCACTTCTGAATATTGAAGCTCAATCCCTTTTTCTTTCAATACTTGGTCAACAACTTGATGATTATCATCCTTAATCGCTTTTATAAAACTTCTAATGGTCATTTCTTTGCCCAGATCCAATGACAGCAGTTCAATAGATGATGTCAATTTCTTAAAAGTTAGTAATGGATAGTATGAAAATTCCAATAGAATCTGCATTATATCTCTTGTGTACTGTATACCACCGCGGAGACTAAATTGATGGGACATTATGATTTTAACAAACCAGTTTCCGACAATTATTCCTAATTGATATATAACCTCACGCAACGAGGCACCGGAAAGAAGACTTTCTAACGTTCTTATAAGGTTCCTTAAAGAACTTTGAATTTTCAGTATCTCTGAGGATACGGGAGATGTAGCAATATCAACATTTAATGGTTGTTCCTTTATTACCCACGTATCGATGTCAGCGTAGTCATTAACCAAAGGCTGCAGCATCTGAATTGCTGCACGTAAAATGAGTCGGAATGATCCTTTCTTCAAAACATCGATTCTATTCTTCATGACGAAAAAGGCAGAATGTTCTTTATGACCATAATGACTCCCAATCTCAATATATATTTCTTCATCTTCATAATCATCGATCCAATTTTTTAAGAGATGAAAATTGCTATACAATTTGCACATACGTTCTACTTCAGTAGTTTCATTTTGACGGCCTAGTTGTAATGATCCAGGTAATGCTTCACTTTGGGAGCTCTCATGTGCCTCATAGAAAGACTGAAGCCACTGAACGTACTGTTGCAACGGTTCCAATTGAACCTTTTCAAAAAAATCCCTTTTATACTTAAAAGAAGGTAACAGCCGGAGTGTAGCATACGTTGATTCCATCATGTCTCGAAAACGAATAGTAGTCTTTGTTGGAACCGTAAAGTTATAGTCATTAGCCTGATCAACCGCCATATCCCAAGCATCTTTGGACGATTTTATATCATTTAATTTTGCATTCATTTGCTGAGCTTCAAGGTTGAGCCACTTATCATAAATAGAAGGCTGACAAAACAGAAAATCAATCAAGTAATCATGATCTGAACCAAAATATTGTTTTAAGTGTACTGTATAATGAAGGGTTTCGTGAGTTAGGTGAACTAAATAATCATCATATTTTGCAATGTGAGAAAGCTTCTCTTTGACAAGGTCATTAAGCATAAGGATAAAGTCAGAGAATAGAAAAAAAAAAGAGTCAGCTTCACATTTTCTGAGATTTAAGAAAAAAGCTCTCAAAGAACGAAAAGTTTTTAAGAGATATTCATAAAACCACTCTGGCTTTGAGATTAAATTTGTTTGTCTTTTGGACATGAAATGATAGCGAAACTGATTTGCATAGGGTTCAACAAAAACTTCCAAGAATAAAGGATGTCCAGAATTTCCATTTGAAAAAGCATTGACGGATCGAAGATAGTCGACGAAGCTTTTGTATACCGATACTGCATACTTGTTACCGTCTAGAGAAGGCCATTCGAAATCAAGTTTCAGTCTTTCACGAATGATTTCTTTTAGCTTTTGCTGAGCACTCTCCTTTTTTTCTGTAAAAAGTATTTCTGTCATACTGAGGATACAGTTTGGCAAGATTCCAGCCTGGTCTTCTTTAGTTGACAATCGATGCCAATCTTTTTCCAAAGCAAATATGTTATCATCCGAAGTATCATCTTTAACTTTCTTAATGAAATCCTTAACTTCCATCAAAATAACTACCGTATCTCTGAGAATTGGCACTGGCTCTTCAGCCTCTGACGCTTCTAGCCAAGCATCTTCTAATCCAATTCTTGCTTTTTTGTACTCGAAATCTTCCCGTATAATTTGTTTTTCCTCTTCTGTAATTTCAGGCAATGAGTCAAAATCTGGGAGCTGCAGTTGCTCAATGTCTTGAACAAACTTTGTCAATTCATCTCTTTTGTAAGGCTGTCGAATTCGTAAATCAATAAAGTCACTAAAAGTTAAATTCATGCCAATAACAGCTAATGCCTAACTCAAATCCCTTCTTTTTCACCTTATAATTAATAGACGTTGTTTTTACGCATATTTCATTAGTATTATTAGCACATAGATATAACTATAATATTACAAGGTATAATCTTATTTACATTTAAATGAAGGTCAGTAATATAGGTATATTTCAATTTTTACCACAAACGTTGCTATTATTCAACAGTAAAAAATGTAGTATAATAAATATAAATAAACTCTATGAGGTCGATTTGCCCATTGAACATATAGAATATACTATTGGCGCTTTTGATATACAATGGAAGATTCATTCATAAAGTTAAAGGCTTGCAGAGAGGATGTGCTGCTTTTTTTCTTTTTTTTTTTTTTTTTTTCGAGAAACTGATTGTAGAATATTATTTCAATGCATTAACGGTTTCAGCATGATCTCGGCGGTTGGAATTAAATAAATATAAAAGCGTAAAAGATCGGTTTTCATGCTTCTGAATGAAATGAATTTTTTAAAATATCTTGCATATTTGTGGCCAGGACGTTCGCAACAGTCGTATTCGTCGAACGAATAGATAGACGAATCATATTTTTCTGATAATTCGGTTCGAGTCGAAGTAAACATCCAATATTCTGAGCATTCACTTGGAGAATGCCGGCACCAACAATGTTAGTAGGATTCATATCAATTCCTGGACATAATCCCCAATTAAGTCCAAGAATAATCTTCACTAATCGTCTTTCATCAAGTTTACTGTGCACACCATTTAAGCCATAGGTCAATTGAGCTTCTCGTTCCAAACCCATTTTTCCCCATCTTTGGAAGAAGGTAGAGCCATCAAAGACCGTCGGTAGCATAAATTTGCTCAAAACGACAGGCAGTAATAGATTGACTGATCTCATTACACCTGCCAAAAATGATATGCGCAAAATAGGGGGATCAAATAATCCATCAAGTCGATCAATCGAAAACCTCTGCTGCAATTGTTTATCTGGAGAGAAAATGGAATCAGTGAAAGAAGCATCCACCTGAAAATTGGGAAATGTCCTAAGTAAAGTAGCTGAAAACGAGCTAAACGTTTCTTTTTGCCTGTTCTCAAAATACAATGAAAGATACCCTTGTGAATCATGAAATTCCATGACGGCACCCACTTGAACTTGAGAGTCCCTATACAATATACCTTTGTCTCTCCAGCATAGACGGTAAAATCCAGAAAGGCTAGAAGAAATATCAAATTCCTTAACTGAGTTTAGAGAATCAGTTAGTGAAACATCCGACTTGCTAATAAAAGAGGACGGTTGGCTTTTCGCTGGGATCGTGAAAACAGGAACTTTTTCACAAACAATAGATAAAAAGTCACTTGGCAGACTTAAAAGCTGTAAATATTCACAAGCTCGCTGCTGTATCTCAGTATTCAAGCTAACAGAATATTGCTTAAAAACTGATGCAACGCGTTTCTGCAAATCAGGCTGTAAATTCGACAATTTTAGTAATACTGTCAGTAAAAGAACTTTCGTTCTTGTAGAAGACGCATGCAATTTCTTATAGACGGTTAGAAATTGCTGCAGAGGTCCGCTTTCTGGCTCATCCGCAATTAAATACCCATATTCCCCCAACAGATAGCAACCACTTCTTACTAGACACTCATGAGTTGAATCTGATTGTAGTAATTTGAAAAGTCTACGGACGGAATATTGCTGAGTACTTTCATTGTTCACGATAACACGAACAAACTGATGCCAAACATCATCGTTCACAGATCTTCCAGCAACACGAAGCAGTTGTAAATTGACATCCACATACCACTTATAATCGTCAGCATAGATCTCAGTAAGAGAGGCGACTTTAGAAATTAGATCCTCCTGAGAAACAGAATCAAGATAGGGTAGGTACATCAGTAAATCATCCACTACAGATTTAGAATTTTCAGCGTCGCACATCATATACAAAAGTTCTAAACTTTTCTTACGAAGAGAGACGTCTTTATAACGTAGTGAAGATAGTATAAGTTCTTTGTGTGTTTTAAGAGAAGGTATATGATGCCCGCATGAAATTAAGTAAGCTGTAGTATCAAACGCTAGATATCGTACATTTGCTTCTTTGTCGGCAATCATCTTACCAAGGCAATTCATGCATTTTTGATAAAGAGAACCAGAATCATCAATAGCGAATGCAAGTTTTATCGCTTCAAAAAGAATAGCATTGATCGCATTGAGATGCTGAGTCTCTTTAATATCGTCAAAGATGCTCAACATTCGGTCTAAAACATGAATGAGAGTACGCTTTGTACTATCATCAATCACCTCTTTATGGCAAGCCAGCAATATGCGGCAAAGATTAACTTGTAACCAGGGACATGGAACAGAATAATAAACATAGTCCGATGAGTATCCCCTTCCGGAAACAATCAATTTTAGTTTATGAATTGCCTTTTTACAAACAAGGTTGTGTAGGGATGGTTCTCTGCAGACAATCAAGAGCACAAATGTTGATACTGCAAGGGATACATTCAAGTCATCGTCGTCAAGGAGCATAATTATGGGCTCTCGCAAGTCTGGATCCATTATATCAGGAAACTTTCTATATATATGAAGCAGAGACAAAGCCGCCTTCTGACGAACAATATTCTCAGTTGCGGCAGACATAAGCAGCTGCTGAACTTCTGGATATACTGTCTCACACATTTCACGACCGCCAAAATTAGCGACAGCATGTAATGCTATAGAATTTTTGTATGAGTCCAAACTCAGTAAATCCTTCTTGATGCTATTAATGACCAATCTAATTAAATCATGGTTTTCGTTCAGCAGCAGAGCAACCGCCAGATATCCAATTTGCTTTTCGCTATACTTTGCAGCGGTAAGAAGCTTGACAGCCTCTAAGTGACCAAAAGATATAGGGTATCCCAACATGTATATATACAAGAGTTTACTAACATACTTTTTTCGATCGTAAGCAGAAAGCGTCGAACTTTGAAATTTAGCTCGGATCTTAGCCAATTCTATATTTACGCGTTTTTCCTCATCTTTCTCCTTTAGATTCCTTAAGTCTGAAATAAAGGTTTTCAGCCCTTTCATTTGGTTATTGACAACCATCTTTGAAAGTTGCTAATTTTGTCTTTTTCCAAACCGTTTCTATTACAATTACCAATTCACAATAAATGAAAACCTCTAAACATGAATGTTTGTGCTCCCAATTATTCCATAGTTCTTTCCTTCACGCTTCAAAGTTTGATTCACACCCTTTCTTTCAACGTAGTCTTTCAACCTGCCAATTGAGTTTACTTAGGCTTACTGAGCTACGGGGTTTTCAAAATTCTCGTATTTGATCGCAAACAATAAGAAAGTCGGATATGGACGAAGAAAGCCAATTGTTGCTGTAGCTAGGACACAACCGCTCTGAGATAGAAAAACGCGACTTAAAATCTCAGCCGTAGCATTTCAGAGTATTTCTAGTGTTTCTTTACTTATTTTTTTTCTTTTATATAAAAAAATTAAAAGAAATAAAAGAAATAAAGAATATCCCAGAGTTTTGTTTACCAACGAATGCTAACTAATTACGCTAAGCTGGTCCTAGTACTTATTAACCGAAAACCCCAGGTTGCCGTTTGCTTGCCAAAAGAAAAATTTTCGGTCTGATCCATTTGTTCTTAGAATTGGACAATATTTGGCATCAAAATGATGAAAATATCGCTCAGGTATGTGAGCGCTTTAAAAAGATGTCCTTCGTTACGGTTTCAGTCTTTCCACCGGACGGTTTCAACTAGCAAAGAGGCACCCACTGAGACATCTACTGAGACACCTACTGAGACACCCACTGAAGTATTGTTTTCTGAAATTAGAGGAATTCCTGATTCTTTAAAAAGGAACCTGACGGATCGTGGGTTTTCCAGGACAACTCCCGTTCAAGGACGCGTTATTCAAGAAGTGCTTCCGGATAACGAAAACGCGGTTGTCCAGGCTAAAACAGGAACTGGTAAAACATTAGCATTCTTATTGGTCGCAATAAAGGACATGCTAAAGGGAAAGCCTTCGTTACATTCGAAAAAAATTCACTCAGTTATTCTTAGTCCGACGCGTGAATTAGCCTTACAAATTTTTGAGGAGGCTAAGAAGCTGACGCCAGGTACCGGTATTAAAACTACCTTTACCATTGGTGGTAACTCAAAAATGTCAGAATCGAACTCAATCCGCAAAGGTTTTGCTAATATTTTGATTGCAACTCCTGGTCGTATAAATGATCACCTAACAAACCCTGAAGTGAGAAATGCGTTATCTGTCAACTCTTTTGTTTTAGATGAAGCTGACCGACTAATGGATATGGGATTTGCAGATACTATTAAAGATATCCATCGCGATGTTGCACGTCCTTTTACCAGAAGACTTTGCTTTAGTGCTACAATGCCGCCCAAAGTATCAGACGTGTTTGAAGCTATTCTTGGAAATAAAATTAAGATTGTCAACTGCTTGGATCCTAATGAGCCTCCCACACACGAACGTGTTCCTCAATTTGTGGTTAAGACAGAACTTGATTCTTTGTTTCATGACTCTCTTGCTTTATTACAAGAACTCTCTCAACAGCCATCTCCTCGAATCATTGTGTTTCTACCAACGATCGGAATGGCCGATTTTCTTGCTGATCTTTTCCAGAGTCAATTAGATATCCCTTGTTATGCCCTACACTCCCGACTTGCCACAGGCGAACGACGCCGTATTACTGATAAGTTTCGTAGAGCTCCCAAAGGAATTTTATTTGCTACCGATGTAGTTGCCCGTGGAATGGATTTCCCCAATATTTCTCAGGTGGTGCAAATCTTTAGTCCTTCAGCTGTTGATGACTACATTCATCGCATAGGTCGTACAGGAAGAGCCGGAAAGAGTGGTGAGTCTTACCTTGTGGTTCCTAAACAAGAGCAATACTTCTTACGAAGCCTTTCTGAGTTGCCTATTCAAGACTACTCAGTGGATGGACTATCAGATGAAGAAATAATCAAGTATAACAAGAATATGCAAGATATTTCTAGTGATATGCGTATTCAAACACTGAAGACTTTATACGCCGCGAAATCCCAAATATTCGAGGATCGTTCACAAACGAAGAATTCGAATGAGTTAGTTTTGAAATTGTTTGGACTTGAAGACGAACCAGCTGCAAAACAAGATTTGATGTCAAGTACGTATGTCAGGAACATCATAAACAAATCTTCTCGTATGCCCGACCGTAAGAATCGTGGTTACCGTCAGACTTCTTTTAAGCAGTCTTTCCGAGGAAATAAACCATATAAGCGCCAATTTGATTTTTAATATATGCTGAAAGCTATGACTACATGGGAAACGGTGGTTATCGGTTCTTTGATTTTTTGGATCTAATCTGTTTCTTTTTTGATCGTTCTCTTAATATATGCACAATGGTTTGCATTATTGAAGTACTCTTCCAATCATTATAACTTACATCTCCATCTACATTAATTTTATCCAGGATAACCTGTTTAAATGGAATGCCTTGCATAACCTATTTTGGTCTAATCAGATATAATATATCCGTAATTACTATAGCAAATGATACCAGGAAAATAAAATCCTAATTGATTTTCTTTGATTCTGCCGAGTGATAGAATGCTAATACTTCAAGGCTCTCGTCAAAAGGATTTGTTCTTTGTAGATGTCCAGTGCTATATACACTGTCCTCAAATTTATCATGTAGTATCTGTTCACGTTCTTGGAAGGGCAATCGTGGGGTTTCTTCAATTGGGAGAAGCGATGTTATTGTATGGCGAAGTAAAAACCATACATGTTCAGAGAAGAAACCAACTAACAAAGAATAGTAAAGTTTTTGTTTTGTCATTGTCTTCATAGGGGAATATAGAAAGCTGATTGAAGGCATCGTAATACTGCCCAACCAACTTATGAAAGTAAGACGCTGATTCCAATCTTTAATGGATTCGATACGTACAGCAACGGGTCTTTTTGACAACTTACAAAGTTTGTATACTGAAGAGCGAATCATCAAATAGCTATTTGCGTACATAAATAAAGGAGCTAAAGGATAAATAGGAGAAAACATAACAAGATAACCAAAAATCAATACCAAATCCTTGTAGTCATTGTACCCGTCATATGTAGAAAGCTCAGATTGCTTCCGAATAAAATTTAGGGACTCGGCCTCAGCAGCATCATCGTGAATAGACAAGCGCTTCATGCCAATCTTAGATTTCACGTAGTATTTAAGATAAGTAATAATTTGAGGAAGCGCGAGGTTTGTGAAATAATTTATAACCTGAGCATTCGTTAAGAAGTAGAAATACTGATTGCGAAGTCTTAAAGGGTTTAATTGAAACTTAGAATCTGTTATAAAAGAAAGCTTCATTGTCAGGTTCGCAGCTTTATTTTGCAAGACATTCGAAACTAGGTGTTCGCCAAAAGGACCATAAACGTATGAGATTAAAATAAGCGCTGTATAAGAAAGCATAAAATGTTGCAAAAAAATCTTGGAGGCCAGCGAAGATTGGAACTTGTTTTTCGTCCTTTGATTTTCCCAGGCTGTAAGCTTTTGAGCAACCAATGTGTAAATAATATTAAAAGGAAGAGTGAAAACTTGGAAGATTAGAGCTGGAAGAAGACTGACCACTGGCTTAAACGGACCAGAATAAACCTCAGTTAGCGTCACGTCGAAAGCAAAAGCAATTGATATTAGAATAAATAAAATAACGCCTGAAACTAGAAAAAGAGGAGCAGTTGTAATCAAACTTCGAAGAACCACTTTCCAATGAGGATAGTAAGATTGTACGGTGCCGGACATATTGTTGACTTGTACCGATGAAGGATGGAACTCTTCTCTACTTTTTTCGTGAAACTGACTATATCTCGTAGACCAACGCTTGGACAGCTGATTCTCTTTATATTTCCATAACTGGATGAAACATATACCCCATACAGACATTCCAACGGAGTAGATAACGGAGTATTGCTGAAACGAATAGTGACCCAAAGCTCCCCAAACGGATAATACAGCAAGCATATTCTTAAAAAAATTTTGAAATGCAAAATGAAGAGCAATCTAACGATGATTAACCTTTTACTCGCCAATGAAAAAAGAATCGCGTCAATCATAACAACTTACCTGAGAACCATACTCAGATTTGATCTTATCCAAATCTTGAACTTTCAAGGATGACTTAAACTTCCACGAAGATATCCATTTATCGTCCATACTAACATTGTGAAGTGGAAAAATATCTATTATGTCTTTGTACGGGTTTTCACTGGGAACAATTCCAAGACAATTCTCTTTTTTGAGACCAGTAATGTATTCATAAAGAACACGAATACGGTCGCTTGTTTCCACCTGTGTAATGTCGTTAATTTGCACATGATCCAAATCATTCAATGATCCGTAGAGGAACGAACAAGAACGATCTTTGTTGACTAATTGAAGGACTAATTCCGAAGGAGCCTTAATCAATATAAATAGGCTGGATTCTGTGCCAGGTCGGACGGCAGCTTCAAACCCAGCTTGTAGCATTTCATGCAGTACTGCACGAACTGTCTTCTCAGTCTCCTGACTTTGGACATTGATTTCTACAACGAAATCAGGAGAATTTACGATTTCCGTGGAGCTTCCTTTCTCTGTTTTTTCATCAGGCTTTTCCATATTCACCGGTAGCTTAGGTCTGTTCGTGAATGGTTATGACGATGTAGATACATATCCTGAAGTAAAATCTGACTAATAACTTTCAACCGGTTTTCCTTTGTACTATTTTAATGTAGCATTCTAATATTATCTACTTTTGACTTAACATTTTATTTTTTTGTTATTAATACATTATGGATGCACCAACGTAGGAATCAATGATTCAAACTGGTCCTATGACTATTCAATTTCAAAAAAAGAAAAATAATAAATCCATTTCGTAAACACTATTATACCAAACATATACCCAATAATCATGCGCCTTGACGCCCAATAATCGAAATCCAAAAAAGAAATTATATGCGCATTATACCCGGTATCCCAAATTTTTAATGTCTTTTCTGAAATTCAAAAATCACTCGTTTTCGCCAGTCTCGATAAGACGTTTGCCTGTAAAAGAAGTAGAACCAGCTTCAGCACGAGCTTCCTTGGCAGCTTTATCCATCGCATGCTGCAAATCATCCATGCCGCTAGTAGAAGCGTATTGCAACACAAGATGACGACCAAGTAAGTGTGTATGCTTCAAAGCGTTCATAGCATTTTCCGCTTCACGAGCAGTGACAAATTCAGCAAAAGCAAAGCCTCGTGCACTTCGATCAAACTTCCGTGGTACACGAACAGAACGCAGCTGGCCATAAGCACCAAATAAAGACTGGATATCTTTCCTAGAAGCTTCGAAAGGCAAGTTTTTAATAAGAATTTTTGTACCTTTCGGTTTTGAAGAGTCCTGCTTCCTCGTTTCTGCTGCAGCATCAGCTCCTTGATGAGATAACTTGATATCAAGTTTGTGTCCAGCCAAAACGAAGCCGTTCATGGCTTGCATAGCTGCGACAGCGCATTGTTTATTTTTAAATTCAACGAACCCAAAACCCATGCTAAGGAACTGGCCAGGGCGTTTCGGGTCAGGCTTTGCACGGATGACAGCAGACAGATAACCTTCCAGAGGTTTAAAAACACTTTGAAACTCCGATTGTTTGGTTGAAAAATTCAAGTTTTTAACGTAGAGTGTGGCAGTATCGAGAGAATCAACATCTTCAGTCTCCAATTCCTTGGCCGTGTTCGCAGATTCGGCAGTGATCGCATCCACTTTAACGGCAACTTCCGGTTCATGAGTCTTTCTGAAGGCCGTCTGAAACACGTCTTTAGGTGCCTTCTCCAAATATAGAATTGAACTTTTGATCCTATTATAAGCCAGCTTAGAAAATGCTTGTCGAGCATCCGGAGTATTAACAAATTCGATAATGGCAATAGTTCCAGCTGGTGGAATCAAGACCCTTCCCAACTCTCCATATTGGCCAAAGAGCGAGGTCAGCTCTTCGGCAGTAGTACCGTAAGGAAAATTTTTTGCTAAAATCACATTATCAGAACGAGCACTGTTTTTGAAAGCATCTAAATCCACGCCATGTTCTTCAAAAAATCGCTTTGTCTCCTGAACAACGTGAGTTTCAGACAAGGCTTGACGGACTGCCGAGTCAGATGAGGTAGGATCCAAAATATCGGTTTTCTTAACACCCAACCTAGAAGCCAATGATGTTACCACGGCATCATTGTTCATGTACAATGTGTTCCAGCTGAAAGTACTTGTTGCAGCAGTATGCTTTCTTTTCAATTCCTTCTGTTTTTTTAAAGGTAGCTTACTTAAAGCAAATTCATCTTGAAGGATATTGTGGCGAGCTTTAGCAGGAAGAATGTGTAGCAAGCGGCCTTGAAAAGGTCTTCCATCTAATTCTTGGAAGGCTTGAACGGCGTCTTCCGCTTCGCGGAACTCTACGTATGCAAACCCTTTGGGAACATTTGTGCGCTTATCTATAGGCATATGGACTTGTTCCAGTGCACCAAATGGTTGGAAATGAGAGCTTATGTCCTCTTCGGTACAACTGTATGTGAGATTTCTCAAAAACAACCGCTTGGTTTCTTGAATTTGTTCGATGGCTTGATCATAGTCAGAAACACCAGGTTGAGCCTCTTCCTCAAATGAAGGATGGCTCTTTTCAAAAGAGTTATCTACTTCGGAAACCGTTGATTCGGGGAGAGTGGTGGATTCTGAGACAGTTTGATCTTCAGTAGTTGGCATTCCTTCAGTATTTTCACGAATTCTAGTTCTGTGAAGACGAAGCCATTCTTCATCGGACATAGGCTTTTGCTCCACAGTAGTAGAAGTATCTCCATTATCTTGAGAATCAGAATGTCTAGCTTGTGGTTCATCACCGCCTTCAACTGACTCTAGATTTTCTTGAGGACGTCCATCAATCACTGTGGGGGCACCACTCTTTTGGAGTTCGAGCTGTTCATCTGTCTGCTGTCGTTTAGCGGAAGGAAGGTCCTGATATTCTTCGTCCTTCTCGTTTGCCTCAGCAACAGAAGGCTCCTGATTCAATGTGTAATCTTCATTGTCCCAAGTACGAGACTTACTCGTGGCTGTGGACAATTGCAAGAAAGTACGGGCCTTATCATCTTGGAGGGTGTCTATGAACTTTCTTTTTAAATTCTTTTCACGTCGTTCCTTTTCTTTTTCCTCTAAAAGTTTTTGCTTCTGTGCTTCTTTTTCCCGTTCTATAGCCTTTAATTCTTTTGTCTTGGAAGAATATTTGCTCCATGGCCGTAATTTTTCATTTGCAGTTTGATAGTCCAGTGCAAGACGAGCTTCTATGCGCGAACTTTCTATGTAAGATCGATCCAAATAGCGAACTGCCTTCTCGGCATCCTGTTCATTTTTGAATCCAATAAATGCAAATCTTCGACTTACACCGTCTTTCGTCTTCGCAACGCTGATATCAGTGATTTCAACGTCCAGGTTGGACTGGGACTTTAAATATTTTGATAATTGTTCTTTTTCATAGTATCTTGGAAGGTTTTTGATAATAATTCGCGACATGACACGCTTCCAGATTGCCAATGCCTATAACTAGTAGTGGACTAAGGGCAGGAATGAGAACGAAAAAGAAAGGCTAGCAATGGTTAATAACGTAAGACAAAGTGCTATATCGATACTTTGTAAAATTGCGTAACGTTAACATATCGAACGCACTCGAACGAAAATGCAGGCTAGCATCTACTAGGACGCGGCGTTGCTCCCTTGTGAATAGCCTAACACGAAGGAGTGGATTGAAATTTTAGCATAATGTCAAGGATTCCTTTGGGAAGTCATGATGGGCTAGAAACTGATGAAGTGCTTGATCAACAACTTAACTATGAACTTGCAAACGAAGTTTCAAGAGACGACCATGAAGATTCGTATGCGGATGACATTTGGGAGTCTGAAGATTTGCAGCCGGTAATGCAAGAAGGTCATTCGGAAGATTCGCTGTCAGAGTATCATACTAAGGAAATGTCCGAGAAAAAGTTCTCTCCTTACCGTGATGAGCAAGTGTCTATGGCTCAACGCTCTTATCCTTCGGAATCTCCGTTTGGCAGTGCTTCGTCACTCAATTCTATGGAATCTCCTATGCCATTGCAATCATCTACGCTTCTTTGGGACCCCAGTGTGAAGGAGGTGGATGATATTTTACATAATGAGGATTTTCATGATGGACGAGATTTCAATATTTTCACGCTTCGTGGCTTTGTTAATATTTTAACTCTAATTTTGCTAAGCTGTGGACTTTTGATGCTTTTTATCGGCTATCCAGTTTTGTCTGCGGTAGAGGTTGAGAAGCAAAGAAGGAAAGAAGAGGCTTAAGTTTTCTCCTTTCTTCTCTCTTGCTTGCTTGATTAATCATCCCTATTCTTTGGACATTATTCATTGCATTACAGCCATCTTTTATCTATTTCCTTCTTTCCTTGGTTTGTATTCATAAGCCTTGTTCCTGTCGTTCCTTTGGTTTTTTCTTCTAATGATGATGCATATTCTCTGAGCAGTCATTTTAGACAAGATAAGACGGTTTCTTTTCCGAAGTGCACGCTTTCTTTTTTATTCAATCATTTCCCATTTAGCCGCACACAAACTCTTTAATACACATTTATATATGTCTCGATCTTTGCATAGGCTATTAATTCATCCCTGTACACATCTTTTTCTTTTATATTCATATATATGTATAACAATTGTTTCAAGAACCGATTCTTGGAAAAGGAAACAGGCTCTTTACGATTTTTTTTTTGCATGAGAAATGCTCTCGATGTATTTACGGTGTCCTTTAGACCCTATTGTACTAATTTAATGTTTGTTTGCATATGTTGTATCCTAAAAAGTAAGCTAGTTTGCTCTGGCCGCTTTTTATGTAGTATATAAAATGCTTACTGGTCGTCAGACTTGAGTAAATCTTCTTTCTACGACTGAAGTTGTATGTCAAAAAAAAAAAAAAAAAAGGTAAAAGGAAAAGATAAAACAAAATTGAGCTTTCATCTCTTAAATTCTTTATTTGTTTATTCTATATGTCTGTAATTTTGAAGCATTTCTAGATTTATCGTCAACTACATAATCTTTCAATCAGCACCTTTCGCTTTGCTAACTTTATTTTGAGCTTATTTTTATTTAATGAATGCATAGAAAGCCCTTTTGGTATTTCTATGGGGACTGCTTTACCTTTGGCATTTTGAAGCTTATCAATGATTATCAAGTGCTCTTTGTAATATTAAACTGTATTTTGGACTCCCCCCAGCCCTTTCCTTGACTCTTCCGACTATTTCAACCTACCCTTTACAAGTGCCTTCTACGAAGCAAAACGGAAGAGGAAAGAGTTCTAAGTTTTTATTTTTAAAGCTGTAATTTTTCTTTTTTTTAGTTAAAAGAAATTACTTGGAGTACTGGTGATATAGAGGTTACCTTCAAGCAAAGAAGCTTTTACTGCTACGTACCTTCTCAGAAGAAGATTCTTTTATTTCTCTCATAATTTTATATAGAAATGCTTTTCTTCTCTTAGAGATATGTGCAAATCATACTGAATCATCACTTCGGCTTGTCTGCGAACAGATTCTTTTACTGGCAAACACGTAAACAAAGGCACCACTTCGTTATTCTTTCAACTCTGAGTTGTCATTTAAAATCGAAAAAAGCAGCATTTCAATTCATTTTTGGAAAGAAATCCAAACAAAATAATTTGCACTTCATGAAAACAATTCATACTCTTATTCCAATGCTGCCTGTCAGACTAGCGGTCAATCTTCAACGATTTCGTCAAAAACCGTTCACTGGCTCTCGAAATATCTCCGTTCTTGCAGCATGTATGTACCGAAATGTTGGAATCCGCCCCAAGCTTCCAAATGCTGCTTTTAACTCCGTTGTTGTTCCTCGTGTCCTTTCATCACTATTATTTCCCAAAATTAGCGGTTCATTCCATACCTTCTCTACCTTGAGGAAAAGCAAAAAAGCTTCAAATAAAGCAACTTCAGCCACAATAAATACTCTTCATTCGGATCTCGCATGGCAGGCGATGACGACTCAAAAGCGTTTCCTTGTTTATGAGGCGGCAAATGACAAAAAGTTTCGTTTTTTATATCTGCTTTTTCTAGGGACTACTATAAATGCTGCATTCCTTGCTACACTCACAGGATTGGATATGTATCGTTCTAATGAAATCAATCTTCAGAATTGGAACACTTGCAGTTATTTTGAAAAGATATCTCGAATAGGCTCTTGCTTTGTCATTCCCTTACTTTATTTGGGAGTTGCTTTTCTCATATTCTTGCCTCGAAGAACCATTCATTCTCTGTCTACTTTACCAGCCCGTCAAGTTGAATTGAAGACGGGTCTTCCGGGGCCCAACAACAAGCTTTATTTTGAAAAGTCTATTGTCCTACCTCGGAATCAGGTTTCCCTTCTCTCACAATCCATTGACAAAAATCCCATGGTTTTGAAGGTGAAAGGTACACCCTTCTTTTATCTTTTAGACGCTAACGGCACCTTTACTGGTGGATCTAAAAATATCTTACCTTGTGTAATTCCAACACAACATTTTGGAAGCTCTAAAAAATAGCATTTGAAACTTCTACCTTTCACATATCACAGAAAGTCCCAACCAATACCCGTTTTGTGCATTTAACTCAAAAAAAATATTCAAAATTTATTAATATGACGAACGAATCTCTTTTAATATACAGGAAAACGTCTGCTTTACTAACGATAAAACACGTATTCGGTTCATTTCTTCATGATTGTCCCAAATTACATTCGACAATCTAGAATAAATTAAGTCCAACCATTCCATCTTTAGATTGGAAGTATGCTCCGCAATATCTTCTGTCAATCGCATCATTAATTCAAATTCTTTTCTGTGACTAGAAGATTCATTTAGTTTACCCGGAAGATTTGATGGGCTCTTATTATTTATAAAGCTTCGTTCAGAGAAATTTTGTGCTACGGGAATGTTTTCCTTCTCAGACTGTAGCTTCATATATTCTTTCTCTTCACTTCCGTCCTCATCTTCGGGAGAAGAGCTTGGGATTTCTAGTTCCCTAGAATAATGTATGTTGTTTTCGGAAGTCATGTCATTCGCATTAACATTGTCATTACTTAATCTTCGATTCATATCTTTGTTTTCATCATTGCCTTCTTTAAGAGATTTTTCCTTTCTCCGCCTGGCCTCTCGTTCTTCCATCTCTTGGCATTCATACATGAAAACTTGATCAATCATCTCTTCCAAATTAAGTTCCGCGCTTAAATACAACTCCTTTGCCTTCTGCTTCAATGTTAGATCACCATAATGGCTTACATCTTCCAATATTAATTTCAAATCACGAAGGAAACGATGAGGCGTGCAATAAAAACCTGACCATATACGACGATCCACCTCTTCTAAATTCATCATGTTAAAGGTGGCACCATCTTCACGTCGAATCACACGGTTGCCTTTTATAAAAAAAGGAAAATCTTCAGGTGCAACTTCAAACGATGGCTCTGTCTCATTATCTCCTGGATAAATTTCGGCCAAGTCCTACGAGGTTAGTTGAGAATAAAAACTGATAACATACCACAATTGGCTTCTTGAATTTCTTGTAACGAGAGCGAAGCAGATCCATGATGGATAATAACTTGATTTTCAGTTTATTCTTAATTCTTCTATTATCCACCCTTTCCTGTCTTTCACGATCCTTAGTATTGTAAAAGATATTATGAGAAGTGGAAGCTTTTGGTAACTGTTCCCATTGAGAGGGGTCATCATTATCTGTATGCGTCAATGGCAGTACCAGAATTTTCTTCAAGATGTCCATAAAAAACGATTTTCGGGAAGCGTATGATGGCAATGAAAGTTCAAAATGCTCGGATAAATGATGAGGAAACCAAGAACGAACGACTTCAGGTAAATTGTTGTAGGTGGTATTGGCTACGCCTACCAATAGTACGGGCTCCATGGGAATTAAAGAGTTTAATAACAAAGTGAAAACATCCAAAAAGTTTTGCGTGAAGAGAACAGGCCATTGTTCAATATTATTGATAAAGATAATGCTGGGAGATTGATGCCTTGCAGAGGCAAATATATTTATTAGAGAAGAATTAGGAGAAACCTCTGAATCCACTAGCAGCTGCGAAATATCAAGACATTGCACGTATACACCATCCAAAGAACGAAATAAGTCGGTGCTCAAATACGACTGACCGTGATCTTGATGACCGGTGATTATTAAACGAGGGCGGTAAACCATAGTTTTCTTTAAAGAATAAATTTCTTTTTGTTTTTTGATTTGCGACAACGATATATTTTGAAAAAACGATGACTTTGAAGGAAGAGTATCTAACCTGAGTAAATGCGATATTTTCATCGAAAGTAGATCAAGCGTTTCTTTAAAAAGCAGTTTGTGTGAATCAGAAATCGCAAATTTTGGAATCGCGCTGCCCCTTCGTGTAGAAACATTAACCTTTTCCAAAGCACGTTCAAAATCAAGAGCATCAACCTGAATTTTATCTGGTGAGATTAAGTACTTTTCGGAAGAGTGATATATCTGAGGATAACACCTGCGGACGGCTTGCAACGCGGCCTCTGTGCATAAAGCTTTTAAGTCGGCACCACCGTAACCGGAGGTAGCTGCTGCTAGGTCTGACAAATATATATCGGATAAAGAAGGAGAACAATGCTTTGTATGAACTTTGAGTATTTTCATACGCGCTTCTTGGCTTGGCAAAGAAAAATAAAATTCTCGATCAAACCTTCCCGGTCTTCTTAAAGCTGAATCAATATCGTTAGGTCTGTTAGTTGCACCAATAACTACAACTTGGCCGCGACTATCCAAACCATCCATTAAAGCAAGCAAAGTGGATACGATAGAGCTGTGGGTTTGATCTTGGCGAGTAGTACGAATTGGAGCTAGGCCATCGATCTCATCAAAAAAAATGATACTAGGCTGCGCTTTCTTGGCTTCTTCAAATAGTAAGCGCAACTGACGTTCAGCCTCACCAACCCATTTGCTCAAACAATCAGAGCCCTTTCTAAGGAAAAAACTAACCTTTTGGTTGCCAATAGAGCAATTTGCTGCTAACGCTCGAGCCATTAAAGTTTTTCCAGTTCCAGGAGGACCATGAAATAAAACACCTCTTGGTGGAGTTATATGAAAGTGTAAAAAAACTTCTGGATACAAGAGTGGAAGTAAAACCATTTCCTTAAGTTGAAGGATTACATCCTCAAGACCACCAATATTATCAAAGCTTAAAGCTTCTTCTGTTGCAAAAGGGTCATCTTTCTTGATAGACCTACGATCGAGTTGGCCAAAAGACTGAGATATAGAAGAAGCTGCATTCTCATCGTTATGTGAAGGAGTCATTGGACTATCTTTTTGCTTTGGTGTAGCAATGAGATCTAAAGACAATTCCGAGTCTGAAAATGTGAGATCATTACCTTTTTGATCATTATCAATACCCAAAGGAAGACTAGCAAAAGCATTAAGAGAAGCTAAATGTGAAGGGGGATATGCTTTGGTAGGTGGAGGAGTGAATAACGTTTCTTCAGAATAATCTACCAAGTCATAACTAGGACGAGCAGTTTGATTTCGAAGTCTGTTACGAACATTATGAGATGACTTGTCCAAAGGTCCAACGCTGCTGCGAGTTTGAACGCGAGCGCTTCTACGTAAAGGCTGAGTGGTTCGTCTTTTCTTGGGTGGTCTTCCCCTACCTCGTTTCACAGGAGATGAAGATTCTAAAAAATCGTTAGGAGAATTATATTTTAAGAACTCAGATTGCCCTTCGTTAATTAGCTCGTCCTGTTCGTCTTCGGAATGCGAACTGCTAATGGCATCATGTAAGCTAATATCATCTTCATCATTAGTAGATTTAGGCGGAGAAAGAGTATGAGAAGCTTTATCTAACTTGGAAGGGGAGATGATATCGAGCTCATCTTGGTCATCCTCTTCAATAACTCGTTTAAACGGTAAGTGATCATCTAGTAAATCATCCTCATATGGGGGAGAAATAGGTTTCGTTTCGGGATGAGCTTGTAAAGCGGCAATGGAAACTGATTTCAAAGGAGTCTTAAGGGGTTTAGGATGTTGTTTGTGCTTATGAAATTTAGCTGCTTGCGAGGAGGGATGAATAGCGACGGAGAAAGTAGGCTTTGGATGACTTTGCTTTGTTTGAAATGGAGACCTCTGACCGACTTGAGATAAGTTTCTTAACGATGGAAAGCCAGAGTCAGAGGATTCATCTTGTTCAGAAGAATTGAATTGTTCAGGCATTTCAGAATGAGTATAAAAAGCATGTGGATTTGTATGGGATTGACGAGTTTTGGAGTAGTAATCATCGTCTTCGTCATCTTCATCATCATCAGAACCAGCGTGTATCGCACGAATATTTCTACGCATATTGTCGAGATGGACGAATGGACTAAGAAAGTCAGTGTGAGTACCAAAAAATTAAGGTGAAAAGAGGGAGAAGGGAAAGTATGCTAGTTAAGTGTATGAACAATACAGAATTAAGCAGCTAGAAAGGAAGCTAAAGCATAAATCATACAAGGAGAACGAAGGCCACAATGTCGGTATAGATCACGGATGAGCTAAATACTAATTGGTGTCGTTGTGATAATGGAACCTTTAATGAATATAACCACCTGTACTTTTAAGCAACGATCCAAAGGTTGCAATAAACAAGTACAAACGAGAAAGAGGAACGTAAACAAGTTCCTAATGAATACGAGTTCTATTAAAAGGAAAGAAAAAATATTAAAAATTAAAGAAAGGATTAAATTAAGATCAGTGAGAAACGATTCAATGAATTTGTTAAACTCTGTTGAAGCAGAATTTCATTCCAAGGAGCAAGATTAAAAGGAACGATAGACCCAGCAGCCGTGTTTTACCTGTTAAAGCCGTGGATGGTTGGAATTTCTTACTACAGCCATGTGCTTCCAGCTGACTATTTTAGTATTTTGAAAACAATAGAGTAACAATTGTAGGGAATTCCTATTGTTTCAAGGACCTCGATAAGAAAGACTATATACTGTAGAGTTATATAATCCCCGAAGACTTTCAATTCTTTATATAGTTATCGTTATAAAGAGGTTTTTGTACGGTTTGAAAGTAGAATCGTGTGCCAAAAAAGAAAAGCAAACAGCATAGTAGGAGCAGAAATAGATGAACACATATATTTTTTTTTCTGTAAATGTGCTCTATCAGTAAGAGGAAACCGAAAATTTCCAGGTTCCACTTTACCCCTTGCCTACGTTTTCCATTGTCCATTGCTATATATAAAGGTACAGGACCAAAGTGAAGTTAAGCTTAGCTATGGTTGTAGGACAACTGTTTATAAAAAATGAAGACAGCTATCTGCATCTATAATCCTCAAAACAAAAGTTTACACATCTCGAGGGAAATGTTACTCTAGAACGTCTGGCAATGTTTATGAGAATCACACAGAAATCTCATGAGAAAGAAATGTTTTTCTTGAGCCTGGGCCTGACCTGATCCAGCATGTTTGTTAATGAACAAGAAAAGCATATATCAACAAATGTTTCAAAGAAGAATGTTTAAGTGAAGAGAGAGAGAGAGATAGAGAGGGGGACAGATGGAAAAACGCTTTTCAGTTCATACATGTTTTCTCTTCCTATGGAAACACTTCATTGATATATACTTTTCCTCGGATATCTCACTCATCCCTCTCTGTACAACTCAACTCGATCTAATGATATTCATGACGGCCATCACCAAATACCAACCCATAGTGCAGACCACCAATTGCTTATTTTCAACCGTTTTGTTTGATTTTCTTTATTAACAGCTTACATTTATTTTCTTTTTCTTAAGAAAATCTCAGATTTGCCTGGAATTTGCAAATTGCTTCATAAAGTCGCTACGCTACTGCGAAGGTGTTGTGTCAGCATTTGCTACAGTTGAAGGCTTTCCTTTGTCATTCATCTTGAACAGAGAAATATTTGGCTTCTCTGAAACTATTTGCGTCTTGGAAAACCACAGAGCCCGATTCTTCAAGTTTTATATCATATCCCTTATACTTTTAGACTGGGAATAAATGCGAAAGGTTTCGGTGCATTTGGGATTTCAGGAATATTGATACCTTTTTTTTTCCCTTCCTATTTTCAACTCTCTTTCTAGTGTTTGGGTATTGTTTCTACTTTGTTTTTTTGAACGTTCTGTAAATCCATAGCTACTTGTACATTTATTTTTTTCTCTTTTTTTTTACGAAAATGCCTCCTAAAACTGTGATTGTGGGTGTTAGGTACGAATATCACTGTCTTCCTTACGCGTATTGATATTGATATTAATTTCTTTGTAGTGGTGCTTCTTGCAGTGGAAAGTCGGTATGATATTGATCTTTGCTTCCTTGACGCTTGCTGTCTTGGGGTTTCTTCTTATTTCTTAATCTAGTTTCCTTTCTTCTCTTTCTTTATTTATTTTATTTTATTTTTTTTTTTTCAGAACATTAACCTCTCCACGATTGGATATAGACATTGACTCAGTTTCTTCATGCTATCTTTAAAGGATCTTCCATTCTCCACGAAGATGACTTTTACAAGGTTCGTTTCTTGCTAGAATTTGTATATCTTGATCTGTGCTAATGCTCTTCTGTTCCTGTAGACCGATGCAGATATTCCTGTAAAAAATGGGATTGCCGACTGGGATTGCAAAGAGTCCTTGAACTTGGACTTATTCTTGGAAACACTAAAATATATCCGTGAACATGGTGATTTGCCTACTCATCTTCACAATCGAGACAATAAAAACGTGGCAAAAGAAGCTCTCGCACAGTTTACTTCAATCCTTGAAGAATACCCAGAAAGCCCTATTTCTTCTTCAGATTACAAAATTATATTTGTGGATGGGTTTATGCTCTATGTAAACGAAGAGCTTATCCGATCGTTTGATCTCTGTCTTATGCTGGTTTGCGACTTTGATACATTAAGAGCTCGTAGAGAATCTCGTAAAGGTTATGTGACCCAAGAAGGTATGTTATATCATGATTGTCTTCCTCGTAAAAATGACTTTATGTTCAAATATTAATTTTAATTGATTCAGGGTTTTGGCAGGATCCACCTAACTACTTTGAGAATTACGTCTGGCCAGGTTATGTAAACGGTCATGCTCATCTTTTTCAAAACAAAGACGTTCATGGGAAATTGGTAGATACTCGCATACAACTCAGCCCTTCCAGCAAATTGAGTGTTAAGCAAAATGTGGAATGGGCTGTCGCTACTATACAGAAGGCTTTATCATAACATTTCTTAAATTAATTTCATCCTTTTTTGTTAGTTTTTGATCGTTACGTCTATTATATTACCTTCAAATTTACACTTTTCACTTCCTCTTCATCATTGTATCCCATTTGGAAGCTAAACATCATCTCTTGCTTTAGATTCAAATTCACTTTGTACCCATCTTTAATAAAATTGTGCATACTTACTACTACAAAATGGATTATGAATACAATTATGTTTAAGTTTTTACTGTAAGTGAATTCTTGTACAACCTTACCTACCACACTCATAGCGACTGCCATACAGAGGGAAAAGGCACAAACCGCTGAATCCTATACTTATGGCAGAGAACGAAGATCAATTGGACAGTCAAGACGTATTGTCTTTAGTTACAAATAGTTTGCGGACAACAAAGGCTTTATTTGGCCCTGAATTCGCGTCTGCACCTACCTTTGACAAAACCCTTGGGCAAAGTACCAAAAGGAGCTTTAAGGAATCATTTGAATATGGAAATATACTAGAAGATGTCAATCATAGAAGAAAAAATGCTGCTGTCAAGGAAAAAATTCTTGAAAATGCACCTAGCAGTGCTCTCACTATAACGGCAAACCATACCGACCCATCTGGTCAAGAGCTAGTTCGTCAGCAAGGTAGTCTTCACGGAAACAAACCAATCGCTGGTCATGTTCCTATGCAGTCATTAGAGAAGATTAATAATGTTCCCAATGCTGCTCATAGACTTGCGCAGGAGTCGCAAGCATCGTTGGTAAAGCGAACACTAGCAGAGCAAATCCGTCCAGAGTGGCATCCTCCGTGGAAGCTTATGCGTGTCGTAAGCGGTCATTTAGGATGGGTTCGTTGTGTTGATGTTGAACCAGGTAATGAGTGGTTTTGTACTGGCGCCGGAGACCGAACAATCAAAATTTGGGATCTTGCTTCAGGAACATTAAAACTCACTTTAACCGGTCACATTGCAGGTGTTCGTGGTCTTGCTGTATCACCCAGGCATCCTTATTTGTTTTCCTGCGGTGAAGATAAAATGGTAAAATGTTGGGATCTTGAAACGAACAAAGTAATCCGCCATTATCATGGACATTTATCAGGAGTTTATGCTTTAAGTCTTCATCCTACTCTCGATGTGCTAGTAACCGCTGGTCGTGATGCAGTTGCTCGGGTCTGGGATATGCGAACGCGCCAGAATGTTCATGTACTCGCTGGTCATAAATCCACAATCGCATCCTTGGCTACACAGGAATACGAGCCTCAAGTGGCTACTGGATCAATGGATTCAACTATTCGCTTGTGGGACCTGGCAGCTGGTAAAACATTGACTACTCTAACGCATCATAAAAAAACTGTTCGAGCCCTTGCTCTACATCCTCAAGAATTTACATTTGCCAGTGGCTCTTCTGATAATATTAAGCATTGGAAATTTCCTGAAGGGGCCTTCATGGGAAATTTTGAAGGGCATAATGCGATTGTCAACAGCTTGTCAATTAATCCGGATAATACTATGTTTTCTGGTGCTGACAACGGAAGCATGTGTTTTTGGGATTGGAAATCTGGTCATAAATATCAAGAGTTACAAGCTACCGTTCAACCTGGTTCTTTGGATAGTGAAGCTGGAATTTTTGCTAGTACCTTCGACAAAACAGGTCTTCGTTTGATTACTTGTGAAGCTGATAAGAGTATAAAAATCTATAAACAAGATGAAAATGCTACCCCCGAAACTCATCCTAATCTACCATGGACACCTTCTATTTTGCGGCGGCGTTATTAATCCCAGCATATAAAGTCTTACGGGCTTGTTTTGTGTGCTGTGGTCTTTTGGTTTGTGTTTGAAATTGAATTATGAGTATTTTAATGGTTTGTTGGTAAAAATAAAACTAGATGCTTTTTATAGAGCTTGCATGATGTTCCAAGTTGTATTTCGTTTGGTGTTCATATTTTGTTCTATGATCATATTGGTATGGTCCGTTCAAACATTTAATCTAATATGTACAAAACACTCATGCCAAATATCAAATATATCCGTACACCTTTCAGATGTATTTGATTTTAATCTACATGCTTTCGTTATTGCAAGCAACTATTCTACTAATATAGTAATATAATATTCTTTATATTAAATTTCCAAAGAAATGTACCAAAACTTTGGAATACTGCTTTTGCTTAAACTTTCTTGCTTCTCCTTATTTATGAATTACGAAGGCCCAAGAAAAGTGAACTATAATTCCTACCCTACCCTAACCATTTATTCATAGAGAGCAGTCACTGGTTGTCCACAACACAGAAAGTACATTCTACTCCGTGCAAATTCCTCACCAAAATGCTTATTCCCAAGGAGAACCGCAAGGCCATTCACCAAACTTTGTTCCAACAAGGTGTCCTCGTTGCTAAGAAGGGTAAGATTGATGCCAACGATTGTACTGGAACGGCGACTAACTAAAGCAGATTTCAACCTTCCCAAGCACCCTGAAGTTGGTGTCCCCAACTTGCAGGTCATCAAGGCTTGCCAATCCTTGGACTCTCGTGGTTACCTCAAGACCCGTTACAACTGGGGTTACTTCTACTACACTTTGAACAACGAGGGTGTTGAATACTTGCGTGAGTACTTGCATCTTCCTGCTGAGGTCGTGCCCGCTACCCACAAGCGTCAAGTTCGCCCTGCCGCTCCTCGTGCTACTCGCCCTGAACCCCGTGAGCGCGCTGCTGGTGATGCTGGTTACCGTCGTGCTGAGAAGAAGGATGATGGTGCTGCCCCTGGTGGATTCACTCCTTCCTTCCGTGGTGGATTTGGCCGTCCCGTTGCCGCCTAAGCAGAAAAAGTTTAATATATTTTACTGAAAATGCAATACAATTGGGATTTGTATCTTGCGTTAAGCTTACGCATGTGACTGTATATCTCATAACACACAGTAGGTATGTCCGGATCGAGTAATCTGTAAAATGTAAGTGAAATCGATGTATAAATAATTCGGTAAATATTTTCTTTAATCAAACGATTATTCTCAATGACACGTAATATCATTAAAATGTTTTATTTACAATGTTTCCTGAAAGCCTTGTAAAGTTGGTTTATCTTGAGCTAATCCATCGTTAACATAAAGCATAGATTTGCCTGTTTCACCAGTTAAATAGGAAGGAATCGTAATCGGATCTATTGCGCCTTCTTCACAAAGCTCTTTTATCCCTTGAAAAACATGCTGACCTCGAAACTGTAATGTCAAAATGGGTCTATGGACATTCATGCTAGAAAGCGATTTGCGCCTAATACTTGCATCTCTTAATTCTTCTTCCTTATCATACAAATAGTCATGGTTGAGCGTAATAATCACACGATCAAAGGCTTGGTTGGATATGTCACCGAATCGATTTTGAGTTGCTATTTTCCTGTCAGACCCACTTAGCGTATTTGATGCAAGTTGCCTTGTATGAAGAGACTTATTATTTAAATCTGTAGGACGCAAGTCCAATGGTGACGGATCTACTTCGTTATTTCCATAAATTTGCCAAGCTCCCAAAGCATTAGCTTTTCGGTGAGAGCCCAACATTTGATACAAACTCTCCAAGCTTTTTGCTGTAAGTTCTAATGGCTGTAAAAAGCTGGCTGGTTGAAGACGATCTACGAGCCTTGTTAAACACTGCAAGAATAACCTATGACAGACATCGTTCTTCAGAAAGAGATTATGCAATATAGTATCGGAATCTTTTATAATTCCCAGATATATAATTCGTCGAGAGGAAGGAAGTAGATGGAGAGACGAGGGTTTATTCGACTCGTGTAGCTGGATACGTATTAACCATATAGGGAGTGTTGGGTGTTGCAGCATGTATGTATGGTAAATGAATAGAGATTGTAATTCCAATTTAAGCATTTGAAGAATAACTGCTGGATTTGAAAACAAAGAACGCCCTTTATGATGGAAAACTTTGGATGCAGTCCAGCGGAAACTAAGTATGCCTTCAGCAATAGCTGAAAGCTCTAGATGAGCAACTTGACCTAAAGAAAAACCGTTTGGCCAATCCACATTAATCATTCTATACGCGATGGCACGTTTAAGCATTGATTTCGGAGGATGGAGATAAAACTCCAGAGGATTCCAGTCTTCCATAGGAAATCCATCATCAAAGTTGTTAACTGCTGCATTTGGTGGATATGTCTGTGATTGAATCCAATGTAAACAGTTTTTAATTAGAAAGTCCTTTGGAAGTCTATTAAATAGTGTTTGTATCCTTGTCCCATTCCTCAGTAAAGTTTTGTTTGACAACTCAGTAGTTGAACTCATATTGTGAAAGACAAATTCTTCAAAACAAGAGAATTGAGGACTCAAAGGGACATATAAAACTTTTAATAAATTTGACTGTAGCTGAAAAGAAGAAAATGTAAACAGGTTTCAGTTTACTCGACGAAAATAGCGTAACGACACATGTAAAATGAAATACAAAGAAAAGAGAATAAAAGAAATTAGTCGGAGCTTTCCGTTTAGGAGAAAATGATCTCTGTTTGGAAATTAATTTAAGGAAGAGGTTTGGAAGGTGGTGAAGGCAGTCCTTTCCCAGAATTCAATAGCTGTCTGGTTTTCCTCTGGGCAGCCAAATTAGCATGAAACTGAAGTCTCATTTGAAAAATATCTCGATGAAGTACATATTGCCTGCCAGACATTTTTGCGCCCGATGATATTGAAGGAGAGGATTTAGATGAGGGAGACCTTGTTTCAATTGGATTCACATCGCATACTTTCGCTGAACCATTGGAGTCGAAAATGTGTCCCGGTGATTCATGATCTCCTTCTGACTTCTCAACCCGATCCTTCCTTGGATTACTACCGTTTGTCTGTTCTTCAAAATGATGGTTCTTTTCGGTAGACGTGGAAGTTTCATCGACTTTAGGCATTGATAATGGTTTACTATGAGGATCATAAGTCAAAGTTGCAAATCCTCGATCCTCTAAGTGATTAAAGCAAGTGTAAAAACTGATTCCTTGGTAAGCATTTGCATCTTCAAGGGTTTGCTAATCCTGAATGCTAGAACAGATACCAACTGTTCTGTTCTTTCTGTATTGGCTTCATAGTAATAAACTTACAAATCGGATTGTGATTTTGTAATCAGTACCCATTTAGTCAATTTGTAGCACTAGTTCTTCACGTTAGCAGCTAGTTTGCCATGTTTTCAGTAGGCTTTTCTCAAAATTCACATCTTTTGTCTTACAATAAAACAAGCTTTTAGATCAAACTCTGAAACTTGTCGCAAAATGTAATTGTTTTCTATGTTCATTGTGGTCCTAAGGGGTTTCTTTCAGTTCTGTTATGTTGACGAAGGCAGCATTATTTCGCTTACGATATCTAGGAAAGGTAAAAGAGCAGCGAATTCACTTTTTGTGTTTGTAGGAATCTTATAACGTTTCCTCTATATACCCTACATTCCGTATCGAAAGAAGGTAGTTTACTATCAAAAATATTTTCCTGCTACGAATTAGTGGAAATTCACAATGAATATTTAGACTAGCACTAGAACACAATTATTGTAATACAAGCTCTAAGTAAAACATATATGCAACATATCTTTATTAATTATTCAAAAACATGCAACGGGTTTGCTATTGAATTTATCCTGATTGCAAGAGATATAGTCCACTATAAATAAATATAATTGAAATTAAAGGAACGTTGTTTTCATGAACATAGGAAGGAGACAGGATTCAGAGATAATCATATCATTTCCCCTTCATAAATAATGGCAAAATGGCGGAACATTCAAACGAGCGACTGGGTTGACCAGCGTAATTTAACAAATCACTAAACGATAAAAATAGAAACATGAGGATAAAAAAGTCACGACATAAACTCATAAAGTACTGCTCAAGCTCTACTTTTAATAGCGGCTTTTTTCGAGCAAGCTATAGCCTAAAAAAAGATCTGATGCGCATAAGCACTGTATTTACTTTAAGAAAAATAACCAGCAAATTATTTGCACAGGAAAAAGTCTTGTTTAAACAACACGTCAATCACGAGCAGGAAATGAATGCTCAGCATAGTAATTATAAGAACACAAAGACGGCACGAAATTATTTTTTTAGTTCACAAGTCTTGTAACGATATCAAGACACTCTTTTCAGAAGCAAGCAAGGAAGGAGAAAACGAAGAAATCAAGGCAATGGATTAATGGATTTCTATGGATTGATTGGCATGCGGCAGACTTTCTGTTCTCCCGATCATCGGAGAAGACGTTTCAAGAAGGTGTCTATTCACTGGGACTGAGGTAGTACTCTTAGGCTTCTTCGACATCGACACCGTCGACGAAGACAGCGTTGGTTTTTTGTGGTCTTCTGAGAAATTATCTTCATACAGTACAGTATCAAAAATTCGAGCAAAAATTCTGCTATCCTTTTCCAAATCAGGGACAAAGTCTGGTGAATTTGGAACTTTAGAACCATACTCTGTAATGAGGCCGGTGATAATCTGCATCATGTTTTTCCGGATACGATGGCTATCTACCTTTGTATTTTCAATGCTCATGTCGACACGTGGAATGTAAGGCTTTTGCAAAAGCCGATACATGAGAATGCGGGTGTTTTCACAAACATGTAAGCCGCAATCACAATCGTTAATTTGCTGTGGTGTTTTCATGTGACGAATGCGAAAGTCTTTTTTAAACAGGATGCTAAGATTTTTAATGGCAAGATTACAATCATTGGTGTTGCCATTGGACATGGAATCGTAATACCAACCTAAACCCTTCTCGACGGAAACGACCAACAAACTCCAGTGGGAACCACTTTCTATGCCACATTCATTCGTGTCGTTGATGGGTAAAAAAATGAAGGAAGCATTAAACATGGCAGGTGGAAGGGCTGATACAATGTCGGTGGGGTCTGGAGCTTGTGCGAGGAAAAATACCATAGCAGGACGAAGTAAGTAGATTTGACCCTGATTCTCAGGAGGTTGTTTTTGCAGTACCTGGCGGACAAGGATCTCGTAATAAAAATCGATATTAGTGTCTAGGATCCAGTATCCGGGATTAAAGTGATCGACATCATCTTTACGAAGACAGACTTCGTAGTATTCAATCCAAATACGATGAAGAGACGAACAATTATTTTTTCCGTCATTACTGGAGCTACTTGAAAACAAAGAGCGGAGAAATCCTTTCTTCTTTTTTTTGTGTGAATTGTCAGAACCCGATGATGACGATCCATTGGATGGTGGACGTTCGACTCCAGTTTTCTTTACCACTGGACTGTCAATCTCCTTGTAAAAAATAGAATTTGATCGCATAACGAAGACAAAGCTTATTGTATAGCAACAATACTAGAAAACAAAAAAAAAAAGAACGAGAAAAAAATGAAAAGGAGATGAAAAACGTACGGGATGAAATATGCAAGATAAAATTAGAAGAGCAAAAAAGGGAACCTAAATGAGAACAAATCGATAAAACTGGAGTCTCGAAAAAAAGCGATAGAACCAATAGTGTAAGTTCTAATCAGAAGTTGCATGCAACGAGAAAGCACACACTAAAAACAAATACTGAACGAACTAAGGGAAGGGAAAAATATGAGTATCCAACGAAAGAACACGTTTCCGAAATTCTGTCGTATTTTTTCTGTGTTTTCAACGCGTTAGATATTTACAGATATAGCTTTTTATACAACGTCTGAAATTGAATTTCTTTCTGCTTTACTTTGCTTTCTAATTTCTTTTAGAAGATAGAAAGATAAGAGCAGAACGATACTAATGAATGGAAGAAAAGAAAATTTCACCAGACACAAGCGCTGAATCCAAAAAGAGGGTAAAATGGCATAAAAGCCAACGTTGGAAAAGTAAAAAACAGTATTCGAATGCTATCAACAAGATATATCCAAAATTTGTTGGTAGCCTTCGAACTCGTGGTTTGTGGAGGTTTGGGGTAGAAAGGAGCTTCCGCTTAGTGTTTTATGGAGGGGGAAAGAAGCGGGGAACCGGTAGTCAAACAGTAACGAGTCGCACGTAGAGAACGTGTTTCTTCTAGTGACGAAATGCAATAAAATTGACGTTGTTTTCACAAAAGTTAATGAGCTGCAGTCAAGTTCACTAAAACCCTTGTTCCCAAGCAAAGAGAGGAGAGTAAGTATGGAGAAGAAAGGAGAACGACAACGAACAGACGGATGTTCGGAAAGAAAATACACGTAGCAGTATACGAAAGATGCCTAGGATGGAGAATATAATAGAGGCAAGAAACGCCAAATCCTTTTCCCTTTTAATAAAATGCAACCTTTTGAACTTTTGGAATAACTCAAAGGACTCTGAAAGAATCTAAGAATTAGAGTGTAAACAATACAACCCAAAGAATAGCATACGCTTCTGGCTTGTATTTATGAAAACCGGTAAATTTGTTCGGTTTTGCGTATGTGAATTAAAACATCGGGGCTGCGGAGAAACTTTGATTGAGCGGAGTTTCGTTGGATGCGGAAAAGCTAAGTACCGTGGGTAAATCATCATATAATCCATTGATTGGATAATATATCCGCGGGGTAGTTTTTTATGAAATCATAGGTGACATTGAAGAAGCGATGGGAGAGCGCGGAGAATGCTATATTGTTGGAGCGAATTTTAGTAGCGATAAAAAAGTAATTTGAATCTTGTTATAGTTTGTTATTGTATTCCTTCTTTTTTTTCTTTGTGTAGTACTTTCTGTTAATCCTTCGTACCATGAGCGTTTGATTGTAGATAAAATTTACGCACGAAATACACACAGATAATACTTCCTTCCAATAAAGCGCCGGAACGAGAATGAATGCAAGGAAAGAAAGGCAAAAAAATTTTTTTTTTTTTTTTACCAGTATTTGACGAATTCTAGTGCTTTCACTCTAACCTTGTGTAAAATAAAACTTTTATTCTTTCTTCGTTAGTTTTTTCTTGTTTTGTTTTTCCTACAATTTCTATTAATCCCCTACTCGCTCATAACTCCCCCCTCTTCCCTAGACCTATTGCTCCATCTAGAAGTTTTCATGAGTTTCTTTTCCACGCTATCCTTATTCTTACATAATGCATTTTCTTTATTATCGTTATTTTAGCTAACGATAAACACAACGTTTTCTAACGCGAAGAAAAGAAAGGGCTGGCCAGTCTTAGGCTTCCCTATTTAGAGTCGAGGAGTCGTCGCCTGTTCGTTATCACACTTAGGCATCCTTGGTTTTGTACGATCGGCGAAGAAACCTCCATCGCATTGCATCCTCGAGAGCTTTCCTTTATTTTAGGTTCATCTTTATTTGAATCAAGGTTTGAAAGTTTTTCCTTTTCAAACCCTTCTTTCGGTTGTCTGTTCTTCCCTAAAAGTTTCATATCTTTAATTTCTTGTTTCATTCTTCTTTTTTTTGCTTAAATTGTTCTCCATCCTTCAAATATTTGAGGATTTCTACGAAAACTCGCGATGACATCGACCTTTGCAGAAAGCATCTTTCAAACCTTAAAATATGGTGGTGCCATCTCTCTTTCCATTACTCTTATTGCTCTTGCCTTTTTGTACCGTTATCAAACAACTCTGATTTATCCTAGTTCATTTCCTGAAGGCTCTCGCTCTACTGTCCCTACACCAAAAGATTTCGGCATAGACTATGAACAGATTTCGTTGCGAACTCGCGACAAAATAATCCTTGACTCTTACTTAATGCTTCAGCCGAAAGCCCCTGAGTCACGTCCTACTCTGCTCTACTTCCATGCCAATGCTGGTAATATGGGCCATCGTCTTCCTATTGCTCGAGTCTTTTATTCTGCACTTGGCATGAACGTCTTTATTATCTCTTACCGCGGTTACGGTAGGAGTACTGGTTCTTCTAGTGAATCTGGCATGAACATCGACGCTCAGACTGCCTTGGACTTTCTGCGAGAGCATCCTGTCTGCTCTTCCACTAAGATAGTCGTTTATGGTCAGTCTGTTGGAGGGGCCGTTGCCTTGTCTCTTGCCTCAAAGAATGAATCTGTCATCTCTGCTCTTGTATTGGAAAATACCTTTACTTCTATAAAAGACATGATCCCTACTGTCTTCCCTTACATTGGAAATCTCCTATCTCATTTTTGTACAGAAAAATGGGAAAACGTACGCTCCATTCGCAAAATCAACGACTTGCCTGTTCTTTTCCTTTCTGGCGCTGATGATGAAATCGTTCCTCCTTCTCAAATGCATGTCCTTTACTCCATCTGTCCTAGTAAACAAAAGCGTATTCGCGTTTTTCCCAAAGCAAAGCATAACGACACTTGTTTAGGCGAGGGTTACTTCCACATCATTGCCGAATTTTTGCTTTCTAATAACGTCTGGACTTCCCCTAATTAACATCCTACGATAATAGGTTTAATCCTTCTTCGAGATGATGTTTTATTTACAACTACTCGTTTTCCTCTTCTTTTCCTCTTTGCTCTTTCCTACCCATTTGTCGTAATTTTGGTACGTGTTCACTGTTCCTTTTTTACTTTTTTGTCCTTTCACCAGTTAATCTTACGGCAACAATCTATGGAAGATTGTAAGAAATACAAAAAGTCATGTTTAATTAACTAGTCCTATAAATTATGCTCATTCCAATAACCCAAAATGTTCTGTAAACGTGTACAAGTTGTAGAAATCCATCCCCAATCCACAACTTATCTGTCTAAAGAAAAATAACGGCCAAAGACCATCAGATTGAACGTCTTTTAATCCACCACGTCCACCAAACGTTCCACCTTAATTTTGTGGTTAGCCACTGACAAAATCGGTACACCAGGTATCTTTCGAATTCTTTGCTTTAAATTTTTATCGTTGGTAGCTACTAGATAGCATTTGTGCTGCATCACTCGGTTTACGATACAATCATCTGCATAGACACCCTTGTGCGTACAGGGCAAACGCTCCATACGTTCATCTTTGGCTATCCGGAGCGCAATTCTGTAGCGAATTCCCAGTTTTTCCAACTCTGCCATAACACAGTCGGTAATGCAAGGGATGGTTTTTGCATATAAGCACGACATCAAACCATCAAACACCTCAATTTTTTGTTGAAGACAAAAATTGATAAAATTGGTATCAATGAGAACATGATAAGGTGGACCAAGACTTTCGTTGTATTGAAAAAAGAGGTTCGAGGCAACTTGAGGTCTATAACAACTATGTTAGTCTCTTTCTTAGACTCTTTAGCGAAATTAAAATAGTCTACTTTCTACGTGTTCGACTTTTCAATTGTACATACACTTCTCTAACTAATTCACCATTTTTCGTAGTGGCTGGTTTGTCCTTCTTGCCATTATTCTTTTGTACACGTTGATCTTTAGGATTCAAAACTCGTTTTACCTGAGCAAATTTTCTCGTCGCCTTTGCCTTTCCCATTTTCAAACTTTTTGTTTACAAATAAAAGACTGGTTTTTACTTGAAAACAATTCACTCTTTCCTCGAAGAATGGCTTTTGGTAGATTTGTTTCTATGTCTTTGGTGTTTGTATGGCCATACCTGTTTTACGCGTTGTAATGATAAACTCTTTTTAAGGTGTCCTGCGTAGTTCGCTATTTCGTAAACAAAAGAAAGAAAGTAAGGAACAAGGTAAAGAAACAGTTTTGTGGCAAGACATTATTCTGTGTGTATACGAGAAAATTAACGAATCGAAAAGTCCGTTCTTGGAATGGATTTTCATTTTTTCACCAGTGTAGTCCAAAAGATCCTCTATTTTGACAAGTGATCCAGAAATAAAGTGATTGCATATATGGATGGATAAACAAGAGGACGTATATGGGTTCAGCGTTATTTTCCATTTATCTTTACGACCTTACTACGTTTTTATTCGAAATATATCCGATACATGATACATTAGAAATAATTGACTTTATTTTCATTACGGTACAGTATGTCGTTTTTTGATATTTGTCACATAAAAAAAGACTTAATAAGAAATTAAAAAAGAGAAATGAAATTCTGTACCTGGATCGGTTTCTTTTCTTCATTCGGTTCTTTTCTGATTCTTGTCAAACGGCGTTCGTTTGTTTATTAGTGAGCTCGTACCATTTCACAATAAAAGTTAGCGGTTTTGGTAACCATCGTTACACTCTTGTCAATTCAAGATTTTCAGGGAATCGAACTTTTGCCAATTCCCCATCATGGCCAAGTCTGCTCGTTCCAAGACCGTTCGCAGAAACAGAAAAGCTGTAAGTAAAAACAAATTTTATTCTTCCATGTGAATCTATTCTATTTGCTTTGGATCATCTGTCACCGCCAAAAGTCGAAAAACCCTGGTTTTTTTTTTAAGCATGGAGGAATCTCAACTTTGACGAGTCGTTCAAGAATACTAACTGTAATAGCTTCGTGAACATGTATTTCAACCTGTAGTTGATGAAAGAACAAAGAGACTTTCTGCCCACCTTCAAGATCAAGTGAATGACTTGACTAAGTCTCCTGCCAATCGCGATGAAAAGATTGCGGACAAGGCTGTAGAAGAAATTGCTTCTGAGGCTCCTGCAGGTGGCTCTATGGATGTCGATCAGCCTAAAGTGTCCACCTCTGGTCCTCGTGACAACAACAGAAATCGTTGGGCCCAGAAGCATTTGAAGAAAGGAAAGCGTCAAAAGCAAAATTCATTCGCAAAGTTCATGAAGAAAAAATAATGGCTATCATGCTATATAAATATTACTTATTTCTAATTTTTTCTATATCATTCCTATCCATGTGAGCATTCAGACAATATATGTCGTTTTTTGTCATATAATCGGTATTTTTGTTGCTGCTCATATTCTTGTCTCGGTTTTGTCTGGGTTTCTATTTAGTTTGTATACACTGGGTTTATTTAGGTGGTAATAATGAATGATGGTTTTGTGCGTTTGCAAATTGAATGTCCATGCTACATACATAGACGAAGAAGCATTACTTGTACCATACAACCAATGCCAATTTAATAGTTGCTAAATTTGCTGAACATGCGTTTGGATTTCATTTGAATTTGTGTCAATGAAAACAAAAGAACCCTTTTTTGTTTATATCTGGTTGTCTTTGTGTTTGTTTATCAACGCTAAGATTTGGATAAACAACCCGCCTTTCTTTTTAAGACGATGTCAATTTCTTTTCAAACTTTTTTTCCAAAGAAGGTTAATTGAAATGTTTCAAGGCATCTCTGATCTGGAAGATGGTGTAAGCTCTTTTTTTTTTTTTTATGCTCTTCACAAACATGTTTCACGAATACATACTAATTGACGCATAGTCATATCAATCAGAAGCATTTGACGAATTTCGTCTTGGTCTAAGAGACGAATCGTACAACAATGAAAAGTACTTGCAGAGATCGTTGATAAATCTGAAAAAGAAAAGGTAATACTTCTTGTTTCCAATAACCTGTCATAACAATTGAGTTCGTCACTCAGATGCATGAAGAGTTAACATATAATAGATATTCAGAAGTAATTAAAGATTGCACTTTTGCTTTGATAATTAATCCCCATGACAATAAAGCTGCTTGGAGACGAGGGCTGGCATACCTTCGGATCGGTCATCCAGAATTAGCTAATAGAGACTGGGAACATGCTTTGGATGCGGATTCAGAAAATATAGCCATACAAAAGGCTCTTACAAAGCTGCGGTCGTCCTACACAACATGTGATCGAAGCTATACTACATGGGACTTACGGCATCCACGGGTAGCCGCTAGAGAACAATTACCTGCTTTATTACGAAAGATGTATCCAGACTTTATTCGTGGCTTTTTTCTTTGGAAGCGAGCACATACGGCCTGCTGTCTCTGCCGATTTCGATGTGAACGCCAAGGGGAAGATCTCACTTTTTGTAGAGAGTCCCTCTACCGAACGAATCAAAGAGTCTCCGAAGAGGCATTGCAAAAGAGGGAACCGTTTAGCGATATTGAACAAGAGTTTATGGAAAGAGATCGTAGAAAGTCAGAATACGTGATGGAAAAGATTCCTGAGGAACTCTATCGTTCCAAATATCCATGTCCTCAAAACATCCATCAATTCTTGTATATGCTTAAAGTAATGTCGACTCCTCAAATATACGTTGAAATCTATTCCATGCCTCCGACCAGAGTCGTTCGAATCTTTGGTACCTACGGACTTTCGCTAGAATATTTGAATCTCTTTTTAAAATCTATTCACTATACCGGGCTTCTCACCAGGTTTTGCTCCAAATGGTGCATCCAGGCCAGACGCCTTATGCAAACGCTCAGTACCTTACCTTGGTTTTCGTTCCTCATCAACCATGCCATGAGCACCACAATCTTACAGATATTCTTACACCTTCCAGACGTTAAAGAAGAGGAGCTGCAGGTGTGGGGGGTCTCTGCTGATTCTTCTGGGAGTTTGGAACAAGGACCAAACTCAGACATGACTTTCTTTGATTGCCTAGCAGACTTGTCTATTACTTTACCAGCTTGACTTTGTTTACTATAAATCATTCTTCCACGCTCTTTTACTTGCTATGAATGTTCAACAAATTTGGACGTCTATAAGAGAACTCCGATCTCCTATGAAAGAATATTTTACCTCAATTAATAAAACGGGAAGTAGTACTATGATGAAGCATACATTATCGCACATTTCAAGTGTCTTTAAGATAGGCTGCCTTCAGTCTTCCATGAAAACGTTATTTTAACATCTTCTGAGAATGTTATGTATATTAATATGATTTCTTTAATAAATATAAATTAGAGTAATTCAATATTCGCAAATTTATAAGTGTTAGAGGATACGACCACCATATTTTTCAATGTTTATTTCAGGTCACAGTTGGCTAACCAAGAGAGAACAATCTGACGTTCATCTTGCTATCACTTTTCATGAAAGCAAAGCTAACGTTTGTATTATTCCAAGATTTTTTATAGAAAAAATATTTTAGAAAGCTTTGACGGCTTTGCAAACGATAGAAAGAGCTTGGAAAAGGAAGTTAGTTGAATTCTTGAGATTTGGCAGCTTTTCAAGGATTACGCTTTTCAAGGGACATAGAACCCACAGAATAAACAAACTGGAAATAAGCCTCTCTTTCGTTATTTGACATTGACAGTTTGTTGGGAAGACGGCATTTGCAAACGAGATTATAATAAATTAACATGAGTAGCCACGTTTCACTTGGATTACAGCATCCGCGTGTCTTAAAGACTCAGTTAGGCAAAATACCAAAGGTAGATTGGTCATCTGATGGAAAATATATATTGTCTGCTTCAGAGGATGATGCTTTGCTTGTTTGGGATGCACACACGTATAATAAACTAGCCTTATTCCAAGTGCCTTCTCTATGGATTATGACATGTGCGTTTTCACCTTCCGCAGAAACCATAGCAGCTGGAGGCTTAAACAATAACTGTAAAGTAATCTCCACAGAAAGACCGGATGCTGAGCCTGTTGAACTTATGGGACACACTGGCTTTATCTCTTCATGCAAATATATTGACGAAAACCGTCTATTAACTTCTTCTGGTGATAAAACCTGCATAGCTTGGGATATACGAAGACAGACCCCTATAACGAAATTTGAAGGACATTCAGGCGATGTCATGGCATTGGACTTTTTGCCTGAAAATCCAAATTTATTTATTTCGGGTGGTTGCGATAAAACCTCCAAAGTATGGGACCTACGAACGAGCTCCTGTTGTTTGACTATTTCGGATAACAAGTCTGATATTAACTCTATTTCTTTTTTCCCATCTAAAACTGCGTTCGCTACTGGTGTTGAGGATGGGAGTACCAAGTGCTTTGATATTCGTGCAAAGGCAGCCATCTTTGAATACCCCTCGCAACTATCAAATCCTGTAACTTCCGTTCGCTTTTCTAATTCTGGTAAATTTTTGTTTGCGGCTACCGGTAATGTATGTGAGGTTTGGGATTCTGCTGCTGCTACATCAGTTGCTTCTCTCTCAGGTCATGAAAATCGCGTAAGCAGTATTACCCTCAGTCCTGGCGGCACAGCTTTAGCAACTGGTTCTTGGGACTCAACAATCCGACTCTGGTTTACTTAATCTGCTTTTATGGAATATTTTTGTAAGCATAACGATTTCACGGAACTGGCTTGAATCACATGTTTGCATAATGACTTAGAATGTCTGCGCAAAGTTCCTAATGTCTGCTATGCAATATATAATTGTTTAATAATTAAGGATATACTAATTTGTAAAATACTATCTTGATTGTTTATTTATGGTTTTTTCATCGCGCCCGAAAGAAATTAAAACTCCATGACTAAATATAGTAATCATATCATGAAGGTAAAGCTCGTATCAAGTTTGAAGTGTGTGCTATATAAATTTAATCATCCAGAAATCCACCCATCACTTCAGCCCATTGATTGAGACAAGATCCAGGCCTAGCTTCAATCTCTTGCATAGTAAATGGACAGTCGCAATTGCAACCAAGGTCTTGAGCACAGTGCTGAATGGTTGAATGCTGGTATCCCAGATCACGAAAGTAATGTACTTGGGTTCGGTTTAATAATAGGCCTACAGCCAACGAATGTACGGGTGCGTCTCCCCACTAAAGGAAAAGATTAGCAATTGTTTAATAAAATAAGAAGAATTAAAAGTAAAGTTGTCCAAGATAAAATAACATACCCTTTCAGCCCAGAATCCGCCGGCTTCCTCCAATGCCTCCATGTAATCATTATATTCTTTGCTTTGATAAAAATCCAGCCGTGCTATTTCAAAATTGCTCCAAAAGTGGCATAAATTATAGATTTCACCATCGATTTTTTCCAATGGCGGCTCCGGTAGAACATAGATATGGTCGAACTTTTGCTTTTCTTTCAATTGTTGAACAAGTTTGTCATAATCATCATCAATGAAGAACTTCCATAAATCAGTTGTCTCTAAATTAGCAGCTTTTTTATGAGCGACTGTGTAACGAAATAGATTTGGCACAGTTTTTGGTAATTCTTTGATAGCAATTACATAGCCATATACTTTGTTATGTTTTTGCATGTAATAAAAAGGATCATAGCTAATGTCACAAGAGAAAGAAACGTCTGGATCCAATCGCCAATACCACTCGTATTGTTGCATTAAAGGATGCTTATAAAATTGTTTAGAAAAGAAGCGGCACATTTTATGGTAGCTCGGCATGTTGGCATAAACGATACCAACTTGTTGGGCGATAGCTTCATCGATGAGACTTTGATCAGTGTCTGAAGGAAAGTCCCATAGCTCTTGGCCTAGCACACCAAACTGAACTTTCGATTGTGTAACCTTTTGGACAGCTTCCTTAAACTCCTCTGAGAACGGCTCATCATTGAGGAAGACATAAGGGTAATTAAAGTGCTTATTGAACCGTTTTTCGACTGACTTCATTCCACTTAAGATTCCATCAAGATCAGAATTGCGCGTAAGCACCATGAACGTAGCATTCATTCTTGGGTAGGTATTTGCTTCATAGGCAACATTTTTACATCCCACAGCAAAAGGAGCATCATATGTTTCATTTAATGGTCTCAGTTTTTTTAGAAACAGCGAATACGATCGGTGCCAGTTGTGGAAGCATAGAGTGACACATATAAACACAAAAACAAAGAATAAAAAATAATTTTTCTTGAATGCCATTATTGTAAAACTTTTTTTAAACTCACTTGAAAGCAAGCTTGTCGCTTGTTTGTCGAGGTGGTTTTAGTGAAGGGCTAATTTTAAAATGTTCATTCCAAGGAAAAACAGGAATCGCAATTGGTTCTTCAAAGGATTCTGTGTCAAAGAAAAAGAAAGCATTTTTATGATCGTGGAAAACGCTTGGATGAAAAAAGAAAAGAAACTGAGTACAAGCCCATTCGGTATCCTAAACAAACTTTTTTTTAGAGTCATTACAAAATCAATCAAGAAACTAACAAAGACCAATGAATACGATGATGGAAAAGGATTTTTTTTCTTTCCTTTATTCACATATCACACGAATTGATTCATTTGAACGTCAAATAATTTTATTTTATCCCATGTTTACTTACATGTAAATAAACATGTCCTGAGATGGAGAAGCGTGCTTGTAGGATTGAACAGTGAATGAGCAAATGGGATCAATATCAAACTTACTAGTATACTTAGAATCTAATTTCATAATTGTATTTGAATGTTCGTGTAGCAGAAGGAACTACCCTTACATTTTGATACTGGCAAAAGTTGGCAAGAAGCGCCGAATCTCTACTCACCGGTCCTTAATCAATTTGCAAAAGAAAAAGAAAAAAGAAAAATAGAAAATTGCACTGAAACCATAACAAAACCATTCTATTCAGCACCATTGAAAAGTCAATGACCAAAAAAAACCATGACCCCTAAGTGACTTGAACACTTGACTTCAAGATTTGGAATCTCACACTCTACCAACTGAGTTAAGGGGCCTTGTTCAATCTAGAAGAAAATAAAATATATTTATTGTAAAATAAATGTTAGCATATGCTTAAATGTATAAATTACTTGATATATGGTATTGCACAGGATATACTCGAGTACTTTACAATGCATGTATTCTTGGTAATCTGGAATGAAATACATTTATATAAGTTGTCTTTTGTTCAGCACTTTCACCACTGAAGCTTTTGTCTTGGCTATTAAACATTTACTTCCCTCTTTCAAAGACCTAAATTCACAGTAAGAAGGATTCTAAATTAACTGGTAGTTCTTGGTTTACCACTGTTCTATAAGGTACAGAGGAAATACATAGGAAACAACCAATACTGGAGACAACCATATAAAAAATAGGTATTCGCTTTATGTTGACTTTTATCCACTTCATACATATTTCGTTAAATTTTATATATTCTTTCTATAAAGACCTATAATGCTTTAAAATAATATTTTATAAAAAATGTACAGCTCTATCGATGATCTTGTCGTTCTCCGACAAAACCAGCTGCTTCGAGCTGCTGCCTAAAGGCCTTTCTGCCACGCCCAACCAACAAAAGTACAGACCGACATTCGCCGTTTTTTGCAACAAGGTTCCTACAAATAGACGCATTTTACTAAAGCAGCACTCGATTTTTGCATCTATTCATAAGAAAGTGAGCATGGTGGTTGATAAAGCGAAAGGCGCTGTTTCTCATTATATACCGAGAAGTTTTGACCAGCGTTGCTATAGCAACATATGTAAATAAAGAACCTAGTCCAAACTCTTTGGTAAATAAATGGAGATTTTATGGATTTAACTGCTTTGTATGCAAGTTCCAGTCCTACATATGCTGTAGTTTCACCTTGTAATTGTTGGATTGCGTCCCTTTCTCGATCTGGCCATGTTCTGATACGAAGCACAGAAACCCTCGATTTGCAGCATGTCTTTCTTTTAAATCCAGAGTTTGTGCAGAAAGCCGTATATTTGCTTTGGAAGACCAAGCCAGATACTCCTACATCGACACAAATATGCGTGGCTTCTTTGGAAAAAGCATTTATTTTAGATTTTCACCAAGAGTCTTTTTATGCTACGATCGACTGTAACCAAGATTCCGTTAAAAACATCGAATGCAGTCCTTTGGGTCAACTATTGTTTTTCTCTGAACTTCACAATAAAGTTACGATTTGGACTTTGGAATTAAAAAAAGGATTTGTACTTTCTCATCCAAAGGCTGACATTGACCAAGGTATATGACTTATATGTAGATATCTATATAATTCATCCTTCTAACCTTTTCTTCTAGCTGTTGCTTTTCACCCACATTCCAACATTTGTTCAATGCTTATTCGAAAGTTTGGATCTGACTACCTCAACTTTTATCAAACGTCGCCAGATGGAAAATGGAACTTAGAGCGAAATTACAAACTACCAACAATAGATGCCACTTGTGTCTCATGGTCACCAAACGGTCAATGGCTTGTCGTTCAAGATGTTACTTTAAATCCCGTTATTCATATATTTTCATACCCTGGAATTTTCCTATATAGTCACAAGATGGAAGAAGATTTGCAATTGGGTTTCTCAAAAATTCAATGGAGTCCCGATTCTTCTCTGCTAGCTTTATGTAGCTTACAAAACTCTACCATTCATGTGTTGGATACCCAAACATTTAACCTTACTTTTCAATTACAGCATAACCTTGAGCAGCCCTTTGCGACGAATTGCTGGCAAGAAGTCTTTTCTTCAGATTACAAGCTGACTTACCAGCGCGCTCCATGGCCGACTGCAATGAAACCTTCAAATAGGCATGAACGTTGTGAAGTTTTTTTCAATAATGATAATTCCTTTGCAGCCTCTTACACACTCCAACAAAAGAATCTTGTGTGGATTTGGAATCTAGGGTCTCAATGCTTGGATACCATACTCGTACAGCAGCGACCCATTCAGCTTCTCTCTTGGCATCCTACCTATCCACATTGTCTAATGATTCAGACGAAATCTGCAAAACCTAAAACCGGCCAGGAAAATCAGTCCATTCTCAACTCTTCAATTTATTTTTGGTCTTACGAGTGGAATGAACCTCGAGTAATTTCAATCCCTAAATCAGACTTCAGAGTGTGCAGAGCTCAGTGGCTTCAGGCTGCTCATCATCTTCACTCGTCCACGGTGTTAATATCTGGAGAAGATGCTTATATAATTGCATATTTATTGGAAAGCGAAGAGGATATGTCTTCTCAATTTATGCTCTCTCAAGGATCTCTTAATGAGGAACTAGAAACAACGCAAACAATTCACATACCTGCCAATTGAATCTTATCATTCTTTTTGAGAAGCGAATTGCTAGTTTATATGATCTTGACATACTACTGCATAGTCTTCTACATTTCTTTAAGTCTCCCGTTATCCCCAAAACTATTATTTGATTTATTTATTTTCAACTTCATATACTTACTTCCCTTGTGTTCCAATACCGCGATATCTTTTCCCGGATGTGTACTCTTCGGACCTTTGATGTTCTACTTATGATCACCACCTTGAAAGCTTACTTCCAGAACCAAACGAAACCTTTTAAAAACCGTTTCTTCCTAGATAATGATTTTGTAAACTAATACTCCCTCATTAGTGTAACCTAGCGCACTACTGTATTCTCCAGACTTAGACGTTCGACTATATTATATCCATTCAGCATTCTTCATAATTTTCTTCTACAGGAACGTGTATGTAATAGTAAACTTTTTGCTGAAATAGACAATTTTGGGCTGGAATAGGGTACATATGATGAAACGCAGCGGTAGTGTTTCAACGGAAAATGACAAAGTTTCGCGTAGAAAGGTGAATTCAGACTTTCAAAAGCGATTTCAAGGCTGTAGTCATCTTTCTTCATATGAACTTATGGAAAAATTAGGTGAAGGAACCTTTGGGTATGCTTACTATTATATTCTGATATGTGTTTGCAGCTTTATTAACGACTACCTAGTGAGGTTTATAAATCTAAATTCAGGGCTACTGGAAAACTATACGCTTTGAAAAAAATATTATTGCATACGGAACGAGAAGGGGTAAGATACAATGGCTACATGAAGACTTTCATAGTCAATTGTTTTCCACAGCATATTTGTGTGGTCTACCGGGAAATACTAACTGAGTATGTAGTTTCCAATAACTGCAATTAGAGAAATCAGGATCTTAAAATCACTTTCTCATGAGAATGTGATTGCCTTAACGGATATGACAGTCGTACGAGCAGATAAAAAGCATCGAAAACGAGGTTCTATTTACATGGTTACACCTTACATGGATCATGACTTGTCAGGTTTGCTGAAGAATCCTAGCGTTAAATTTACAGAAGCTCAAATCAAGTGTTACATGAAGCAATTGCTTGCTGGTACGAAATATCTTCATGACAGCTTAATTCTTCACCGTGATCTGAAAGCAGCCAATTTGCTTATTGATAATCACGGATTCTTAAAAATAGCAGATTTCGGTCTGGCTCGTGTTATAGACGAAGAATCGTATGCCAATAAGTATTCAGGGATTCCTTTCCCCAATCGTCGAGAGTATACAGGTTGCGTTGTAACACGATGGTATCGGTCTCCTGAACTATTATTGAATGAACGTCGTTATACGACAGCAATTGATATGTGGAGTGTTGGTTGCATTATGGCTGAAATGTACAAAGGGAAACCAATTATGCAAGGATCCAGTGATTTGGATCAATTAGATAAAATTTTTCGACTTTGTGGATCCCCCACTCAAGCCTCTATGCCAAATTGGGAAAAATTACCAGGATGTGAAGGCGTCCGGTCATTTCCAGCACATCCTAGAACTTTGGAAACTGCCTTTTTTAGCTACGGGAAGGCGATGACTTCTTTATGCGGCTCTATCTTACGATTAAATCCGGAGGAACGGTTATCTGCTGCCATGGCACTGGACCATGAATATTTCACTACTGAGCCCTTGCCTGCAAATCCCTCACAGTTGCAACACTATACTTCGTCACACGAATATGACAAAAGAAAACAAAGGGATGTTCAAATTGCTAACCAGAATGATAATCCTTACAACAAAAAGCGTTCCTTCCGTTTTGTTACTCGAGGTTCGAGTGATCCTTGGTACGGAATGCGCAGACCGAATCCGCATTACCGCGGTGGAAACCGTCGTGAAAATGAAGCAGGTGGGCAACAATATCATCAGTATTCACGAAGAAACCAAAACCAAAATTTGTCTAATAGGTCAGAATCGTATCAACGTCCTCGTGATTATCTTCCTCCTTCTGGCTCTGAACATGACAGGCATTATCGTCCCGAACCAAGAAATCGACCACAACGATCCGGCTATATTAATTCTCGAACTTCTGTAGAGCCTCCTACGAAAAGGTCTAACATAAACCAGCAGCCAGTCTGGCAACGTCAGCGAAGTAGTTCTAAACCCAATGACTCCCAACCCTCTGTCGAAAACCGCGATGGCGCAGACAGATCTTCTTCGAACTTGCATAACACATCTGGTTCTGCTGAGAATACGAAAAGAGATCCGGCTCCCCCTTCCCCTGGCTAAGTACTTAGAATGCCTGAGTGACCGAATTAAAGTAAGTCAATGTATATACCAAAGAATTGATATCTTTCTCTTACTTTTAATGATTACCATAGAATGGTTGCATATATTTCTATAAGGCCATTCTTTTTGGTTTACCTTATTTGCGTGCTAAAGAGTTCAGAGCTTGCATTTGATACATATCGCTACTCTGTTATTAAAAGTAGATCACATCTTTTATTCTATTTAATTGTTTAATTTATCTTGACTATGTCTTTAAGCAACTTTCATTTTTGATTCCATAATACCCTGGTCCCTTCCTTATGCGAATTTAAGAATACCGATTGTTTTGTTTTTTTAATTTTCACTCAATTTCAGTTCTTATTGTTTATTTTCTTATGAACCCCTCTGTAATTCGTGCATTGGCGATATTGTTATATCGTAAATTGATTGTTTATATTCAAGGGTAAACCAGCCTTGTGCATATACTATCCTTTACCAACATCGGGTAGTCTATTAACCCATAGAAGAACAGGTGAAACGATCTCTTATAAATAAATAAATAATTAAAAAAATCATACTAATGAATGACAAACGGAAGCCGTTAGGTATTCATGATGCTAATAATGATACGGTAAACCCATTGCTAGAAGCAACGTCAAATTTTGACAAAACTGAAACTTCTATCCCTTTGCTAGAGCACGAGTTTTGTGAGAAATATGAATCTGAAGTAGAAGAAAACAAGGAAAATCTGAACAGCGAAAGCATTCGTCAATTGCTTTTCGGAGACGAAATCGCAGGGTTTGTTGACACTGGAGAGAAACCTCCATGCTCTTATGCTACATTAATCGGTTTAGCTATTCTTCAAGCCCCAGAGAGACAATTGACTTTGAATGGTATTTACACCTGGATTAGAAATACCTTTCGCTATTACTTAAACCACGACGGGGGCTGGCAAAATAGCATCCGGCATAATTTATCACTAAACAAAGCCTTTGTGAAAGTTGGGAAAAGCAAAGGAAAGGTATCAAAAGGTCATTATTGGACAATTGATCCTGATTACGTTCAAGGGTTTGTCAATATTAAATTAAACCGCGGAAGCTCTTCAGATTCAAGCTCTAAAAAGCGGACCTCCTCGAGGAGCAATGATTTTAAACCATCTTTAAAACGGGACACTCCCATTCCACGTAAAAGAACTCGGATCAATGCTTTCAAATCAGGTAATTCCTCAATTGCAGCTTCTAAACCTCCACTTGTTAAAAGTAATACGGAGCCAACATTACCCTTAAACTATGACAATAGTTTAAAACCCACAAACAAATCACCGCTTTCCTTAGCATCTGCTTCAAACACTATCAAAACTTCTGAACCCCCCTTCACTGATTTAAAACAGCAAGAGCAGTCCAATTCATCTGATCAACCATTTTATGAAAATAATGACCCTCCATTTTCCCAACTTTCCTCCTACCAGGATTATTCCCTTAGTAGCTTGGCTGATGACGAACAACCCTATTTCCGCCATGCGTTTTCCTCAAACGACATTTCCTATTCCACAAATACCGAAGATGTTTTACAAGCTGATTTTCCTGTTTCCCAGCAACATAACTTAGTATCTTCATACGTTGCTTCTCCGAATTCTCATTCCCCGCAATATTTGTCAAAAAGAATAGCCACCCTAACCCGTCCTTCTCGGTTTTACGACTACCCTGGATGTCCTTCTTTCCATCGAACTGATACGTCCTATTCTGCCCCTGATGCTGTTCATTCATCCAGTTACAATTCAAATAATGCAGCTGAAAGCCCCTGTACCAAAATAGCTCCGAATAGCCCAGCGACTTCATTAAAGAAGCATCGAGAGCACGTTAAATCGTTACTTTGTCCGATGGATTTGGCGCCGTCTCTTGATGCTTCTGATCCATGGAACACTTCCAGCCAGCTGTTTTCAGAATCCTTGTTCGACCATCATTCTTTTCAGTCTTCACTTGACGATTTGGTATCAGCAGCTTGCTTTCAAAATAGTCCAGAGACAGTTATTGAATCTAGTAATGCCAATGACTCTGGCTCAGTTGCTCCCACTTCTCTATATTCCTCTCAAATACTGAAACAAGGAAATGAGTCATTTGACCAAACATCAGAAGACTCGGCTACTGAACAATTAGCCCATGAGAGCGAAAGAAGGGAGACTGCCTCTTACTTTAATGGTGATTTTGCAAGTTTTTCTGAGACAAATCAAACTGCGAAAAAGGTTGAAGAATGCTCTGGTAGCAATCTTGAACAATTAGATGAAGCAGATAAACAGCTGCTACGTCTGGGCTCGGAAATTAATGACTTATGATGAATTACTTTCTTTAATATTTGATGATTATACTTTTTCGAAAGCTGTAAGTTGTGGGCCTTGTACATATCTAATGTTGACCCAAAGTTGATTGATGCCGAGACCGTTTATGATTTATCATGAAAGCTGCCCACTTTAATGATAGAACGCCAACATAATCCTTTTATTAATAATCTCATGACTTTGATGCTCCTCCCTATTTATATCCTTATGCATTTTAGGCGACATGGAACGCCTCCCCTAGAAGTATACTTATAGTTTAATGAACTCTTTGGTGAGAAGGATATGTCGATGCTGGTGATCTTAATTCTCTAACGTCTATAGAAGTTTATATGGTCTTAGGGAAAACCTATCATCTGATTTTCTGACTTCTCTACCCATATAGTTTTGACCAGCGCACGTGCCGTAATTATCCGTCACGGCACTACCTACATCGTCATATGTTCTCAGGAATACTAATATATTTATTTATTTATTCATTCTTTCATTCATTCTTTTTGGCATACCTTGGTACTGTAATTACTTGATAGACTTCCTCTTAGCTGCAGAAACAACCAGAGTAGTCTTCCTTGTATTCCATTTTAACATACTCACAATATTCACAATATAAAAAAAATAAAACTGTTTATATCATTCATTTACAATATTCTAAATAAGAATTGTAGCAATCAAGCCATCAATAGGGATAGACATCGAAATCGATCTTGATGGAAAAACCAAGGTGAAGAACTTTTAACTTCTATGGACGGAAGCAACAAGGAATCAAATCACGGACAAGACATTTCATCTGCTGTTTCACGAACAAAAATGTAGAATCTCCGGTTTTTGTCTATACAATCAAACAAAAAAAGGGAAAAAAGCAGAGTACCAGTTAAACGAAAGCAAGGAGCAGAGAGAAAAGCACATTTCCATGATTAGAAACTCCTGATCAGTTAAAGATAATCATCGATCATTTTAAGGTCATTTGAAATAAGGAACACGATATGAAAAGATTGAGTAGTTAGACAAATATATATATATCAGAAAGAATCGATGTTATTCAAAAGTACGTAATCGTTACAAAAATGAAAGAACTTAGAAGCACTTGCGGTAAACGATGCCAGGACCGCTCTCATCGTATTCTTGCTTGGAGATCCACATTTGTTGGAAGGTAGAAAGAGAGGCAAGAATGGAACCACCAATCCAGACAGAGTACTTACGCTCAGGAGGAGCAACAATCTTAACCTTCATGGAGCTAGGAGCAAGGGCTTGAATCTCCTTCTGCATACGATCGGCGATACCAGGATACATAGTAGTACCACCAGACATAACAACGTTACCATACAAATCTTTACGAATATCGACATCACACTTCATGATAGAATTGTAAGTAGCCTCATGAACACCTGCGTTTTCAAGACCTAAAACAGATGGCTGGAACATAGCTTCAGGGGCACGGAAACGCTCGTTACCAATAGTGATAACTTGTCCATCAGGGAGTTCATAAGACTTCTCGAGAGAAGAAGATTGAGCAGCAGTTTGAAGTTCTTGTTCGAAGTCCAAGGCAACGTAGCAGAGCTTCTCCTTGATGTCACGAACAATTTCACGTTCAGCGGTGGTAGAGAAAGTATAACCACGCTCCATAAGGATCTTCATAAGATAATCAGTTAAGTCACGACCAGCGAGGTCAAGACGCATAATGGCATGAGGAAGAGCGTAACCTTCATAAATAGGAACGGTGTGAGTGACACCATCACCGGAGTCCAAAACGATACCGGTGGTACGACCAGAAGCATACAAGGACAAAACGGCTTGAATAGAAACGTAAAAGGCGGGAGCATTGAAAGTTTCGAAAATGATTTGAGTCATCTTTTCACGATTAGACTTGGGGTTCAAGGGAGCTTCAGTCAACAAGCAGGGGTGCTCTTCGGGAGCAACACGCAATTCGTTGTAAAAAGTGTGGTGCCAGATTTTTTCCATATCATCCCAGTTGTTGACGATACCGTGCTCAATAGGGTACTTCAAAGTCAAAATACCACGCTTGCTTTGAGCTTCATCGCCAACATAGGAGTCCTTTTGACCCATACCCACCATGATACCGTGGTGACGAGGTCTACCGACGATAGAGGGGAAGACAGCTCTGGGGGCATCATCACCGGCGAAACCAGCTTTGCACATACCAGAGCCGTTATCAATAACTAATGCTGCGATTTCTTCTTCCATGGTTTTGGTTTTTGAGTTTTTTGTATTGCTTACAAAAAGTAGTTGGTAAACGGTAAGTTAAGACGAAGGCAGTGGTGACCTGTATGAATCCGGATTACATACAGATAGCGAAAAATTATATACTCGAAAAAATAGATATATGTTTTTTAAAAAACAAATATATATACCTACTGTATAAGTATGTATGAGTTCTTTATAGTCCTTTGTTTTTCGATTGATAGCCATGAAAGCATTTGTTCCGTCCTTTCTCTGGCATCATCCTTCGACCGTTGACAATTCCATTATGTAATTGCTTTACAACTCCGTATCGCAGATAGCGAACCATATTCCCACACTTAATCAAATTTTTACGTTTCGTTCGCGTGCATTGGTAAATAATAATCATGCTTCTAGATTGTTGCGATTTTAACTGAGAAACATTTTTAACATTGACTTTTTGCCAATTTCATGTTTCAATTTACTCAAGTTTTGAAAAAGAAAATATTCCAGTTACTAGGAAACTTATTTCTACACGATACAAAAGGGCTCTGTTCCCACAGTTCAACTAAGTTAAAATATCATTAAATATCATCAAGAAACTCATTAAATATATATGTAAAGTTTCTTCTCTAATTTTTATTTTTTTTTACTATTTTTTGATCTATCATAAAGATCAATGAAACAAAAAAAAGAGCTTACGTTCATCATCAAAAAAAAAACAATTATACCCAAACACTCGTATCAATGAACAGGTGAGATTAGAGGGCAAGCTGACTCTTCCGGTAGTAGTAAAAAAGACCACCAATCGCGATTAACTGACAGAGCAATGCCAAATAAAAGCATGGGGAAGAACAAGGGCCAGGACCTTCGGACGGATTCCAAGATCCCATATTAGGAAATACTTTATCACTCACAGGTATGGTAGGCTTTGCTACCATGATAGTTAAACAACTAATTACCTGAGCAAGCATTAAAGTGAATGCTACGTGATCACGTGCTAATGTCTGTAACAACATCACACCGATACCAATTCCTTGAATGCCGTCCCAAAGTGCTAGATATAGCCAAATTAATTTAGTGAGAATCGGAGCAATTGAACCGGCCCATGGTAAGTTCAAACCCAGTCCGGAAGAAGACCAAAACTCCAAGCACCATCTTGGGCACAATAAACCTAATCCAAAAATTACAGGAAACCAGACATTATTCAACGACAAAAATTTTATCCCGAGAAGGACCAGTACCCAAATAACAATAAAAAATATTAATAACAAAATAACAATGCTCCAAAAGGGTGTATGGCTCGTGTTCCAGAAAAACCGCCAAGCCTGTCCATAAGGCACTGCTAACCAATAGTTGCTCAAGATCTGAGCAATAAAAAACCAAAGTACAATAGAACGTTTCGTAAGAGAGCGATAAAATGCGGGAATGATAGAAGGACTCTGCCTATAATACGTAGGAAGGCCAACAAACGTTACGTATGCTAAACCGAAACAGACCAACGATGCGACCAATCCACCTGCAAATATTCCCGGTCCTACCTTTTGGCCAGTATCTTTCTTTGAAATTAAGTCCCCCCATGCCCATAGAATAGCTGACCAAATTTGCTGTACGCCGTGTACCAAACAAGCTCTGAGGACCCAGTGATGCGTAGCAATTCCACCTTCGGCTCCGAAATTCCAAGCGAAATACAAAGAACCGGTTGAGCTCGAAATTGCGTATATGTAAGCAGCAATATGCTGAATTATGGAACAAGCATTAGTTTTCTGAAAGAAGTGCGTTATCGATACCAAGAAAAAGGAGAGACCAAAGAAAAAAAAGGGTAAACTAAGTATATATCTTCCTTGTACGAATCTAGATAAAAACCACCAGAACAAAGAGAAGGCTGAAAAAATAGAAAGCAAAATGTACATAGAGTTTGTCGACTGTGCAGACTCTCCAGACAACAAAGTCAATTGATAAGATGATGCACCAAGAACTTGTCCAATAGCAAGCACAATAGTGTATAAAGGCCAGCTACCGATATTATGAAGCATTATCTTTTGTATGGCGGTATTTTCAACCGTCTCCATTTCTAATGGTTTGACAGTTTCCGTAATTGTACATGCTTTGTCTTTATCCTTTTCAGTAAAGAAGTTTAATTTCACATCAATCTCTTGTTTCCTAAGTCCAGAAAAGTACTTCCGTTCATGCTTTCGAATGAAATGATCAATTGACAAAGACTTCATAGTATTGTTACTGGTTAAATTATCAAGTTTGGATAAAAACAGTCTTCGGGTAGCGCCATCTTCATCGGTAAACGTAACGGATCCATTAAAAACAACGGGTCTTGATTCCACAATAGCGTTATATTTATCGGCATTCAAGTTTTGAAAATCTACGGATGAATCACCGATTGGAAGAACATGGTCTCTTATAGTGTCCTCTTCTGCGGTAGCAGATGTTTCTTGAATATCAAAATCTTCCCGCTCATTAGCATAATTGTGAGTTTGTAAATCACGAGCGAAATTGTCATAGCTTCTATTATTCTGCTCATTGACCGACACCACTGAAGAATAAGGGCTAAGTGATTGAGAGCTATTAAGCATGTTATCAATAGAGTAGAGTTCCACCTCTTCAGTTTCATCTTTTACCTTTGGCGAGGATTCTGACAGGTACGAATCATTATACACATCATTTGCTCCATCATGCATTGGGGGGTCTTCGCTAAACACAGGCTCAGCAGATCCTCTATGACGGAGAAAAGCAGGACGAGACACCTTGGACATAATACTATTACCAGCAGATTTCAGGTATTGATATGTTCTGTAAACAAAACTGGCCTTCCTGATTTCTTCGACCTCATGCACGTATATACAGGCTTTTAATAAATCATCGGTCTTCTCTTTCCAAACACAAACTGGAAAGCGTTGACGTAAAGCCTCAACTCTAAGTCTGGCTCTCAGTTCCGGTGGGCTTTGGAAAGCTTTTGATATAGCATTTTCAAATTGAACAAGCAAATGTCCTGTATTTGGAGAAGCCATTTGGAACCACCAACCTGGCATATAACCTAAGCCTCCTGTTCGTGATCCAATGCAAAGAACTCCCTTTCTTCCAAATTCGACTGCTACTAAACCAAAAGGTTCATCTCTAGAAGGAATAAGAGCAAAATCAGCACCAGCAAAAAGAAATGGGGGGACAGCAGTGAAAACTGGTCTGCAGAAAACTCTGTTCGGATAGCAACTTGCAACATATTGAAGTTTTTCAGCAGCAAACTGACCATGCAAATCTATCACAGGACCAATCGTAATAATTTGAACATTGTATTCGGCTAGAAGTTTTGGAGCCAAGTCAGCAATTAAATCAATGCCTTTCTGTTGCGACCAACGTCCTACAAAGACCAACAACTGAGCAGACGGATCCACGTCCAAACCGGCCCATTCTTGTGTTTGTTTTTTGAACAGTTTTCGTTTGGCCTCCAAAACGAAGTCGACATCACTGTGTTCATCAGAAAAATTATTGAGCATTTTCAAGTCACTTGGATCAGGGTTAGGTAATCCACTTATGTGAACCAAACTCCAAAAAATGGGATATCTTTTCAATGATTGCTTGCTATATTTATTAGATACAGCTACTACGCCGTAACCGCCTTGATGTTTTCTAACGTAAGAGATTATGGAATGCAGCAAATTAAAAACATGTCCAAACTGAACATAGTCAGCGCAGATCTCTCTAGAAACATTAAAAATTGAGCAAACGCAGTCTATTTCTTCTGAAGTTCGAAGTGGCCATAGACCTTGGAATTCAGCATTATGGAGAGAAACTGCTACTGGAATAACATCCGGCAATAAATAAAGGGGAGCTAAAGCACCATGATAGTCGTTTACATGATAAATGTCTAAAGGATAACGACGCCATACTTCGGCTATGCATTGATTCCAAGTAGAATAAAACATTGCCGAATTTAAATCATCCATCTTCAAAGGATAAGGCTCCTTCGTTGACTGCATGTAAAAAACTTCAGATTGCACAAATATATAGGTGATGTTCTTCATCTTATAAGAATAGCAATTAACAATGAAATCGACATCATGAATCTTAACTTTAATTTTAGGCTCAGTACTTAATTTATCAAACGGATACTCAAGCCCACTGATTATTGGAATTACCCATACCATGTCTTGGATCTCTAAATGTTGAGACATCAATTGGGCCATAACGCCTAAGCCACCTATTTTGACACGAAGACTCAATTCAGGGATGTCGTATTCCAGTGTTGCTACCAATACATTACGTTTCTTCGAAGATGATGGCAGTTGCTTCATTAGTTCTGAATTGTTTTCAATAGGTAAAGTAATACCAAAAGGAAACAATTTAGAGCACGCGTTTTTACATCTTTGTTTAAAGCCTTTCCAACCTTTACTTTGACTTCCGTTGAAGATAGTAACACGTGAAAAAGCTCCACTATACAGAAGTACAGAAAAAGAAGCCGCCGCAGGAGGAAGACATATTAACAATACCACACAAACAATTTGTACCGACCATGAGCCTTTAGGGACATAATGTAATTGTCGAGTAAAATCATTAAGATACATTTTGTATGATAGAAATGGCTTTGGAGGAGGTTCAAGGAATCGAATAAAATTCGAAATTCTGCTAGTACCTGGAGGAACTCTATCAATAATTGTATCATTATCCATGTCACCATAAATCCATCCTTCATCTGCGTTGTTGTCTGGATTCATTCCCCAAACGTTAAGTACAATCTGTGCCGGCCATGTGGAAATTAACTCATAAGTCCAAGTTCTATTATCAGGATTATACCGCATTTTACTAGGAATCGATCCATCATAACCGAATCTATTAAAAGCACCCTGTACAAATAGATGAGGAAATTGCCTAGGAAGACCTAAAGAATCACTGTGCTGAATATGCGCCGTAGACATAGCTAAGCTAGACCAATACTGAACAATCAAATGCTCCCCATCCCATCCTTGAACATGACTTCCATTCCAATGTTGTTTACTAAGCTTTTCGGAAGCTGACTTAATTGAGTTCCAAGGAGAGTAAGTGCTTCCAAAGTTCAGCGAGTAACGATATTTATCAGCTCCAATACCAGTGTGATTGATATACAAATCTCCGTTGTCAGCCACATGTAACAATTTTGTGCTGAATGTAGCATTGCTTGCGTAAACCATTGGATTTTCTTCATTTCCGACCCGCAGTAAAAGTCGGGTGTGTTCAGATGGCATAGACAGATTAGAAACACTCTTAACATCTTTTAGTACTAGTTCATGAATTCCATGGGGGACTGATTCCAGAGTTGCATTAAAATACCATCGTGTCACAGGTGCGTTGGTAAAAATTTGAGTGGCAGGTTTCTCAAGAAGATCGCAGGAGATACTCGACTCTAATATTTTCGGTTGCGAGTAATTTCCGAGTGTATGAGTATTAATAGTAATTTTCTTGGCTAAAGATTGACAATCAATTTCCTCTGAAAAACCAAAGCTGATGTTTACCGACGTCAATTCAGACGAAGAATATATACGGTGGTCATGCCCAGGCAAGAAATCGGTCAAGTACAAGGATGGTTTAATCCAATCTTCCTTTTTAACGAAGATTTTTGATCCGTAGGCATCTATTTCGAGGCGAGGAATGCAGCCAATGTTTCCAAACTCGGGTGAATCTATTGTAGAAGCTGAAAGAGTTATTTCCTCATATGGATACAGCAGATTTTTGATGGTGGTACCATTCTTAAACGGTCCTAATGGGGCATAATAAGGAGGAAACTTATACTCCGCCTTTTGTGAGCAATTGAATTCAAAAGTCTTAGAGGTGTTTCGATTTGAAAAGAGAAGCCACATATAGTCATTTTGTTTTCCAAAATCCTGATAAGGAAGTAATGGTCCACGTGAGAAAGACCACAAACCCCACATAGTTGGAGTGGATTCGGCAAACATCTCATTACCAGGAAATACACCATCCTCTGTCCATCTTCCTAATGCTACGAGATCCCAACCGTCACGAACTTGAGGATAATGACTCCTAATTTCGTTCATCCTTCTAATATAATTTCTGGTATGGGAGCTTGGATCCAAATGATCGAAACTATTCCAGTCATCATGACAAGCTTTGCTAGCCGGTGAAAAATCTAATTCCATATATTGCGTATTGCCAATCTGGTAACAACCATGCTTTTGCCAACCAAGTGAAGATGTTATAGGTTGTCTTCCAAAAACATAATTAGCAGCCTGGTTGTCGAGTAACTTTAAATTTTGCTCTTCACCATAATAAACTAATGGAATTCCAGGCATTAATAAATGAGTTATAAAAAATCCCAACAATTGTTTATATTGACCATCTGAAGTGGAAGGCCATCTGAAAATATCTTGATTGGTAACACCGTAGAGATGCCTTGGATCAAGCTTTCCGGTATTGGCATTAATTAGATCGTCTTGAATAAGCATTTGTTTCCACATATATGCAAAATCATGGCGGTTAAGATCATAGGTTGCGAATAGCTTACCTTGAAGACCAAGTAGTAAAGTTATAGCACGATAAATCGAATAATGAAAAGAGACGGAATCTAAGGCTGCATCACCCTCTTTTCTTAAGAAAAATTCTGTCTCATTGTAGCCAATCTTTAGAGCCTGCACATCATCCTTAGGACGCTGATCAGCTTGTCGACCACGACCTATGTAAATAGAACCAAAGTCTGCGCCACTCGTAACTTCACCAGGAATGAAGAAGTTGTCTTTTCCTACTGCACGAGCACATGCGCGAATAGAAGAACTCCAACTACCCAAAAAATCGGCAGTAATCTGCGTTGCTTTATCAATACGAATTCCATCAATATCAAGCATTTTAACCGCAAGACATCCTAGGTGTTTCAGCTTTTTAGAGACGATAGGATCCCAGTCTCTCAGACGATCTTGCACTGAAGCGAAGTTTGACAATTGACGCCACCATGGAGGATGATTACCAAAAGCTTCAACATCACCATAATGATCAAAATCACCTTGAATACAAGTAAGCTGGTCAATGGAATCCGTATCTGCAGTGTCATTGATAGGTAGACCAGTTATGTCCCAAAACGTAGGCCCCGAACAAGGGTACTCAGTTCCATTTGATAACTGGAAATCTGAGTAAAAGTGGTGAGTATTCTTATACTTCATGGTATATCCATGCGTACTAAAAGGGGCGGAAGCATTAGCAAAAGAATCGGTAGCATTGCTAAAAAAACTCAGTTCTGACAAAGTGGAAACGGTTAAATCTAAAATAACGTAAAATCCTCGTTCGTGAAGTTTCATGATTGAATCATGCCATTCTTGAAGAGTCCCTGTATGTTTGTCTAAAAGAGTGAAATCAAGCGGAGAGTAGCCATCGGGAGTCCACGGTAAGTTTTCGAACGGTGTACCTGCGATATAAATAGCTTTGATACCCATTCCTTCCAAATAATCTAAAGAACGAGGTGTGGTAAGCCCTGCAATGTCACCACCAGCACGAAAAGTCACTTCATAGGGATCATGCTCGAATACCGTTCCCTCAATAACATCATTTTCAGGCAACCCATTCGTCCACTTGTCTAAGATTACAGTGTAAAAAGGAAGAGCTCGCCAGTTTGAAGGAGAAGGGAAATATTCATGATCGGTCCATTCAGCATAGAAATCCAGGATAGTTGTTGCTGAACGGTTTCGATTTAAGTTCCATTTTTCATTCTCATCCGTTAAGACTGCAGCATAAACTAATCTTGAAATAAGGAAAAGGATAACATAAATGGAATTTGTAGTGCCTTTAAAAAGCATGATACAAAAGAAAGAAACTTCGTTTGAAGTAAACTATCAAAACGGACGAAAAGAAAGAAAAAAGGAAAGAGTGTGGAGCGATGTATAAGCTATATTCGAAACCCTTATACTTAAAAGAAAGACGACCAAAACTATGCTTGAGTTATATGAATGGTTTTGGAAAGGATTGCTGGATTCAGCCAGATAAAGGAATCAGGAACAGCTCATGAGACTGTTCCTAGTATGAAGAAAAGTAAGAATTGAGTCATCATCAATGATACTCTTTTGATGTCAGCTTTCGTTGCGGGGCTTCTACTTGAATGAGGAACACATTTGCTGTATAGCAGTCCTCAAATGAAGTCTTCAGCAAACTTGAAGTCAAATCACTGCTAAAACGTGTCATCAAAGTGTAAGCTTAGACTAGACCGCAAAAGTAATAAATAACCCCTGTTCAAATTCAATTGCATAACTGAACACCAATAGAAAACATAAAGGTAGTAATTGGACTCAATAAGTCATAATAGCGCCAGGGGGAATTGTTTATATGTATGGTAATAGAGGCAGGCATAAACAAACAACATAGAGGAAGAAATTTAGTAGAAATAAACTCATGGTTTTCCTTCTTTTTAGTTTACTTATTCATAGTCAGTATTTAAAATACGTTTCGAAATATACTAGTTGTTATTCGAAACGTCCTGGTGATATGAGAGCGCATACTTACGCTTTCCAATACCTTCTATAATCAACTTTGGAAGTTAGACACTGTTTCAATTAGGATCCTGCCTTGCTTTGAGTATATCTCACATAAGAAATTACCAATTCTACGAAGTAGTATCCTTTCTTAGCAAAATCGATATACACAGATAAATACCAATTTATAAAACTAGAAACACTCATTGGAAGCGTTTGACATACTACAACTCTCGTAATTCACCTAAATATACAGTCAATCAAAGTTTTGTAGCGACATGAGTAAAGTACCTTGAGGTTGGATGTTACAGCCTGAACCACCAACACCAGGAGCAGAAAAGACCTTGATAAATTATTATAAGAATTAAGGCCTAAGCATTAAAAAATATGATTGAAGAGGAAAATAATAATATTTCTGGAAAAGCTCCGGTGCGAATTGCCTTTGTTCATCCTGATTTAGGAATTGGTAATTATAACAAAGATCAAAAGATTGAATTATTAATCCTGGTTATTTAGGAGGAGCAGAACGATTAGTAGTAGATGCTGCCGTAGGACTACAGTCCCTTGGGAAAGAGGTTATCATTTATACTTCTCATTGTGACAAACAGCATTGTTTTGAAGAAATCCGGGATGGTACGAAGAATGATGTTACATACTTGGAAGGCATCGATGCTAATTATTTTTTTATTTTAGGTACTCTAAAAGTAGAAATATATGGAGACTGGTTACCTTCTTCCATTTTTGGCAAGCTGTCGATTCTTTGCAGTACCGTGCGACAAATATACTTAACCTTAGTCCTTCTTTTCAAGTTCAGTTACTATGATGCTATATTTGTAGATCAGTTGTCTAATTGCATTCCAATGCTGTTACTCGCCTGTCGTACGTTATTGTTCTATTGCCATTTTCCTGATAAGTACTTGGTAAAGCCAGGAGGTGGGATACTTAAAAGGCTTTATCGCGTTCCGTTTGACTCATTTGAGGCGTGGTCTGTTCGTTTAGCCGATCGTATTGTTGTTAATAGCAATTTCACAGCATCCGTGTTCAAGAAAGCTTTTCCCAAAATTCGAAAGCCTCTTCGAATTATTCATCCCTGTGTAGATGTCAAGGCTGCTGACCATTCTTCGCAATATAAAATTTCACAGTCAATTTCGTACGTATTGATGTTTTTTTTTTTTTTTTCAAGTTACTAACGAGTTTTCTTGGATGTGATTTGGGGATTTCATGGATGACTTTAGTTTGTCTTGTCCTTGAACTTATATTAAAAAATCCTCCAATCCATTCATAAATTTAGATCTCGCAAAGTACTTATGTCTGTCAATAGATATGAACTGAAAAAGGATATTGCTCTGGCCATTGAATCGTTCGCTGCTCTTCGTGATTTATCCTCGGATCACTTTTCTGACTACCTTCTGGTTGTTGCGGGAGGATATGACACACGTGTTACTGAGAATCGTAAATATCTGGAGCTACTTCAAAATTTATGCAAGCAGAAGGGTTTCACTTATCGTACAATGAAAGACGATTGGGATAGCTTATCCGTTGAGTCTCATGTAAATGTTTTGTTTTTGCTATCTGTACCTTCTGATATCAGAGATGCGCTTATTTCTACTTCTAAGATTCTCCTATATACACCCGAAAATGAACACTTTGGAATTGTACCTCTAGAGGCAATGCTCCGAGAAGTGCCTGTTCTTGCTCAGTCAAATGGTGGACCTTTAGAGACTGTATCTGATGGGAAAACGGGTTGGCTCCGTCCCCGCGATCCTAAAATTTGGGGAAACGTAATTCACGAAGCTGCTACTAATTCGGCATACGACATCAAAGCAATGGGTGAAGAAGGAAGAAAATGGGTAATTAATGAGTTTTCTGCTGACGCTATGGCTTCCAAGGTTGAATCAGAAATAATGTCTGGGATTTGTTCTTCTACGCCGAAACGTTACATAATGCGATGCTTTCATGGAACAGTCGCTCTTTTGACATTAGCTTCACTCGTATGGTTCATGTTTACGATACTTTTCTTCTATTCTTTGAGCTTTTTTCACGGCGTTGCTACCACCACCGATGACTCAGTTTCTCAATTAAGCCTTTGGTATGGCGGCATTGCGACTATTCTTTCTATCATTACAGTTGCTATGTATGCCAGAACCATTTAATCTTTTAATTCTTTAATTTGTAGTTAGCATTCGTTCCTTTTCGATTGACATATACATTCTTTTCCCAAAAAAAATGGAAATAAAACACAAAAATGAAATTAACTCTTTCTGTTTTCTATCTTAATCTAAAATCCAAAATCCAATTGTTAAATATAGCATTAAAAGAGCAGTGCAATGTACGTATTTTGAAAAATCACAGCCAACTAACTACAGGAAGAAGTCCAGAAATATTGAAAAATGGGTTTAATTTTTTGAGTAATATTCCTCCAAAGTACGTCGGAAAGTATCGAGTACAGCTGTAACTTCACTCTCAGTCCCGACGGTTATACGCAATGAACCTTCACACATGGGCTCAGTGCCACGGAAACGGACAACGACCTTGTGATCAGTAGCCATTTTCAAATAAACAAAACGAGCAACATCATTACTAGGTACACCATTCACGGGTTTTGACAAAACTTGAACGAGAATGAAGTTTGCATCAAGGCCACCTATTATTTTGCCTACACCGGGAATAGCAGTAATTTCTTTACAGAGTCGGTCGCGTTGAGTAAGAGCTCTATCACGGTGCTCATACATCTTAGAAACGGACTCGGGAGACAAAGCCTTAATAGCTAAACTAGAAGTGGGCTGACTGATGTTATATGGGGCTTTTAATGAGTTCATGATTGCCGCAATATCAGGATTGGTCAAGCAAAATCCAATACTAGCAGGTGTTAGTAAAGGTAATTAGAATTACAACGTACCGAATACCAGCGAGACCAAAAGATTTTGAAAGGGTTTGGCAAACTGCCAAATTAGGGTAATCATTCACAAGCGAAATAGCGGTCTTTTCTGGAGAAGCAAAATCAATATAGGCCTCGTCAACAACAACGATACCATTCCAAGTAGGATGAGCCAGTAACTTTTTTACGTCATCGAGCTTCAGAGCTTTAGCTGTCGGATTACCGGGAGAACAAGTAAAAACGAGCTTGATGGAATTGTCTTTAGAAAGAGTATCGTAGACCGCATCGATGTCTAGATCAAAATTGGGTTTAAGCAAAACATTAACGACCTGAACGTCATTGATCTTAGCAGAAACAGAATACATGCCATATGATGGAGGGCAAGCTAAAATTTTGTCTTTGCCGGGGACACAAGAAATACGGATCAAGGAATCAATAATTTCATCACTACCAACACCGACGACCATGTTTTCAGGCTTCAAGGGTTTGGCCAAAGGGTGTTCCTTATTCCTTAAATCGCAAAATCTCCGTTTTAAATCATTCTGTCTAGGGTCGGGGTAACGGTTATATTCAATGCCACAATCATTGATAACTGATCCAAAAGAGCATTCGTTAGCATCTAAAAGAATACCTCTAGAGTGTTTGGGTTAGTACGATCCTTGTATAACGAAAACCAGCTTATAGCTAGCTTAAGATTCAGCAACAAATGAAGACCTAGTTACAGTGCTTCACACGTAAATCAAAGTCTAAAACATGAAAACCTGTTCATCACTTACTCTGAAAAGTCACTATACGGGTTAGTCAATCGCGTCCAGACCTCGTCTACAACAATACATACTCTCTAGCACAGCGATAGGGCTGTAGATCCAAAATGTTTTTACGAATGCAAGTATTTAAATCAAACATGACTGCGACCTGAGAATCGTTGGTAAAGAGAAAATGAGACCATAGATATGGCCTTTTTCTACATCCAGATGAGATAGTGAAGTCAACCAGAGGATCTTAAAACCCTTAACAAAAACACAGATAAGCATACGCATGCTTATTGTTATGTATATGCTTTTAATGGTTATTATTTGTTGTTAGCAATACTGTTTAATCATATCTTTCTAATTATTTTTAGCATGTGTTATAGATTAACACCTCATAAATATTACTTTATAAAAACCATTACTTTAGTAATTCTATGCTATCATATTTAGAATATACTTATTATATGCTTTAAAATCCTAAAACCCAACATTATACCAAGCATCTAGGTATACTTGGCAGCTAGTAACTTGCAATTACTCTTTTCCTGTAGCTGAAATTTAACTGTTTTTTTCTTAGTATTTTGGATTATAATATTTTTTTCTTCACTCACGTGCTTAGGCACTTCTTTGCAAATCAGAGAATTTTCAAAATTAGGACCTTCTTACAAACACTTGTCCTCCTTCCTCAAAAAATTTGTGAACTGTCTTTCGGATTGTTTGGTTATACAAGAATTTTTCGTTATTACTTTGCTTCAAGCAGAAGAGAATGGCTCAAGCTGTGAATTACCATCCTTCTCATATGGAATCGTATTTGCAAGAACTCATTGGTCGTCCGTTTCGAGACATTCAAGCTGAAAAAGAACGATTGAAAAGAAAGTCTGAGAGTCTAGAACAAGAGAAGCTTTCTTATTTGCAGTCAAACTATAAAACTCTGGTTGAATTAGCTGATTGCCAAGCTACTACCAAAGAATTCTTGGGCAATACAAAGGAACTTTCCCAGAATATATTCGGTAAAAAGGATGCGCTATATAACATCACCTCTCAAAGTCAACAATTTTTATCGTCGATTTCAATTCATCACCAGCAAGCTTTGCTTATGCATCGAATGCAGCCTCAAGTCTCTAGTATTTTGAAAATTCCCGAGTTAATGGATTCTTGCATTCAGAAAGAGTATTTTTCAGAAGCTTTGGAGTTTCAAGGTCTTACACATCGCTTACGAGATCGGTTTGCTTCAATTGCAGTCATACAGGATTTGGTATATCAAATAGAGGCATTATCTGAAAAGCTATCCGCAAAATTCTTACTGCAGCTTCAAAAACCTTTAAAACAATATACTCTAATTAAGATAGTAACTTATCTTCGTGTCACTAGCAAGCTTTCTGAGGCGGAAATTAAATACATATTCCTTTTCTATGCTTGGCAGCAGCTGCAGTCAAATTTGAAGAGCTTGATTCCTTTACTTGATTACAATAATCCAGAGCTCTATTTAAAGAGATATTTGCAAGTGATTCGTGATCGTGCTTTCTCTTTACTATTCCAATACCAGAGTGTATTTTATGAGTCAACCACTCTGTATGCTGATCCAGCAAATTCTACAGTTGACAATGCCAACCTTTCTTTCAACGAGGCATCTACTCTGCACCAGCTGGATCATGAAAGTCTGCAAAGCTTTAGCCAAAATATCATATCTTCTTTCGTAAAAAAATTAGTGAAAGAGATATGTTATGTTTTGGAGACTTTTCTACCTAGAGTTCATGAAACGACGGTCCGTTCTTCTTTACTTTTACAATTGTATTATTGTAACCAAAGTTTAGCAAAAGTAGGAACTGATATGTCCATTCATCTTTATACAATTCTCGGAAAGGAATGGCTTGATATGCTGATATCACAAGCTGAAGAGAAACCTTTTTAATTCCGCTACTTTTTATCAAACCTTCTCTTGTTATAGACTAGTCATGATTATTTATGCATTGTTAATAAATCTAGATATTTTTAGACAAAGATAATTGGAACTCCTTTTCAAAAAGATATTGGGTAAATTACAAAGAAAGAGAGAGGGATAGATAGCAGGATGGAAGATGATATTATGAGAAAATAAGCTTTATGTTAATTACATAACAATTTCCCTTAAAACAGCATCATCCGTAAGACCAAGGTTGTCAATGCATGTCAGGTAACGTTCAAAGTTTTTCAATCGTAGGTACTTAAGTATTCTTTGTCTTTGATGGGCATAGAATCGAAGTTTCCGCTTAGCCGTCTGGTCCTTTTGGTTTCGACTGGAGTGGTCTTTTAGAGCTAAAATTTTAGTTGTAAAGGCTGCTGCTTGAACTTCAGGACTTCCTGTGTCATTATCTGTTCTTGCGAAGGATTCAATGGCAGTGCGCTTATTATTTGCTTCAGCTAATTTAGCATTGGAGTTTGAAAGGCTAAAGATTCTTCGAATGCTCTCTTTTCTAGAATCATTGATCTGAGACATATTACTAAGTTCTTGTGCTAAACGTTGAAAATATTCAGCAGCACCCGGTGCTTCATCCAAGTCTCGTAGAGACTCAAATACGTTGTCAGTAGATCCTGGAGCCGCAAAATCATCCACCTTCAGAAATTCACGTGCTTCATTTAACGTAGACACGTTAAGCTCATCAAATTTTTGCAAAATGTTGTCGACTTCAGTCATGGAAATAGGAAATTTAAGGGGAACGAGAGGTGTAGTTTTCTTTTGTAGTTGATTTTGAAAAAATTGCTTTGAGCGAATCAATTGATTAGTCCATTCGGTCGGATTACCCATTACAAAATCTCCCAAGTTCATTTGGCGTTCTTTCTGAAGTCTGTCTTGACGCTCTATGTTCAGCTTCCTTCGACGACTAGCCTTTTGTTTTTTTAGTCCATTAGTTACAGAACTAGTATGGAAATTGGTTAGGAAGGAAGATCCAAAAAGCCCTTGACTTTGACCGCATAAGAAGCCAGGTCGGTAAATATGTCGAATTGATAACCTCATTTTATGTATTGTACTTCTTAGTAATATAAATTATAGGGTATAAGAAGAAGAAACTAAGAATTCATGCCTTCCTTCCAATGTTCGGTTGGTGTGCGGAGGTGGGTATACGGGCAGGATGCGAATGGAGAGTAAAAATAGAGATCGTAATTAAGTCCTAATGAACGAAATAATTAAGTTACAAAACTTACTTTGTGTTGAAAAAAAAAATAAAATAAATAAACAAATATTATGCTAAAACTTGCTTGAGACTAAAGGTTGAGGGACGAGAATAAAGATTCTTTGAAGGACTGTAAATCCGAAATGGCTTTGTAATGCATTTCTTCATAGGCTAGAAATTCTCTGGCGTTTCGAGTTCCCTCTTTCCAGTTTTGCAATAGTCTGCTGTGGCCTGGAGTATTCATGAGATCCAACTGAAAGCATTTGTTTTTAAATATCTGCCAGTGAAATAGAAACTGGGTGTATATCAAAGAATAAGAAGACCATTTCCTTTGAAATACTTCAAAGTCATTAAAGTACTTATCGATGGTTTCATTTGAAATGTTTGTTGGTAACTGAGGAGGAATTGGAGCTTTGATTTGAGGGAAGGTAGGTGGTTTTGGAAGCAACTGAGCTATTTCATCTTCAGATTCTTCTTCTCTTTCGAGAGAACGTAAAACTTTTTGTAGTTCATTATGATATTCGGCTGATGAGGAAACAGAATTAGCGGAGTTGGGAGGCCGTAAAGAATCATCTTGGTTTTCTTCTATCTCCTCAAAAGTTGCTGGATTAGGATAATAGCTTGAGTTTGAGCGAAAATCGTTATTTGTTGATATTGAGGACGGACGATGTTGACGGAGATCATGTTTTTTATAAAGCTGAGGTTGACGAGGTGAAGGGGAAAGTGAGTTGAGTGGAAAGGAAAAAGACTCTGGACTTTGGGGAGGATCTGAACACGATGACGACCTGCCATGGCTAGAAAATGAATGTACTAAATGAGAACTGGAGGTAGGAGTAGGAGAACGGGTGTAAGAGGTATTGTCCGATTTGGGAGTTGAACTGAAAGAACGACGCTTTTCGCGTAAAGACTCTAAGTATATTTTTGCTTCAAACTTGGAGAGTGGCTGAAATCGACTATAAGCATTTGTATTGTTGGGTGAACCAGGTTCATGAGAAGTATTATTAGGGGAGGAATATAGCTGTTTCTGATCTTCGTGATGTCTTGCAGGTACTGGGCTAGAGTTGGGGCTCTTCTTTATGAAGGTGGATGAATGTCTCTGCCGTTCAGAGGACGACAAAGGACGGTAAGGAGATTCATGTTTGTGTTCATTTCCTAATCCGCCCTTATTTTTACTTGTAGAAAAGTATTGTGAGACTTTTGCGCTCACTTTTGAAGTTACATTAGGAGTTCTCCAGTTTGGGGAATTATTACTTGTCCTTTTAGGGCGAAATCTCGATAATCCATCCAATCTTCCCAATTCTAATAGTCGTTTTTGGTCATATAATTCCCGTAACTTTTCATCTCGTAGAACTTCATGCGCCCTTTGAATCAACTGGAAATGAGGAATCACATCCTGCTCCCGTCCTGGATTTCTGTCTGGATGAAAACGTAAAACGAGTTTTAAATATTGTTGCCTAATTTGTACATAATCGCTGTTACTTTCAATCCCTAGCACATCGTAATAATCGACGAATTCTTCTGAGAAAGCAGGCCTCGTCATGTCCCGTTTAGTTAGAAGTGTTAAAAAGACAAGTTTTTATTAAAGCTTCCAGCGGCCGTTTGTATAACTTTATTCTAAAAGGATCACGACAAACACAAGGACGTGTATAAACAAAGGTAGTCTCTTCAGAGCCTGCAAATAAAATCAGATTTGGTAAGGTTGTTAAACTTAGCAAATGATAATTTATTATAAAATCATGAAAGATGTTTAGATATCCAGTCCTCTAAGTCCACTCTCGTTAAGTATAGTCAGTGACTTTGGAAGAACTCGTGACAACACCCTAGTGAATATCTGAGGTCTAAAGGTATAAACGGTGGAATTCTTTACGTTTCTTAAGAGGTTACTAAAAGATTCCAATTTGAATTCTGGACAATAAATGAATATGGTATTTAACTGCATGACTCTATTGAAAAGCAGTTTCTAAGAAGAGTGATGATTTGGGCTATATGTTTTTTGCTTCAAAAGAATTGTGAAATTGAAACTGAAAGAAATACGTTATTGAATGATAATTTATTTAAAAGCGTAAGGATTCGCCTTGTTGAACAGGATTATTACTCTGTCTAAATGGAAAACGAAACGGAAAATCAGTATACTAAAGACAAGGATCAGAATGACCTTTCTAATAAAGAAACCACACCTCCATCGTTGTCTTTTCAAGAAAGTACGGAGGGTGACTTCAGTGAACTCAACAGTGACACGGCAGTAAGAAAGCCTTTTACAAAAATTCGACCCATTCTGAGTGATCTCTTCTCAACTCTAGAAGAAAACATCAACATTGCAAAGCTAGATGCTGCGAGGGAGTCACGAGAGTTGCACTTAAATGAGCTTTTGCTTTCTGATTCCTCCATAGGTGACATTTGGCTTGGCCTTAGTTTCCTATTTCATAATACCTGGCACTCGGCTATGGCTCTGATGGATTCAAATGTTTTATATCCGATGAATCCGTCATACCATCTTTGGGAATGCACCCTTGAAACCGGTAAAGTCATTCATTTGAACTTGCACGTCTGGCATTGTAATTGTCCGCAGTTTACATACAATGCTTTCAAAAATCCTTCGACATTTTCCCAGGAAAAGTATCCTAAAAAGTGGGATCGCTGGGGAGGTGGATGTGTATCACCACATCCACCGTATTGTGCACATCTTCTAGCGGCGAGCCTTTATGCGGCTTGTCGTAGCGTTCCTTTTTGAAACATCACAAGTATTCTATTTTCTAGTATAATAATCTTTCTTGCACGAACGTATATTCATAACAAAATTTCATTAATTTTTATACATATATGATTGTATATTTATGTATATTGTATAGTTTTACAAAGGCCTTAAGACCAAGAAAGACAAATAGGAAAACTCTATTTTACAAAGAAAGAAAGAAAATGAAGATGCAAACCAATTTCAATAAGACGACATTACCTGAACATAACATAATCCCGAAGGAATCACTAAAATGCATGATGAATAATAAAGGTTATATATATATATATATATAGAAACTCTTTAGAATCATCATATAGTCTTCTCCTTGTTCCAAGATAAATATCGCGGATCTCCCACGCGTCGTCGTTTAATCATGCATGCAACACTGAGGATAATACCACTAGCGATGTTTATACCACCAATCACCATATACATGATCCCTAAAAAGTAGTTCTTACCACCTATAGCGGTAGTTGTAGAAAGCATAAAAGTCTTGGTGCCATTATACTCGATAACAGGGAAGTTATAAGCTATATCAACTTCATAAATACCAGGGTTCAATTCAGCCGTAGCATTTTTCTTTGCAAGCTTACTAAACGTTGGAAGAGCTGCTATTCTCATCCATACTTGCAATTCGTCCCAGTTGGAAATATCAGGTAAATTATCATCAGTGTATCCGTTTGGATACATCTTGGACCAATTTGGAGGCGGAACAACGTCGGATGCATTGTAGCTGGTCTTAATATAACGTTCTTTATCCTCTGGCCAAGCCGTTCCGTTCGAAGTCATTTGGTATTCATCCAATGATTCCGTGCTATCCCATGAATCATAGCGAACAAGTGAAGAAAAAGTGTCGTTAAATAACGAATTGGCTATTAACCCGCAAGGATAATATGGTTTGTTATGCTCATTTACGTCTAATGGACTACATTCACCGACTTTAATTTCTTCCGGGGACCTTGGTTCACCACGGAGCTGAAAAACGTCAACGCTCGCGGTATATCGACGATGATTTTGATAGAAATTTGTTAAGCGGTAGAATGAGAATAAAGGAGCACCCAGCTTTTCTGGGATTTGAAATCGTAAATAACAATGATCATTTTCTGACCTCCACTTAGCAGATACGTTATTATTTTGGCTCATTTGATAAACAATATTCGTTGCCGGCATGTCTGTGAAAGTATTATCGGTATCCAGACAATGCGTATAATCGAGTCTTACTTCTTTTACCTGGCGATAGTGTTAGAAACGGTGAACATCGTTCATCATAAACTTAAGAATCCCCATGACATATTTTACTCTACTTCGAACATAGGAATTATTTTCAAGCATGGAATATTTCGACACAAAACATACCCGTTGACTAGCCACATACATTGCTCCACCCAAAGGAGCAAAAATGACGCCCAAAACAAACAGTAAAGGAAGCACAGACCACGGTGTAAAAATGAACTGCCAGGCAGGAAGACTTTGCTGTACGAAACGCGATTTATCACTAATTGAAATTGATTAGCTTCTCATTCTTCCAATTCGTCAATCCACGTACGGGCGCTTTAATTTCATGCCCTTTTTTTTGGTCATTTTTGAACTACTACTCATTATAATTCCAAGACAACTATAATTAAGATCTTTTCAAGAACCGAGCCTTCCGTTTCTTAAGTATGGTAGTAGTAAGTAACCTCATATCCTCATTGCAATGCTACTTTAGTTGTTGCTTTCCGCAAGTAACATCGATGACAAAATCATGTGTAAACAAAAGGTAGTAAACAAAGGAAAAAAGAACAAAAGAAGCAGCAAAAGGATCGCATTATTTTCTTGGTAGTACGTTTCATTGATGAAAGCAGGCGACGTTGACAATTTGGGGAGGATATATGCTTGCTTAAGCATATGGCTTCTAGGGCGAAGACAGAAGGACCTCCTTCTGAGTAATTGTTTCAATACTTGCATTGTTCTCATTCCATATTCTACAGCCTTATTACTAGCTTGGCTTGGCCTCTGCAGGAAGAGAGTTTCAGTTCACGAAAAGTAGTTTGGTTTCTCCATCAAAGAAACAAGATATAAACGGAAAAAAAAGATAAAGAAAGAGTCAAAATAAAATTTACTAAGAGAAAGCAAATCAAAAAGAAAAGTTTCTTATGCTGAAAGTGAGTAATTTTTGAGCAATACAATTATATAATAGTAGTCATGATAACGAGGTAGACATTCGCCGAGCGTTTCTCAGACTTCCAATTTCACAATAACAAGTCTGCAATACTAAAAACAATCAGCAATTGGATTTTTCAAGCGTTTTAACTTGGAAACGTGTTTACGTGTGTTTTGATTTGTCTTTGACTGATACGATTGGAAATCTTTCCTCATTTGTTTGTCTTTCGAAGCATTTCTTGTCTTTTTCTTCTCCTTTTGAAGTAAAAAAAACACCTTTTATTTCTAGTCTTCCATTTCGCCACATACTTACAGATACAAAATGGCTTATCAAACTCGTCAAGGATTGCCTGACGGTTGGGTCGCACAATGGGATCCTCGCTATGAGCGTTACTTTTACGTTGATGAAAAAGCTTCCAAGCCTCAACCTCAATGGGAATGTCCCGTACCCAACTTAAATATACCTCCTCCCCCGAGTAAGGAACACTCTGCCCCTCCAACGGAACCCCCTCCACCTTATGCTCATCCTACTACCGGAGGCCCTTCTCCATCTCCTGCTGCATCTGGTTCTGGAGACAGAGGAATTTTTAGCCGTCTTCATCATGGACACCAGAACAACCAACAACCTTACTACGGTGGCCAACCTGGATATGGGGGCTATCCTCCTTATGGCGCTGGCCCAGGCCCTGGTTATGCTGCTGGTCCTCCCGGTCCGGGTTATGGCTATGCTCCTGCTGCTGGATACGGTGGCCGTTCCGGTAGATTTGGAGGAGGCGGCGGTGGCCTTTTATCCAATCCCATGGTGACTGGTCTCGGTGGTCTGGCAGCTGGTGGTTTAGCAATGCATGCTTTTGATGATGCCTTTGATCATAATGATACCGTGGTAGAAAACAACTACTATGGTGATGATGGATATGATGGTGGTGGTGGTGATTTTGGAGGTGGTGATTATGACAATAATGACTTTGATGGAGGTTTCTTTTAATCGACTATTATGCAACAAAGTTCTGCTCCTTCTCCAATTTGCCATGATACTTTTTGATGTGATTATGAAGCGAAACATCTGGAGATCGTGTGATCTTTCTCACCATGTCTGATGTTTGCTGTCCCAATGAATAATGAATTCTCTTTTCTTTCATAGTCTATGTGAAGTGAAGCAAAGAAATCGAAATGTTCTTGATTAACTGTCGTTGATGTGAATAAGCTTGGATTTTTTGCTTTTCCAATTTTTGTCAATGTAGCCTCCTAGTTCGTTTATTTTATAATGAGATAAAGATGGAGAATTTTAATTGTTACAGACAAGTAGCTTCAACTTTTCGTCAGCATTCTATGTAAGATTTTTCCAACTCCTTCCATACAGAGAAGCATCAAGACATCATTTCATTCCTTTCGATTATCTTGTTCTACAGTTTCTATCAATAGAAATTATGAAGCTCTTTATTTACGATTAGCTTGTTCAATGTATCGCCAGTCTTTCGATGCATTTGTTTTCATGCTTTTCTCAAACGCTTAATTACCATCTTCAACATGGAAGTAGAATTCAAACTATGATACCATACTATTTGTTGTCTCTTTAGCCTTTATTTATTTATGCTTAGTTCCATGCAAAATCTTCTCTATTCTTGATGACATTATTCCTTGTCGTTTACGCTAGTATTATGTATTTAATATTTGATAATTAACTGTTGGTTGTTAGTATTATTTCAATACATTCCTCACTGTTGCTTCTTTGTTCCTTCTATTCTTCGTTCTGAGTATGTTATTATAGTAGTTTAGCAACTCCACAACACATACCAAATACGCTTTGGATACTGCCAAAAAAAAAGAAAACGTGATACTAAATTTTCAATAATAGCTATTTGACTTGAAAGTTTGTTTTACCTCCTTCTTCGTCTTTCCCAAGATGGATAACTATGTAAAAGTAGAAAAGATTGGTGAAGGTAAAGTCGGTTTTATAGAAAATGAAGACATGTCTTTTACAGATCTTTGATGGACTCTTCTTACTAATCATTTTGGTAGGGACCTATGGTGTTGTCTACAAAGCAAAACATAAGTCTTCAGGGCGCATCGTTGCTATGAAAAAAATACGTCTGGAAGATGAGTCTGAAGGAGTTCCTAGTACAGCTATTCGGGAAATTTCGTTACTAAAAGAGGTGAACGATGAAAGTAATCGCTCGAATTGTGTTCGGTATGAAAAAAAAAACAAAAAAAAAAACCTAGGCGAGGATTCATGGAGATGTTGCTTTGCCTTCCTATCACGCTCTTTCTCTTGCCTTATTACTAACGGTATATAGTCTTTTGGACATCTTGCATGCTGAATCCAAACTTTACTTGGTATTTGAGTTTTTAGATATGGATTTGAAAAAGTATATGGACAGGATATCAGAAACCGGAGCATCTGAATTAGATCCAAGACTGGTTCAAAAATTTGCATACCAATTAGTGAACGGCGTCAACTTTTGTCATTCCCGGAGAATCATTCATCGAGATCTGAAACCTCAGAATCTGCTAATCGACAAAGAAGGAAATCTCAAATTAGCAGATTTTGGTCTTGCAAGGTCTTTTGGCGTACCTTTACGCAACTATACACACGAGGTATGTTTTGACCAAGTCCTGTTCAGCAATGACTAACAGAACCAGATTGTTACGTTGTGGTACAGAGCACCAGAAGTCCTTCTAGGATCTCGACATTACTCTACTGGTGTTGACATTTGGAGTGTTGGATGCATATTTGCTGAAATGATCCGCCGTACTCCACTGTTTCCTGGCGACTCTGAAATTGATGAAATTTTCAAAATCTTTCAGGTGTTGGGAACTCCAAACGAAGAAGTATGGCCTGGTGTTACACTTTTACAGGATTACAAGTCTACCTTTCCTCGTTGGAAGCGCGTGGATCTTCACAGAGTTATACCCAACGGTGAAGAAGCAGCGATTGAGTTACTTTCGGTAAGTATTTTTAAGTTGCTTATTTTTATCCACTTTGACTGCTTTACTAATATCTTATCCAGGCAATGCTTGTTTACGATCCTGCTCATCGAATCAGTGCCAAGCGAGCTCTACAACAGCCATATTTACGAGAATATGGAGAAACTTGTGTGTAAGAAGTGTCTGCTGTACTACCATTTTCTTAAGCATTCTTTATATATATTTATCATTATTACCCGCTATTATTATGCGTATGCGGATTTAAGGTTTATTATGTATGGTAACTCATATTTAACCCTCATTTCTTTTCTGGCTTATGTTTGTTATCATGCAGTTGGAGTCATCTTATGTTTGGCTGACCACACAGTCCTGTTACTAACACAGGATGTGTTAAAGGATTTATTGCATTTTCAGACCTTGTAATATGTCTCGTACTTGGATAAACTAGGTCATACTCATTTATTAAGTGGGATAAATCGTATGGCTTTTTCCTTGTACCTCAATCTTTGTGTCTTTATCATTTTCCTCGTTTTTCTTACTATCGTTTATATACCATCTTTTATCTTTAGTTATACGAGTCTATACTTAATATTCAGGGATGTCTAAATTCAATATACGTCTGTCCTTCCTTTTATATTGATTAGCAATAAATCTATTCTTTTCACCGCTAACTAAATCTATTGTACAATGGCATTACGTAGGCCGACGAAAAATTGCACCTCCTACCGAAATCGAGCAGCCGATAATCAGTTCTTATATAGTTCACTCATGAATCGTACATGAAGTATATTATAATCAGTTAGGCATAAAAATAATAGTAGTAATATTAAAGACAGAAGGATAAGTAAAACGTGCAGATAGAAACGAAACAGAGGAGCAGGGGGCTTCCAAAGACAATTGTCCCAGTTGTTTTTGTTTAGAATACCAAAATTGATTCAAGGAAGTTTTTTTTTGCAAGATTCTATAAATAAAGGAGTCCATATATATATACATATATAACGTGAGAAAACGCGTGCATCGTATAAGGACGTTGATAATTCAATAATTACATTGAGACAATAAGTTCTCATCTAAATCAAAGGAACAAATCGACCAAGCAATTTTCATTATGATGAGAATTATTAAATAATTTCTTCTTCCTCGGGGTACTTTTCCTTTGTACGAATCAGCAGCTGTTTATTGATATGAGGCAAAACACCACCACCAGCAATAGTAGCACGAATTAAAGTATCCAATTCTTCATCACCACGAATGGCTAATTGCAAGTGTCTGGGAGTAATACGCTTGACTTTCAAATCCTTGGCAGCGTTGCCAGCTAATTCCAAAACTTCAGCAGTCAAGTATTCTAAAACAGCAGCACTATATACAGCGCTTTTTGCACCGACTCGCATATTATTTTGGGTTTTCGCTTTTAAAAATCTTCTTACACGTCCAACTGGAAACTGGAGTCCAGCACGCGCCGAATGGGACATTTGCCCGCGTTCGCCAACTTTAGATCCTCCCTTTCCTCCAACATGTTTTCCTTTTCCCCCTCCAGACAGCATTTTAAAAATTGGGAGCAATTGCGATTTTGGGGTTCTGATATAGCGTGTTTGGTAAAGGGCAACTCTAGTTGACGCGTCTCTCTCCTCATATGGAGGCGCGTTCCTAGAAAAGAAATCTCCATTTCGTAACCTTTGGAATATATAAATACATCAGATTAAACGATAAAATTTTATTAAAATAATTTTTATTTCTTTCATGTATACTATTAATATGTGGTTTTGGTGGAGGAAGTCTATTTACAATAAACAAACTAACGGTCTGTGTTTCTTGCAGTGTGTTTTCTGTTTACTTCTTTTTTTAAGTAAATTCGAATGGTTCTCATTCTAAAATAAACATTCAAACAAACAAACTATAGATAGCAGCAAGCGATCAAATTGAAGCTAAAAGCATACACATGAGTAAGGGTTGCTACGTTCATAAACAATGAAAACAAAGCGCACGTTAGGCAGAACAGAATATGCGAACAACAAATATTAATTCCTTTTTTTAAGATCAAAGATATGCTTCGTACCTGTGATTTTTTTTTTATTATTTCTTGAACATTAAACAGTTAGTCTTGAATCAATCAAGTTCACTAAAATAAAAAATTTGAAAAGAATTAAATGCCCCCACTCGGAATCGAACCGAGGATCTTCGCATTACAAGTGCGATGCTGTACCACTAAGCCATAAGGGCTGGATCTGAAAGGATAAGATTATAAACATAAATAAAGCACACAGTATATTTAGACAGTTTCTTTTATTTGTCTATTTGTTGTATGCGTTTTATGACTGTAATTCCATGTGCATGCATCGTAGAATTCGTTGGGGGATCCTAGAATAGTTTCTTTGCTGAAATTTATGAAGTTGCCTGGAGTGACCCAAGGGCTTCTGAAATACAATCGTCAGAGTGGATCGAATTATCGAAAAACGATCCCAAAGAGTAGAAAGATCTCCTCAATTTCTTTCATTCAAACAAATGCATATATAAGAAAGGACAGGATCCATTTACTTTTTCTTTTTGTACTTATTGGAGAATTCTCGGTTACGCATAGACTTAAATTAAGCGATTGCTTTATAAAAAAACTGGACTGGCTGTTTTATTTATAACTAAGTGAGGGTCGTAAAAGAGATATTGTTTTTGTTTCTTCTACTAATACAAAAAATTGCGCAGGAAAATTGGCATTCAATGCGGATCAAACCTTCCTTTCGTTCAAAATTCACTTTATGTCACAGGTCTTCCACCATAAAAGCTACGAACGAAACAATCGTAACTCTTCATCGCTATTCAGAAACTCCATACTCTTCAACAATCCTCAATTCATATTTACTTAGCTGAAAGTATTGATTTTATTATTCAGTAAATATATCATATTCGCTATTTACGACAGTATAGGGTAAATTCATTCTCAGGTAAATATCACTGGCAAACGACGATCTATATCTTCAAAAAGCTACTTTTATAGCGTCTTTGATCTTATCTAATACATACTTAGAATGCTTTGGAAAAGATTACCGAGAACATTTCCTTCTTTGAAGTCAAGGTTTCAATCACCAATATATCGATCTATCGGAACGATTGAGGCTACCTCTGTTGCTCCTAAGACAAACAAATTTATCGTTGGACTTTTGACTGCAGTCCCAGTTATTTGTTTTGGGTTAGGCACTTGGCAGGTAAAACGCCGTGAATGGAAAGTGGGCATTATTGATACTCTAACTAGCAAATTAAAACAAGATGCTATACCACTTCCCGCTAATTTAGAGTATGTCTTTTTATTTCTATATATTCAACCGGTGATTATCACTAACCCAAAAACTTTTAAGTGAAAAAGAAATCCAAGCGAAAGAATGGACGAAAATTGCTCTGAAAGGTACATTCTGTAATGACCAGGAAATGCTTGTTGGCCCAAGGACGAAGGATGGAAGTCCCGGATATCACGTAGTGACCCCATTTGTTCTGGAGGATGGTCGTCGTGTTTTGGTTAACCGGGGTTGGATATCCAAATCTTTAGGTGATCCTTCTCTTCGAGACAGCGCTGCCATACCTACCAACACAGTACAAATTGAGGGACTGTTGAGAAAACATACTGAAAAACCAAAGCTCATGGTGAACAATGACCCATCAACAGGTTCCTTTTTCTTTTTGGATGTTCACGAATTTGCTAATCTTAAGAATACCCTTCCTATTTTGATTACACAGTTAGGATCCGAACTCCCTCCTTTTGAAGAAGCTGATCTAGTCCGAAAGGGCATCCCTTTGGGCCATCCCCATCATGTCGAAATCTTTAACCGACACACGGAATACATTATTACTTGGTAATTTATTCATTTACTTTGTTTTATACTTCAGCTAACAAAATCCAGGTATTCTTTGAGTTTGTTGTCTGCCATCATGCTTTACATCTATTTCCGAAGAGGATCTGGCACTGTCTCTTTAACATCTGCTTATGAAAGGAGTAAAGTTCGTGTTTAGGTGAAACCCAATTTTTTATTTATTATGGAAAATTTAAAATTTTACAAATCTCGAAAGTTTCCCGACAGCATCTCCTGTCTGGGTAAATGAATCTATCATACTCTCCATAACTTGCTTGGCAAATTTCTGGTCAAAAGGTACCTAAAATAGAAAAAGATTAGTTACTTATAATTTAGAAAAAAATAAAACAAACCTGTTGTAAAGAGGACTTATTAAGCCAGGAATGACTGAACAATTCAGAAACAATTTTTCGAGCGTTTTTCTTTTTATACTTTGACACAACAGAAATACTACCGAGTTTCGAAGTAATCAGATTTTTTAAAGCTTGATATTCTCTCAAAAATTCCTTTTTCTTGGAAGAAGAAACATGGTAAACGAAGCTGTTGAGGCAGATTATTAAATCATTCAAAATCTATCGGCGGTTAGTTTTCCTTACTATCAATAAATTTACATACTTCCGTCTGTTTCGTAATTACACTAAGAGAAGTGCTGTTTTCGTATTCTAAAGATTGGACTAACGCGGAAATTTCCTCCAATTTCAGTTTATCATAGTTATCGGAAGTAATGGTCAAGCCCAAATTACCAAGTAGGATCAAGATATTAACATGTTTGACTTCTTCTAAGGTTAATTGTTCTTGCAAATTATTGCGATCGCAAATAGACTCCATTTCCTGAACATGAGATCTTGCAACTTCCCATCTTCCATTCACAATGTCCTCTTGAACAAGCATGTGTCCCAGAACAAATAAGTGCACCCAAGCGGTGGATGGATGTGGGGCATTTCTCAGTATATGTTCAGCAGTGGGGAATTTAGGAGATGCATAGTTGACGAAGACGTCTAAATCTCGATTATCTTTGGGATTTGAGCATTTTGGTAGGTATTGGGCAGGGGCCTTGTAATTATTTAAGTAATGACATCTAGCTCGCTCTATCAACACGACACTCTTCCACATACTATGGTCCAAACGTGAACGGAATTCACGCATATTCTCAATTTGCGAATAAGCTTCCTCTTCGTATGCATTGCAAATCATTTCAGGAGTTTCATATTCATTTGAAGCATAAATCCGTACACTTGCATTTAAATATTGGGCAGCCAAGGTCGAAGGGAAGTGTGTGGTTGCTCTCGTCAAGAGATAGTGATCCATAGTATCATTTTGGACTTGTTTAATAGACATAGTGTCATAAATCTTGCAAGCAGCAGGAAATCCACCGTCCAGGAGCAAATACAAACGAATCAAAGGAAGCTTCAAATTGAAGTTATGAAGGTTGCTAGTGAGACCTTTCTCTAACAAACAGATAGCATCAAAAATAAGCCCTTGACTTACTTCACTTGACAAAGATGTATACTCCTTGAAATACATGAGCGCATGAACAGCCAATAGTAAAGCCTCATATCCGTGAGTAAAATCGGTAGGCAATATATTATCACTCAAAGACAAGCCTTCTTGGTAAACACTGAAGCAATTTTGCAAAAAGTCGGTTATGTTTTCTTGAGTAAAAGACTCAAAGCAGAAAAACTGAATTTTAAGACGCAGAACCTTAGCAACTAGCTTGTCGATTTTTTGAGACTAAGAATTAGTTAGAGCTAACCTGCATATACAAAATTAGTTACTTACCTTATTAGTTTCGGGACAGCTTTCAATGGTAAAGTTCTCTAGCAATTGTGCTTTGGATTCATTGCTTAATTTTTGAAGGAAGGGTACTATGTCTTCAAAAACTATAGGCTTACCGCACATTTTCAGCACATAGTTCAAAATAGCATTTTCATGTTCATTTTTTAAAAATTGAGATGTAAAATGGATCCAAAGAAGATGGAGGTTTCTTTGAGAGTGAAAAGTAGACAAAGCATTGTGAGAAAGCTCCTGGACAGGTTTGAGTCTGTAATCGTAGTTAGTTTTGTATTAGAAACATAGCTAAACTTACTTTTGGCTGTCATGTAATGAGCATTCTAGAAGAGCCTTACAAATCTTCCAGTCAATATTTCCATTTTGGAAATATGTGGAAGCAACGGAGAATAAGGTGTCCCAGCTTTCGCAGTCGGCAAGAAGCTGGAGCTTTCGAAGAAGCAAGTCGGCATCAGCTTCTACAAATTTTTGGGTTTCTTCGTTCAAGAGTAGTTCAACAGCATCGCTTTTTTTCCCGACCAATGAAAGTATGTCCAAATAAAGATGACATTCTTCACAAGAATCAATGTGTCCGGAAGGTGCGGAGAAAGTAATGCTTGCTGTTTTTTCGGCAAGTGCTTTTAACAAACGCTGCTCCATCTCATTTTCTGAGCGTTTGCATAACAAATACAGAGATGAAAGGACCCATAGAGTGTGCTTACGCGAAGGAAAGAGTTTCTGTAATTCCACAGCGGCCTTATAATAATTTATTAGTGTCTTGTAGCAAGTAAATAAATGAGACCCTACCTTTCTCTGATGAATAAGACTCTTCGTTCTCACTGCGG